AATGTGTTGACGAAGCACCTGCGGATATCTCCTCTCTTTCACGTAGCTCACCTTCTCGTGCTTTAAAGGGATCTCGTGCACCGTTTTACCTGTCACCCCCAATTTATCCCCCTCCTTAAAGAAAACGTCTTCGAACTCCCTTCTCACTGTCGCTCTCCAATCCTCGGCTCGACTTATAGCTCCTATGCGCGCCCTATCGTCCCCACACTTTATTGCTGCCCTGCTCGTATAATTAACATTCTGTATTCTTATTCTCAACTCCTTTCTCCTATTCGAGATTCGCACGCCCACCTTCCCCAGCATGTCACAACCTATAATTACCTGGTATTCCCGGGGCATTTCTCCCACCACATGGACCGTAAGTTTACCTCCCTTGGCCGCCCATCCCCTCAATCCTATCTCCACTTCCCCTTCTACTCCACACGGGCCACCCAGGGTGATTAACTTACAACTACATACCTTGATTTGGAGTGTCCTCTCTCCCCCGTACAGCTTCTCCAAAACTCCACGCGTCATAATGGTATTGGAACTCCCGGTGTCTACCAGGCACCGCACTCCTCTCGCCTCTATTATTGGTAACCAGCAGCTTTTCCCTCGAATGCTATAATTTACTAGCGTGCAGTCACCTCTCGCCTGACACTCTCCTCAGATCCTCTCCACTGCTGGCCGCCGTCCACTTCTTCCGCTGCCTCTCCGCCCTTCTCTGCTCCTCTCGTTTTCCCTGCTTACTGGGTCATCTGGTTCTTCCTCAGTCTCGGTGGTTGCGGATTCTTCTGAAGCCTCTGTTGATGACTCACGTCTCCCGGACTGCATCCTTCTTCTCCTCAACCCTTGAGCATTAACCTCCATCGGCTCTGCTCGTTGCGAGTCTCTCCACGAATATATATACGGACACTGCCTCGCAATGTGTCCCTCTGTCCCGCACTCGAAGCATTTCGTGCGGGGACACTGTGCCACCAAGTGTCCGCTCTTCCCACAGCCGTGACATTTTCTGTCTTCTTTCCGTTGGCTAGCCCTCGCTCTATTTTGCCCTGGTCTTCGCTCCGCTCACATGTACTTCTCTCTCCCGCTGTATGCGAACTCTCTCCTTCTCCAGGTCGTCGGTGTACTCCTAGGCCTCCTATAGCCTATCCGATTCCAGTCTGGTTCCTCCACCTCTAGCCGGCTTTCTTCCTCTCGGGCGCTGGAGTCTACCATCTCTTGAGCGCAATCAATAAATGATCTTTCCCGGGGTAAGCCGTCCTTCTTCCCGGTTTCCTTCGCCAGTTGGACCTTCAGTATTGTAGACAAAAAGGCCATTTTTGCTTCTACCTCCGGAGCGCCTGCTGTTTCCCGCATCTTCTCCGTAATACGATTATAATGAGCTATGAGTGTCGCAGCATACTGCCCATTTGACTGCCGTGAAGACCTCATCTCACGGAACATCTGGAAGATGTCTTCCTCGGTCGTCCATCTGCCGCCTCCATAGGCTTTCTTCAGTCGTTCCTTGACCGTCTCCCACGGCTTCTCTTCATCAGCCTGAATGTGGTTCAGAATACTTCTTTTAACCCTGCACACAAGTGCTGCCTTAAGGGCCTCCGCGTCTTCGATATTGACGAGATTCTCGTCTATCTTTGCATTGATCCTCGTCACGATTCGATCTCCCCCTTTTAGAAAGTGGTTTAGCTCACCTGTTTCTCCAGTGAAGCGCTCGAGATCGGATATAGCCTTCCTCAGGTCCTGTGAAGTAGCTACCCTGATCTTCATCCATTCAATCGCGTTTGCATGCGCCGCGGCTAAAGTTCCCTGCGGTAACGGAGGGATCTCCGGCACATTCATAGGAGCCGGCTGCCTTAGATCGAATTCGGGCATCCTCGTAACAGTTTTTACTGATAGAGAAAAAAAAACGTACCTCTTTCACCGTCCCGGGTTTCGGCACCAGTTAAGCGTAGCGGGCTTGAAACACTTAAAAAAAAGTACTAGGTTTAAGAAATAACACGCATGAAGACAAAATCATGACTGGTTTATTTCTCCTTCTAATCCTCTATAAATACATTCTGAGATTGTTTACATCAATGCATTTGGTATTAACGCTAATACTGTCCCGCTCCGTACCTTAACTTATATATAGATAGATAGATAGATAGAAAGTGAACTTTATTCTGGGACAAGGTCCCTTATGAATAACAGATATGAAACAAAAAAATAAAAACTATATATATATAAAAGTGGTTTTCACTGATTTAAATATAAGATAAATTATAAGCGATTTAAAAAATATGCGGTAATAAATGAATCCAAAACAATTATTTTTGGGGTACTAGGAAAATATTAAAAAATGATTTTGGGCCCTCTCCGGGGGGCAATCGTCGACTAGCCGGCCTGTACTAACAGATAAAACCAGTTTAATCATTGTATTAAATTTGATTTTCAAACTTGATTTTCATAAATGAATTGATCTTTCACTGACTAGGTCCATCTTTATAAATCTTCGTAGATTATTCAAAAATTTAACAGCTCTAACTAGTGACGTTTTCCCAGATATTTTTTTTTATCTTAGTTCGTCTAAAGAAATAAGATTTCGAATATATACTGACAGGCGAAAAATTCCACACACTTGATTTTTTCATGTTTTCATCTAAATATATTTCACCTACTTGTAAAAAAAGTTGTATTTGTATATAATACATGGTATTTGTAGATAATACTTAGTATTTATGGAATTTTGTAATCTTTTTTACCTTTAATAATCAAAATGTGATTGGGTAAGAAAGATTAGAGAAAAAAAATTGAAAAACGAACCATTATTATTCTACATTATTATTCTAAAAGAAATTAATTACATCATCGTTTAGTAGCGCGTGTTTTTTTTTTTTTTTTTTTTTTTTTTTTTTTTTTTTTTTTTTTTTTTTTTTTTTTTTGTCCTCCCCTTCCTCGCCTCTAAGGCTATACGGGGGTTTTTCCGTGCCAGGGAGTGTGGGCAGGGATTTCAAATTTACCAAGTACATTGTAATTTCACTAATACAAACTATTTGCTGCTGTGAAGAGTGTGTTATGTATCAGGTTGCCGAGCAACGGCGGTGCAGTGCACACGCATTAGCCCATTCGGCCACCCCGCCCACTAAAAGGTGGGGCATCGGTGCAAAGAGGCAGCCAACATCCCCAGTAGGACAAAAATTACGTATGTCTTGATTGTCATACCCTACGCAACCGCATGACATCGTCACGCATGACATCGAAGTATCAAACACCCTTTTTTTTTAGTAGCTCGTGTTTCCTCCTCTTGCCTTCACTACTTCTTGAAGATTCTTCGGTATACTTCCCACCAGTCGTGAAATGTCCCTTTGCTGGAGGATAGCCCATTCCTCCCGAAGAGCCCTTTTAAGGTCCTGCAGCGTATAAGGAAGTGTTGCTCGCTGGCCAGCCTAAAACCTCAATATTCTTGTGTTGAAGGAACGTCAGCACTATGCGGGCGACATGTTGGCGTGCATTATCGTACATTAGTATAGAACGATCGCCGATTTCGTTGAGGATATGCAACAAATGAGGTTCCAAAATCTCATCTACATAGTGAATGGCCGTAGACGCGTAGACGCTCCACGAACAACAACCAATTCTGTGTGGCGCTCCATTGAAATCCCAGCCCACACCATTAAGGAACCACGTTGGAAAGGTTGGCTCTGGGAAAAATTACAGGCTGCATATCTTTCGTTTCTTCTTCTCCACACTCTTTCACGCCCGTCTGGAGATCGAAGAGCGAATCTTCACTCAGCTGTATCAAGTACAGCACTCCATTCGTCCATAGTCCAATGGCTGTGTTCTCGAGCAAAAGCCAGCCGTGTTACTCTATGGGTTCTGGTCAACTCTGGTCCTCTTACTGGACGAAAAGACATTAATCCATACTCATTTAATCTTCTCCGAGCGTACGTTCAGAAATTTGCACACCTCCAACTTCTTCGAGCTGATGAATCGCTTGAACAACGGTAAGGTGCCGGTTTCGTAAAATTCTCAAAGTCAAAAACCGGTCATCCCGTGGTTCTGTTACCCTAGGCCGTCCAGAACCGGGCCTTCTATTGTAAGAACCAGTTTCCCGAAAACGCCTGACGGCGTCTCGAAAAGTTTCATATGGAACTCCGATGGCATAAGCTGCATATATAGTGGAACGTCCATCATCAATAAGTGCCACACCACGCGCAGATCCTCAGCACTAAGAGGCAGTTTTAAACTTAATATTGAAAAAAAAAAATAAAAGCCGGAGACTAAGAAATGTGCTCCATGAAACGGCACTGAACTAATGATACTGAATAAACATTTTGATTCCATAGAAAGTAAACATTGGAATCTATAATCATTTCATTGAATTAAGGGTTATTGTCCTCTATATTAACATTCCTAATTGAAAACAAACAAAAAGATTACCTATTTATTCATTAAAAACAATAGGCCGCTCCAAAGCAGAAATATTTTTAGATGAAAATATGAAAAAATCAAGTGGGTGGAATTGTTTGCCTGTCAGTGTATATTTTTTAAACATACTTCCGCATTACCTGTGGAACGACCTTCCGTAGCTCACAATCGTCATTCGAGTCCTGATAAAAATATTTTATTTTTTAAATTTAATTTGTGCAAACGTCACTCATATTTTAATCTTAAATATTTTACTACCCATTTATTTTTATTTTTAAAATTTTAAATTTTTTTTATTGTTTTTTAAATATGTTTCAAAACGCAAGTAATTAATCATTTTTCTATACACAAATGTGCATTGGAATTGCAATACATTGGAACAAGTGTGATTTATCAAGAGGTCAAAGTGAAACTGATAGAGACTCCGAGAAAAATGATTATAGACAGTCATCTTTCATATGAGTTCTGGTTCGTTAGTTGCTTTGTTTTTATTAAGTAGAATACTTCATGAGATTCTTTTTCCATGGAATACTTTCTGGTTTTAAGATTAATTATATATTCAGTTTGTATTTATTGTAAATCGGTTTCTGGTGAAACGGAAGGACTTCCAAGCGATGAACAAGATGCCTTCTTGTCAGGAAGAGAAAACATGAATGATGACGAATTATGGAATTTATTGAAACAAATTAGTAGAAATGGTTCTGGTCAAGATCCATTTGGAGATTTTACAGACTACGAAGAATACACTCTCGTTGACGAACTTAATACTGCAGATGTTACAGAACTGAGCTCGATTGACAATTTGGAAATCGAAAATTCAACAGAAATAGGAATAATCAATTCAGTCCCAGTGGATTTTCAAAGTAACGCTGAAAATACCACTTCTGCTGCTTCTTACAGTGCTTTAACTACAGAAAATAAATCATCAAAAGATACAATTGCAGGTGAAAATACAACACCATCGGATAATTTAGAAAATTCGACAGTAAAAAAATATATGATAGAAACCAAACTCAATACTTCTACTAATAAAGACTATTCTGTTACTACTTTCTTTGGATCCACAACTAATCCAGTCACTGGAAGTACTCTAGGATTCACTAATAAGGAATCCAATATAGTGACTAGTGGTGTAACAATCAGTCCAGCAACTACTGAACAAAATGGAAGCTTTGTGCATATTACTAGCACTTCACTTGATTCAGATAAGTTATTTCCTAAATACAGTAGTACTACTTTTTTAACCATAACTTTAAATAATGTATCTGATGAATTAACCTATGAATCTAATGAACCTAAAAATAAAAACATAGAGTTTAACAAAAAAACAATGTCTCATTCCATCATTCAAATTATTCCTAGTATAAATACTTCTCATAAAGATAAAAATAATCTTGATCAAACTCAATTTTTATCTTCAAAAAGATACGATGAAGAAGTGAAGTATAAAATTGCTCCTGCAAGATTCAAGCCACAACAATCCATTCCAGAACTACTATGTTTTGAGATGAATAAGAAGGGTAGTAGAAAACCAATTTTACGTTGTATTAATTTAAATAGCACCATCAGAACAAATTTCTTGCATTCCCCAACCAAAGATACTCATAATCGCCAACAGAATGATCCCAATCTAATAAAAGTATTTCTTGAATACCAAACTCCAGTAATTAATAAAACTTTGTCTACTTTAAATGAAACGAAATATACCATTTCTGGCCATGTTTCAAATACTGGAGATAATTATTCAAGAGGTGCACCAAGTATTAGAACATCTTTTAACACTTCTCTCAGACAAGTATTAGTTTCTAATAATCAAATGCAGGGTGTTATGAGACATTCTATAATTCCAATGCAACACATTAGAAGTATGCACAATTTATTATTTTCGAAAGAGCCTCCTAATCCTGGAAGTTATCAAAATCTATTTCCTGTAACAGTAGAAAATGATTTCAAATCCAAAAATCAGATACAAACTAAAAACAGACCAAAAAGATCTGTGACAACTAAATGCAACTTGGATGGTGTATATGAAGATGAAGGTTCCAGCTTAGCATTTGTTTTTGATAACACTGGATCAATGCAGCCAGAACTTGAACAGATGCGTGAAACTGCCAAAACTATCACCAAAGAGCTTACAGAAAAAAAAAGAAATTTAATCAAAGAATATATTCTTGTGACATTCAATGATCCTGGTAACATATATATTTTATTTAATTCATTTTACTAGCTTTGAATGTATTACTAGTTCAAAGAAATCATATCTATTTTCATATTAACATATCCATATGTTTAATTTATATTAGGTTCAATGTTTCATAACTTCATTTCCTTCTTTATATTAATGAGTTCACTAAAAAAGAACAGGAAATAAATCTCTGTAAATATTCATCATAATCTTTTACCATTCATATAAATGATATTAAAAATATTAAAAATATTTGAAGTAATAAATATGTAATTTGAAATCCACTGAAATAGATGGTTTCCTTAATAATTTAGTGATTAGAAGTATTTTACTAGGCATCTGACCCAAGTTGGTTTAGCCACACTTTCCTAGGGTAAAGTTATTTCTTTAATCCTTTGACTATGGGACCTCATTTGAGAGTTTCTACTACATGGCAAGTCCCAAAATCCAAAACGACGTTCAGAAACAGATTCCCCCCCCCCTTAAACTTGTTTAAGATACTATTTTGAGTCATCTTGCAAGATCTTAGCTTTCGAAAATCCATTTTAATATTTTTATTTAACTTTTAATAACATACGCATTCCCGGCCACACATGGGAATGAAAAATTAGAGCTGCAATCCCATAACGCTTCACTGTCTTGAGTATTTGCACATTTCTGAAAAGCACAATAACAGAAAATTATCATAAAAATAACTGTGTGTTCATAAAAATTAAATTATATTATTTCTAAAACAAGGTCACTGATGACGGGGTTCGAATTATATATTTCTTTGTATATAAAAATTTGTTCTTGCCTAAAACAGTTCCATGTTGAGGCATAGCACAGTTATAAATTTTATTATTGCACTTACATTTATTTTGAGTTTCAAACACTTTTATATCTTAGCAATATATATATACTGCTTTAGGTGGATGGAAAAATCATATAACAAGTGAAGTATCATTTTAATTCTTTATGTTTTTACATTTATTAATTTTTACTATTACACTTTAATTTTTGTATATTTTTACAATTATTTATTACATTATATATAATGTATGTAAAATGTAGGAATCTTACATTTATTTGTTCAGTATACAGAGATCCACATGTACCAAAATCAACATTCAGTCAAAACCTAAATAAAAAATTATAAAATTAACTTATTAATATTTATTTGATGTATTTAGATTTTAGATAGAATTTAAATAAAATCATGTATATGAAACAAATAACAGAGAAAGAATATACCTTGGATTCAGAATAAATCTGCATCTGATAGCTTCCAAATGGTCAGAATCCAGAACGACCACACTGAGTGAATTACAGGGAACTAATGAATGCCCTGACTAAGCCCCAAATTGAATATTGGAAGTGGGGCTTGTCCAAACCTCTTTAAGTGGAGACAGAAAAGGCCGAAAGTCACGTATCCCTGGCCGCTCCAGTGACCCAACTGTTGGCCGGGAAGGCAGGTATCTCATCCGCACCAGTGACCCAACTCCTAACGGGAAGAGACAGGTATCCTGTCCGCAGTCAAAGGGTTAAGAAACATGCCCAACTTGCTGATCTAATCACTAAACTTGTCTGTGATTAACTCTGAATATCAATTTGCAACATAGGCCCACTCTAGTCCATATCTACTGTTATTGTAAACATCACTTTTGCCTTTTTTCTTATGATTTAAGATAGAATATTTAAAAACTGAATATTCGCTTTTTTAAAGTCAACAAATCTTAGCATGAATAAACAAAATTTTTAACTTAACAAATTTAATAAACAAAATAATTTATATTTTAAATAAAGTATTTTGTAACAAATGGTCACAAAATTAAATGATTTCCCATAAAAATTTGTTGGCATTCAAATAATCTTTTCTGAATCAATTAGAAATATGATAGCTTTTTATAATATAACTCAACACTTAATTTTAAAAAAATGGAACATTATTACTACAAACTATTACAGCATTGGAAAACATATGTTACTTCTCACTCTGTAGAAGTTATAGTAATAGTCAGGATATTACTCTATTTTTATATCATATCCTTCATGTATCAACACATTTCTTCCAGTTTCACTATATTTCTCTGTCTCTACCTTTTTTCTGTTGGTCTACCAATCCATGCTTTGAAATATCTTGAAAGAGACTACACCTACTCTGAATTATTAATATTCTATAATTTTCTGATTCTAGTTCTATTAATTTATCACATTGTGTCGAGATCAATGTCCAAAAATATTTCTAATTTAAAAATTTAATGGAACTTTTTTTTTTAGATGTTGCAGCACCATTTTGTACCAACAGTTATGATGAGTTCATCAATGAACTAAACCATATTGAAGTAGATGGAGGTGGTGATTGTCCAGAACTGTCATTGACTGGTTTGAAGTCAACTTTAGAAGTAGTTAGACCAAAATCATTTATTTTTGTTATAACTGACGCTGATGCAAAGGATTATTATTCTGAAGAAGACATTCAGCTATTAATTATGAGAAAATCTCCATTTGTAAGTGAGCATTAAAAAAAAGAGAATTATTTTAATTTTATAACTATTATTTTCATATTTTAATGATTGAAATAAAAAGGGGAATCTTTTTGATATATTATAGACTGCCCCCACATTAAATTAAAATCTCCATAGTCATTTCTCCTCACAAGACTGTTTGTAAATCATTCCAGACCTTAGGTAATAGGTAATCTTTATGGAATATTTCTCAGAGGTCTGTGGAATCAAACTTATTTTTATTAACTGCAATGCTGATACAACTTGGGTTACTAATCTGATCTATTAACTCTATCTATTAATATTATCTAATCTATTAACTCCTTTACTTCATGATGCCATTAAATTGTGATATTTGAAAATTAATCTTAGCAATAGTGTGCATAAAAGTTATTGATGAATAAATGATACAAGAAGATTTTTCTTTACTTGGCTCTATAGTGAGTCTATAACTCTGGGATTGTCCTCAGTTGTGTTAAGGCCCTCCTACTCAATATTTCATGTATTTTCTTTTTTTAAATAATATTAATACATGGATTAATATTTTATGGAAATGAAACCAACTACTAGATTATAATAAATTCAGATATATTATTGTATTTTAACTTGTTCATGTTTTATATGAATTGCAATGCAATGTTTTCCAGATAATTACTAAATTATTATTAAAGTGTTTAGAAATCATAATAAAATAAATTCAGTTTTCTTAAACCACTTCCTTGTAAACATTATGTTGATAAGATGACACAACATTATTTCCAAAAAAGAACTGTATACTGTAATGGTGCAGGTTCACTTTTTTCTTTATAAGAAAATTCTTCAATCTTCCATCATTTTTTTTTTATCCTTTTCTTTCTCTCTCCCTTCCTTGCCTTACAGGCAATATCGATTGTGGTAGCAGTGGGAGTATTACGTAGGGTATATGCGTACGCCACTGTTGGCAGTACAAGTCTATTTTATTAAATCTTTTATGTTATTTAACATTTATCAATTTATAATTTATTTGTGGGAACTGTTTTGCAGACTTTTGAATGGGTTGTGCACAAGACCACACCTTTCCCTTTCTCCATTATTCCTCCTTCTTCCACCTGAAGCCGGTCTTCTAATCAGCTGCACAGCTTGTCTAAAGTTCTATTCTTCCCAGATTAAAATGTGTAGGGCCTTCAGCATCATTCCATTTCTATGTGAATTCCCTATAATATGGGTAATAAGTACTTGCAGAAGGGAATCGAGAAGTATTCCTCCTGCCAGTACTTGCACTGTCTCATGAGACACCGTTCTGTAGGCTCTGGTGACCTGAAGCCAAGCCAATCTCTGAATCGATGCTAACCCACTCTTCTGTCGGTGCAAAATGTTTAGGTTCCAGGCAGAGGACGCTTATCTCAGGACACCCAAAACTATCCCTTTGTAGATAGTCATTGTAGCTGGGTATGTCCATTTAGTTCCAGTAACCCTAGTTCTCATATAGTCCAAGTGAAGAGTCACGTTGAACTTCTGACCTATTCTTATACCATGGTAGGTGACTACCTCACTTGGACATACCCTTTCTTCTCCTATATTCAACATCATAGGATGAACCCTGTCAGTCTTGTCCTTCAATAGAATTGCATGGGTCTTTATGGCAGCTATCCCCAACTTCTTCCTCTCTCACTATCTTCCTACCAAGCTAGCCATCGTTCAGGCAATGATGTAACTTTTTTGACCGTATTTCTGCAAAATAAGCTTTTAGAGCCATTACTTCTAACTTATAGCTTTTTAGTTACTTTGAAAAAAAAATTATTAAGTGGGTAAAATCAATCAAATTGCATTGTATTAACACCCATAACTTTGTTAATAATGATCAAAGTAAGACAGGAACGAATTCAGTTTTCAAAATATAGAGAAGCGATAAATAGAGACATTAACACAAAGAAACGACAAAATAGAGACATTTTAATTTTTAAATCCTTAAGATTTGATGAGTATCCCCATTACAACCATAGGACGTAAAAGACTTTCAGCAATAATTATGCTTTATCTCTAAACGGTACATTTTAGAGCTTCAAAATGCAGGGTCCAGTAAAGTTCATTTGAAAGCGATCTTGTTGATCGCTTTGAAATCTTTAAAACAAAATTTATTTTTCTCAGTCCATTGACTCTTAAAACCATCTGAATTTTGAAATTTCACTATTTTTTAAATGATTTTTATTGTAATAGTAATAAGATTTTAAGTTTTGAAATTGGGATTCATCAACACTCCTTAAAATTCTCTTTTTTTTTATACCTCGTTCATCAAAATTCATCGCTCATGAATGCCAGAAAAGGGATCTATACTACCATATTATATATGTAGTGTTGATATTTACTAGAAAAATAAATATTGTATGTATACATTAAAAAGATCTGTTGCAATTTATTTGCATTGAAGAAATATATAAAGTTAGTTTTAAGTATTATTAAAATTATTTTATTTGTGTATTCTATATTGAACCCAAACTCAATAGTTAAATAGGGTTTCTTGCCTTTTAGCCAATTGAGAATCCGAATGTATTTATCAGTTTCAGAAACATTTACTTGATTATTTTAGATACATTTGCCTAATTAATAGTTTACAACTTTCTTTGAAAATGAATATCATAGTCTACTAGTTTATTTTTTTTTAGATATTCTTCTTGATGACAGAAAGGTGCGATGGCTGGCCAGATCAAAAAGGATTTGATGTATATTTTAGTATATCGAGACAAACAAATGGGCAAATAATAATGCTAGATAAATCTGATGTCAGAAAAAGTTCATTACTAAGGAAGGTAATTTAATTATTTCAATATAAAAAATATTAACTTTTTGTAAAATAAATTAGATTAGATTAGATAAAAAAACTGTTTAGATTTGGTTTTTGTGGAACTAAAGAAGTTCTATTATATTTACAGACAGTTTGTTATTCATTACATTTCCTCCAGCATTTCTTTTTCTGTAACCATATTTTTTCAAATCTGGTTATACAATAGTAAAGTATACTGAATACAATGGTTTTTTTTAGCAATATGATCAGTTTTTTTTTTTTTATGTCAAATAGTGCAACAAAGTTTTTAAATTTACATATTTGAAATTTTCAATGTTTGTACCAATATTTTCTTTATCTTTTAGTTATTCTAAATATTTAATTTCTTCATAGTTTTTGTTTCACTGGGGAGTTTCATGGTTCTAAGGAGTAATTGGCAATTTAACTTCCTTTAAAGTATACTATCAAATATTAATACTTACTATCAAATATTTAAAATAAGATTGTCAGTCAGGAAATACAACACTCTTTAAAATAGTGTAAAAAAATCTGTTGTAACCTCACTTTATCTGCGATTAATAGTTTTTATTCGGGAAGATACTAAAACATGGTATCAAAAGCTTTTTTGGAAAAGTTTACTATAGATTTTTCATGCTATTGAATAGTACAATTAATTTCCAGAATTTGACCATTTGGGACTGACACACCTCATGTAGTGTGATAGATCCATTTAGTTGTTGATTTAGTAAATTTTTGGGTTAACAGCTTTATTAAGTTAATTATTTGATCACAAAGTATCAAATTGAAAAAGCATATTTATTAGAATATATTTTATGTTAAATGATTGTTTTTAAAGATTTTTCATAATTTTGTAACATTTTTATTTTTTAGATGCTGGATAGTCTTACTGAAGACTTTCTTCAGCACGGTTTAACTTCTCTTAAACGGGTTTCTTCAAATAAGCCTGCTCATGTTCCTTATCCAGTAGCTATTCCTGTGGATCCTGGAATCAAAGAAGTTATTTTTGCGGTCAGTGGTTCTAAACCAAAATTAGATATAACAGATCCAAAAGGTGACAAGCCTCCTGGAGCACCTAAAGAATTTCCCAAGTATATAAGTGTAACTTATAAAGTAAGTATAACAAATTTTAATCTATAAGATTTTGTTTATTAGATTTAACAGCCTTATATGCTCCGATTAAGATAGAAGAAGTGGGTTATGTCAGAATAGAGGATATAATATTATTCAAGCCCTATTCTAAGATTTATTCTATGATTTCACTATATGATGTTAGTCAACTTTCCAATGCTGGTTGTGAAACGTATGATAATCTGAAGAAAATGTAAGCTAATAGAAAAAGACAATACGGTTAATACTTGTTTCATGAATTTCATCAAAAAACTTTGTCTGAATCAGTAAATTGAAGACAGAACTTATTCTAAAGGAGATGGCTTAGAATGGGCATGCTATTCCGGACTTGTACCAAAGGCATAGGAATAAGATAGCTTGGATACTACTTGAATGTGATATGGGAAATTTATATGGATCAGCATTCTAAGTTTCAAAATATATAAAGTCCTTAGTACTGATACCTTCCTCTTGATATTGTGTTATATTAGTGGGTCCTGCATTCCATTCTTCCAGCTTAAAATCTGAATCCAAGAAATGGAAACAACATTTATGTTAACTCAATGGGTGGCTAAAGTGGGTTCCAAACAATGATAAGATTGGATTTTGATACAAGTGTTCTGAGAAAATGTTAGGAGAGTATTGTTAGTAGTTTTTTCTTAAATTACATCAAAAGGTTCAACTGAAAGTATTTATTAATGCAATAAATCATCAATACTACTATATAGATAAAAAAAATTCAATGTTAGTTCTTTTAACCAAATATTATATCCAAATTAATTATTGTTTATCTTTTATATTTATTTATTTTTCTTTTTTTAAGGAGCCAATAGCAGGTGTCTGGAATGCAACAGTCGGCAGCTCTTCAGGTCATTCCTTTTCTTCATATGGTATTAGTAAAATAAAAATCACGAATGGTTTTTCAGTTACACCAACAAAAAAATTGTCTGAAACTTCCCATAGACCACTAAAAAGTAAGTATTAGAGTCTTATAATTCAGTTAGAATTTTTATTTGATAATGATATTCCACTTCAGAGAAGGATATTTTCTAATAAGCTGGAAAGAACAATAGACTCATGTCTCTGGTAGAGGTGGGAAGTTCGATTATTTTAACTGAACCAATTAACAATGGTGAATCGATTCTTATGAACGATTCTTTGATTGACTCGTTTCATTCTCGTTTTTTCTTTGAATTAAAAAAGAACTTTTTATTGAAAAAAAACAAAAACAATAACAAACATTCTCTTTGTTACCTTAGCTATGAGAGGATAAGTAATTCAGAGATTTCTTCTGGATGGTGAACAGAAGCCAAAAAAACATTTGTCCCTAAGCATAATTCGTGTAAGGATTGGGAAGGCAAGAGAATATTCTCAAGTACTGGAGAATCTATTTTAACAGTGTGTAAATAACCAAATAAAGTTAAATGTAAATAATTTGTTTTGGCCGGAATATTCCTTCCGTTTTTTATCGGTGGACTAGGTTATTTACACTCGTGAATATTAAAACAAAACCCTAGCACTGGATATAGACTTTTTGAGGGTGTTTAACTGTTGTTGGGAATTCGGGAACATAATACCTTTGTGACACTGAGTGACAAGAAACAATAAGAATATATATTTCTGAAATGTGGGACTTAGTAAATACACTTTAAATGAATTGATTCACCAGGTTTGTTATTCTTCAATTGTGAGGCATATAGGACAACTAAATAAAATGACTTTTCACTCTTGTATAATAAAACAATTTATTTTAGCAACTGTAATAAATTAAATATTTAAAAGTCTTATAACTGTAGGCTTGATATTCTTAGTCTTCAATGTAGTAAGCCTCTCTTCCCAGATGACGTCTTCTCGTCTTCGTGCCTCTCGGCGTCCTTCTGCCAGCTGTTGCTACCTGCTCTGACCTTTTTCCAGCTTCCTTCTTCATCGATTGTTTATGATATGAGACTTTTCCATGAATAATTTGTCTACTGCATAGTTGAGTACAATTCACAGTGCAACCTCACATTCCTACTGCTATGTTCCTGGCCTCGCGTTTCTACGGCGAGTAGAGGGTCCCAGGATCCGCATTTATTTATATTTATATCGGTTCCAGAAGGGAACCGACCAACAGAAAAAGATATGAATTATGTATTTAAAGGTTAGATACCACAGACCCCCTACTGTAGTATCCTAGATTGAATTATATAATTTTTATTGAATTTCTTTTCTAAAGGTATCATGTTTATAAATTTACTATTTGTTCTATAACTAATTGGTGGCATGCAAGGTAGATTGTAAAATTACTAAGATGATTTAATAACTACTATATTTATAAGCTTAATTAACCAAAAACATATATATATATATACAAAATAATAACCAAAACATATATACAATGAGTAGTCCAAAGTCATACTAGAGGAGAATGCTATGTTTGGATATGCCTGATTAAAGTTACTAATGCTCTATTGATTGTATTAATGATTTATGGTTGCCAACACGAGTTTACATATAGATAACTAAATGAATGTTACCACTTAGCTGGTTCTTCCTGGTGAGGGGGGTTGCCGGTGTCTCTAGCCGTCATCTCTGGATTCCCTGTCCCTGCTGCTCCTTCAGCCTCTAGTCCGTCCATCTGCTCTCTCCGGCTGTCTTCCTCCAAATCCTTCCATGTTGCTCTCTCAGCCCCCAGTCTTCATCCGTCCTCGCTTGATTCCCAGCTTCAATTGTCAAGTCCAAGTCCTCAACTGTCCTAGCTTGACTCCCCTTCCCCTCTCTTTTTGTACTTTTTCCTGATTGGCTGAATTTTCCTAGCATAAGGGATGACCACGCCCTCTTCCCCAAGCCAAGATATTCCAGCAGGTATATTTTAGGTATATATTAGGTCTTTCTGGTGGAAGGTCTTTCTGGAAGGTATTAATGTTAATTTTAATCCTATTTAAACATTCAGGCCTTGGACTGTTGTCGGTCCTGAAGTGTTTCTTTGCCCCTGTAAGAATGGTGTCAGTCTTTTGGGGTTCTTAAGTATTTTTATTTCCACTTATGAAAGGTTGCACTCGTGGGTTGTTGCTCTCGCTCAGGTACCCAACCGCCCAGGTTTTAGCACTTATGATTTTTATTTATTTATACCTTTGAAATGATTAAATAAATTCCACTGGCGGTCTTTAGAATACATAGCACTATATGTTATATATTCCTTCTCATTTCCTCACACAATGTCACATGAAGGAGTAAATACTGTTGGATGTCTACTACAAGTGTCCCTAAAAATGAAGAGATACTATCGGATCTTGAAATCAGCAATCTAGTCAGGGAGAAAGACATCAAAGAGACTTCACCCAATGTTGAGCCCACTTCTGAGGATGGGATGTAGATTGCAGTGAATAAACTAAAGAATAATAAAGCTCCTGGATTTGATGGTTTAACTTCAGAGTTATTCAAACAAGGTGGCAGTGGACTGCATACAGTACTGCAAGATGTTAAACTTACAACATGTATGACGGAGTTGATGCCATCTGACTGGACCAGAGCCAGATAGAGCCAGAAAAAAGACTTGGACTACCTTCTGTTTAACTTAGCTCTGAAATCAGACAAGTAAAAATGCTGGTTTGTAGAACAAAATTAAATGAACCTATTCAGCTCATGACTTATGCAGACAGCATTGACATCATCGGAAATTCAACAAGGGACATCATAGAAGCATCCCTGGTATTGATACAGATAGCTCTGGTTATCGTGCGGAGCATTTTTTCTTAAATATTTCAACACTTCTTTCTAGGGTGCTGGTTAATGTTGAGGTCTTACTGCCATATATTAGAACTGGCTTTATCATAGTATTGTACACCCTTAATTTAAGATTTTTTGAGATTTTTCAGAATTTCAATACCTTTAAACTTCTTCTTACCTGGGGGATTGGTAAGAAAATATTTTGTCATTGCAAAAAATTAAAAACAAACAGAGAAAAATTGGGGAGTTAGAAAGACATTGATACATCTCAAATAATTCAGAACCCTTATTGAGAGCTTTAGTGTTTTGTAATTCAAGACATCATGATGGAGCCTCAATGAAATAAGATTAACTTTATTAAAAGATAAAAAAATGCATTTGATATTAGTATACTAGAACACAGAGCTGTTCACTGATTTATGTTCCTTAATTAATGGACAGTTTTTCTTGTGGCATTTATAGCTTTAAAAAATGTAAATTAATAAATGTAATAAACTATAATATTTATTAAGTAATGTTTCTTACTTAAAGTATACATTTTTGTGCAACATTCTTAAAGGAAGAAGAGTTTTGTGGTAAATTAAAAAACTCCAAATTAAAACTTGGTCTATGTTATATTAAATATTGACTGAAATAATCACTAATGTTATTTAAACTATTTTTAAATTAATGTCTTTAAACAGTATATTTAAACTTTCATAGATAGCAATAAATTTTAATAAAATCTTGGTTTTGTATTCTATCCATTTCATTAGTTTTGGGAAAAATAAATATGTTGAGATAATTTTTGTAAAAATTATATTTAAAATTTTAAAAACTTAAAAAAAAAATGTCCACGATTTCATCCACTGTATTCCAAATAAATTTTCAATTTCTATCTTTACAGGATAAATATTTGAATATCGTGGCAAGTCCATGAAAACCATTAACCTTTTTCTCTTAATTCACTGATTTACTTCTGTAAATTTTATTTCTTATAACTTAGTATATTTCAATATGATATAAGCAATGATATGAGCTTTCACATATTATTTCCCAAGAAGAAAATAATAGAAAGTTGGATGAAACCAGAGTATATATAACACAAACAATTAGAAATAATGATTTACTGACTGTTTTATTTCCACCAACTATCACCTTTATTTATATTTATAATTATTTAATGTCTTGGAATGTTTATAATTTTAAAATAAATAAAATAATTAATTTATATTTTTTAGGTGCTGAGAATTATCTGCTCATAGAAGCCTCTAACCCAGAATTAGTCAAAAATATTACACATGTGGATCTAGTAGATTTAAATGGAAAGGTTTTGGGCACTATACCTTTAAAAAAAGATGATACCACAAACACACTTTATTACAGTGGACCCTTTTTACCTCCTGATAAACTTTTTAATATGGAGGTATTATAAACATCATTTTCTAAAATATTTATTTTTATTTTTTTAATAAATTAGGTATAAATAATACTGAAGGATTATTTTAATTTTTTAGTCTTTTCCGTTGTTTATTTTTTCTTTCGAATCCGCCTCTGAATATTGTTTATATTACACATAATAATAACATGTTGGTAAATTAAAGAAAATTATTGAATAAATTGTAATATCTCTTATATTTTAAACTAGTAATATAACTTCGGAAGATGACTATATGCCGTTGGGATACTTCTAAAATAAATAAGAGGTTGTTAAATAAAAACAAAATTATAAGAATATTAATATAATAAACTGAAAGTTACAATTATTCTATCTCAGGTATGTATTACTGACAATTAGATCAAAAGACGCATACAGACTAAAATTATTTAGACTAAACACTGTTTGATTTTAAATTAAAGTCAATTATGGATTGAAAAGATAACCTTTTTCTAAAAACACTGTCTCTTCCTTTGTGGCACTGAATTAATTTGTCTTCAAACACTTTCCAATGTTCTCCCAAACACAACTTCCAAAATGGTGACACTTTCATCTATTAAACTCAGCTCCCTGTGAGATCCTCTTTCTCTTGTAGTTGCAAACAACCAGTCCCTTTGCCAAACAAAAACTGCTTGCCAAAACAAAAATCCTTTGTCCCTCCCCTCTTTGTGATTTTCCTTTTTTCGTGAAACTACAGATCAGCTATGAACAATTGTTCAAAACTGGTATTTGTAATGAGCAATGTCAGGAGGTGAATACAGCAGGTGTGATTAGATATCTTTTTTGAGTGTTTGCAAGTTGTTGAAACAACGGAAAATCTCTTTTTCAGGTCTCTTGGCTTGAATTTGTTTAGAACCCTATTGCTTTTCTTTTTAGTTTTCCACAGATTCTACTGGCTCTTCTTTCATGTGACGCAATTCTTCGTTCAATCATGACTCCAACTCGTTATCACCACTTTTGGATTACCTAAATTAGTAATCACAATTGCGATTTGATAGATGATCCCAATAAGCATAATGATCTTTTTTTCTTCAAATGGAATCAGAAAATTAAACCTTCCGTTGGTAAGAAAGTTGACAAAAAAATCTTTTGTCTACACTTGTTAAAATGACCCATATTGTAAACTAAAGCTTAAGGCTGATTGGGCTATGAAAGCGGAGCTGAGCGGAATGAAGTCAGAGGGGGTCAGTAACCGATTGGATCGGGGACCCCAGCTCAGTCAGCAACTTGCCGTGCATCAGTATCCTCATATTCCTTATAACATTTTTTAAAAATATATATAACATTTTAAAAAATAGCAAAGTTGGTCATGTCGAATTTGAAAAGAATAATCGAATATTTGTGCATAAAATCGAGTATTTTATAATACACATTCGATTAAGAATTCTTCCATATTCATTGCATATTTTATGTAGTAAATAGCCCCCTGTATTTACTCCTTTTTGTGACATTGTGTGAGAGGATGAGAAGGAATATATAGGAATGTGAGGTTGCACGATGAATTGTACTCAATTGTGCAGTGGACAAATTATTCATTGAAAATTCTCATATCGATAAACAATCCATGAAGAAAGAAGGTTGGAATAGGATGGAGCAGGTAGCAACAGCTGGAGAAGGATGCTGGAGAAGAAGAGAGAAGCCACTTGAGGCTGGGACACCAAGGCGAAAGGACGTTACCTCAGAAGAAAAGCCTACTACACTGAAGACTAAGAATATCAAGCCTACAGTTATAAGACTTTTAAATATTTAATTTATTACAGTTGCTAAAATAAATTGTTTTATTATACAAGAGTGAAAAGTCATTTTATTTAGTTGTCCTATATGCCTCACAATTGAAGAATAACAAACCTGGTGAATCAATTCATTTAAAGTGTATTTACTAAGTCCCACATTTCAGAAATATATATTCTTATTGTTTCTTGTCACTCAGTGTCACAAAGGTATTAGGTTCCCGAATTCCCAACAACAGTTAAACACCCTCAAAAAGTCTATATCCATTGCCGGGTTTTTGTTTTAATATTCACGAGTGTAAATAACCTAGTCCCCCCACTAAAGCGGAAGGCTATTCGCAATTCAGGCCAAAAAAGAATATTTACAATTAAACTTTCAACATATTGTTTACATTTACTCTGAACCAAAATAAAATAATTTTAGAGGTTATGCAGTGAGAACATGTGGAAAAAAAGGATGGTACTTTAGAACATAGCCACACGGTTATGAGGCAGTGGTGAGTAGGTGTGGTTGGAGAAGCCGAGTGTAGCTTCAAAACTGAACCTCGGTCGTATCAAAGCTGACCTTGGGATGTCGCTCAGCTCTGCTCCGCATCTGGAGGCCAACCTTTCATTAAAAACCATTGATTTGGTTTTGAAAGCTGACTCAGCTCAGCTCAACTCCGCTTTCGATGGCTGGTCAGCCTTATGATGACACTTTAATCTGAAGGTGGTTAGGTTATGGCCCAAAACAATTTAATACCATGAGCATCAACAATAAGTTGTAATTAGAAATAAAGTTTTTTATATCATAATAATTTTGTTCATAGATAAATGGCTTTGCTTCAGATGGTTTCCCTTTGAAAAGGATTTCACCTAATGCGTTTCTACCTCAACTTCCAGGTATTAAAGTTTATTATAATGTATTGAAATCTTAATTGATTATATCTTACAAATTCTTAATATGTAAGAATATTTTTGTTTTTGAATTATTTTTTTATGACTTTAACTTCCACCTCCTAAAGTTTGAAAATACTATCTTTCTTGAAACTCAACTACCTATATTTCTTAAATAATAATGAAGACTACGTGGAACCATTTATAATATGTAATGGTTCATTGAGGCATCTACTTGAAAATTTTAACTACTTTAAAGTAGTAAATATTATTAAATAATTAGAAAAATATTGATAAGTGTGATATAAAACTAATATAAGATGTTTCTGTATATTTAATTAATCTTCCTAGAATTCCACAAAGTATCTTTCTATTTTGGGCCATTTATTATCTTGTTGTAATTTTTTGGCAATCATTTGTCAATATTTTACTATCAATATATTTATAAAATGTTTAATATTTATTTTTCCAGAACTACCATATATGACATTATCGAAAGAAAACACAATTGATGAAGGTACAACTTATACCATCAAATGTCGTGTTGAATCTTTGGTTCCTACAACTGTAAAAATTTATAAAAAAAATTATCCTGAAGTCCAAAAAGTTCAAAATATGAAGTGAGTCATTTATTTTATAGAATATAAACTGTTATAATATAGCTTCAGTATATGTGATATTAATAAGGTAGGAATGGTTATAAATTCTTCATTATTATTAAGATTTTACATTACTAATAGTTGAAACAATATTTCAAACAGTAACAGTTTATTTATTGCATAATTTAAGATATTTAGTTTAGTAAGTATCATCAGTCAATTAACATTTCATAATTTCTTACAGGTGTAGTATAGAGTTATGTAATCTTAAGATTTCGTGCTTAAGTTATTATTAATTTAGTAATTTGAATACTTGATGGTTGACCATGGTATATTATTGAGGAAGGAGATGGTTGGGGGTGGCGGTCATAAAAGGACTAAAATAGTGAGAGAAAAAAAGTTTTATTTTAAGCTAACGCTTCGAACCTACTTTGCAAGTCTTCTTCAGGGCTAGAACGAAAAAGATACAAAAAGATATACAAAAATGTGGAAGTTAAATAATATTTAGATAAAAATTATCAACAATGTGAACAAAGTTATTAAAATTATAAAAAATGTCGCCGTGGCCAGGTTAAGAATAGGACACACGAACCTAACCCATGTACATCTCATCACTAAGCAGCCACCACCAAATTGTCAGCATTGCAATAACCTTCTCACAGTTAACCATATTTTCCAAGAATGCCCTTATTATACTTCAAGCCTAAATCGATTGTCTCTAAAACCGGATATATCAGCAGTATTAAGCAACAATGAATCAAATATAAAAACAGTGATACATCTTAAAATACATAGACCGTTAAATAAAATATAGAAATAAATATAATTTTAATTTATTGTTCTTTCTTTTTTAATATTTATTTTAGTATATTTCATCTTTTATATGTTTCTAAATTTCTTTTTATTTATTACTATATCTATTATTAATTATTAACTCTCCTCTTAATATAACCGACTCACAGGCGTTGATGACCCTATGGTTTTACACCTTAAAGCCTAAACAAACAAACAAACATTATAAACAATGTGACTATTTAATTAGTCATAGATATAATTAGTTCATACATATTGTATTTTTTCTTGGATCCACCAATATTTTAAAATTTTAGATATTGTAATATTCCTGGTTTTTACTTTGTTTGACTACTTATCCCCACCATTCCCCCAACCAGGTCAACCATGTGTTTTCTCCATGTTTTCCCAGTTTCAACCGAAATTCCATGCTGCATACATCCGTAAGTCTCTATTTTAATTTTAATATAAATGTTCTTCAAACTGCCTTTATGTCCATTATTTCTTATTTTTTTATTATTTTTCATTTTTCTTTCAATCTTTTCTTGTAATCCATAGGAATATATTAATAATGTAGAGATGGTTGACCGTGATATAGTTTGAGAAGGAGTTGATCGGTGGAGGGGGGGGGGGTGCGGTCAAATAAATGATAAATTATTAAAAATAATCTCAGATTATATTAATAATTATATATTATTAATATAATCTCAGATTATATTAATAATTATATATTACTAATATATAGATTATTAATATAATCTCTGATTATATTAATAATTACGTTTATTATCCATCCTCCTTATTACATTCAATTTTTCTCTACCTACAATAATTGTCACCATTTATTTACTTCAGTTTAGGATCTTGTTACTTAGTTATACTCCGTTTATTCAGTTCATATAGTTTCTTGTTCTTAATATTTCTATGTGCTTTCTATTCACACTGTTTATAATTTTAATAAGTTTATTCACATTGTTTATAATTTTCATCTAAATATTACATAACTTTAAATTTGTCTATATCCTTTTATGTCTAGTTCGTTCTAGCCCTGAAGAAGACCTGCAAAGTTGGGTCTAAACATTGGCTTGAAACAAAATAGTTTTTTTACTATTTTAGTCCTTTTATGCTTGCCACCCCGGACCATCTCCTTACTCAATAATTTAGTAATTATTTTTAAAGTTATGTCAGATAGCTATAATGTTTTTTTTCTTTAAAGGCAGACAGGAGATGTTTACTTTGAACTAAGAAACATATCTATTAAGGACGAAGGTATCTATATATGTGAGGCTAATAACGTAGCTGGAAGTAAATTGAAAGAAATAAAAATTAATATTAAGAGTAGGTATTATAAATAAATCTTCTTTTTTTTTTTGTTATAAATAATATTATTTGTTTTTGTCTCTTGATTTTAGATTTTTTTTTTTCTTTAAATATTCGTATCTTTAAGATAGCAGTTAACATGCTCTTATATTCTTGAATTGAGGCTCGATGTTACAGGAGTGAAATAAAATTCAATTAAAAGATGTCCTCTGGAATATAAATGTTTAAATTTTCTTTTTATGTCCTCTGGAATATAAATGTTTATATTTCCTTTTTATCATTTGTGTTCCTTCATTAGCCTGATGAAGGACTGCAACCAGTAGCAAGAAAGAGTAAACAATTAAATCAAGGACAATGTATTTTTATTGAATATGTTCTTATATACATTTCTTTGGATTGGTATTGGTCAGATTGGTATTTTTTTTTTTTTTTTGTTCCACATAACCTTATTTCTATTTCATCCTTTATTAGCACACATGGTATTGCTAAGTATTTTTAGAAATTTTCTCATATTCAAGAGGGGTTTGCCTATAAAGTAACCGCGATTTATCCAAATATTACAATGGTAAATCCGTTTTCTAATTTTAATTTCAGCTTTACATAATTCAAGAGTTCATGGACAGTGATTTTTTCATTATTGATTATGTATTAAAGATAATTATTTGAATAAAATAGTTCTTTTAAATGGAACCTCTTTTGTTTTACTGTGTTTAGAAAGGAGCAATAGGCCCGACCCTTTTCATCAATTAACAAATTGGATTAAAAAAAAAAAAACCTGTACCACTACAACCCATGAAGGATCGGGTTCAGTACTATTTAGGGAAAGCACTGTTTCTAGGTCAACGGTTGTGCAAGGAGGTGATTTGACCGAGATCACGCTCAATCGCCAGGTTTTCCCCCTTAATCAATTGTTTAATTTAGGGTACCCACTTTATAGAGGCTGGGTGAGCCCCAGGAACGTCTCCCGACCCAGGGTCGCCCCATGGCCAATGAAACAGATAAATAAATTTTCTGCCATGAGCCGGGGTTCAAACCCGGGACCTTTAGCATTGGAAGCTCAGTACCCTACCACTGAGCTACCCCACTCCCTATTAGATAAACAGATTGGATTATACTTGGTGGATATTCAGTATTATTATGTGTTGTGCCACTGTATTATTTTCTCCCTCTGTATACAAAAACCATTTAGTGCGAACATTTTTCTTTGATTATCTGAAGAACATCACTCTCTATTAGACTTTAGGGACCTCTCTTGCTGTACCCTTGTAGGCAATGCTTTAAATTTTTACTTATAGCTTTATTGAATTTAATGATATTTAATTATGTTTATTTACTTTTATTGCTTAATTGTAATTTCTCTTAATCATTTTATTTACTTGTTTTTTTATATATATAGCAAAACCTCCTGTTGTATCAGTGAAAGATGAAGTTTTGTTCACCCTTCATAACAAAGTCCTAATACCCTGTATAATTTACAGTATTAATCCATATACAATAAAATGGAAGAAAGGTATATTGTTTACGTTAAATAGTTTTTTATATTCTCTTTTCTTAAATATTGTGTCATTTTTAATTAAAAATTTATCTGAAATTAAGAATTTATATCCATAATTTAGGGACAATTTCTAAGTGGACTGAAATATATAATTCAACCAATATTCAGAGTATTGATAAAGGTCTTATAATCCAGAACCCGAATGCCACCGATGAAGGATGGTATCAGTGTACTGCTTCAAGTTTAGGTATTTTATTTTAATTTGTCTTCATATTTTTACTTTCACTTATTTTTAAATTTTTCTTTCTTTATTTTAATGAAATTTATAATTAGATTTATTATTTTAGATTATAAAATATTACTTAGATGATATCTTTACTTATTTTACATTTATAGAAATGGTAGTATATTTTTTACACATCTCTTACAAAAATCTCTATTACAAGAATTGATTCATATTTACTAGTCACGAAATGAATGTTCCTAGCCCTAAAATTTACTTTTAAAATAAAAAAACCTGTTGATTGCTAAATTATTTTCACAAAAACAAATATTAGAATCAGCAACATTCAGTTTGTCATTTATAAATATGGATCAATTCCTATGCACACATACACCATTTTTCGAGACTTGGTTTTTTGGACTCAGGGGATCTCAAAACCGGGTATTTCCATTGAAAACTCAAATTTGAAATTTTTCAAGGTCAGAATACTTTCCCTTACTATATATTTCATACATAGGTAAATGGAGGGCAGGGTGGCCGAACAGGCTAACGCGTGTGCACCGCCGTTGCTCAGCAACCTGAAACATGAGATAACTGAATAAAAATAGTCACGAGTCCGCGTACTGGTGCCGGGGGAGTCTTTTAAATCCCCGTCCTCACACCCTGGCCCGGGAGGGTCTTTAAAATCCCCATATAGCCTTAAAGGCAAGGAAGGGGAGAAACACAAAAAATATATATAGGTAAATGAAAGTAAAAAGTGTATTTAGGCAATTATGATTATTATAATGCACCCAGACCATGGAAAAACAAAAAAAAAAAAGCTTTTCAACGATTTATTGTTGTCATTTTTGCTGAAAACATGGATACTTTTAGGTGACAAAACATAAAATCACATTTTCCCAAAATAAACCTCAACTTAATTAATACGGATCTAAAGCTTATTAAAATCATTCTGAGGATCGGACACCATTAGCTCCTCCTATCTGAAAGTTAAACAATGGTGTATGTTTTCTTAGGAATGATTTAAGTCATAATATTATGTTTTATATTTTAATACATATGAGCATGAAATAATAAAGAACAGTGAGGCCTGAAGAAGGAATTTGCTTCAAATGTCAAAAGATAAATAAATGATATAAAGGAAGCCGGGATTGCTTTAATGTATCGATGAGTTGATTGATGACCTCATCGAAAATTGAAGACAATATATAAAATATACTTTTTGTAATGTTCTTTGTCTTTCATGAATTAATCTATCAAGTAAAATAATGATTCTGTGGGCAAAGTACTTCTTGTTATTAGTTACTACTGCGAGATGCATTATGGTCAGCCATATATATAACATGATTACTTAATATTTCTTTACAAGGCTGATTTAATCCCTTTTTAATTAGTCTCAAGAAGCTTCTCCTCAAAAGTCTAACTGATTAAAATGAAATGAAATAATACATATTACCAAAATGTTTTCATATTTTATAGTTAATATTCGGCAACAACTGTTATTTGTTATTATTTTATATTTAGTATTTTTTTTTTTTTTTTTTGACAGGAGGTAACTCTGATGGATCTACCTACCTGAAATTAAGTTTGCCACCATCAATTGAAATATCAGGTTTAAGAAAGTTTTACGAACATTTTAATCTAACCCTTACTTGCTCAGCTATTAGAGGAATACCTGTCCCACAGCTGAAATGGAAAAAAAATGGGAAAGAGTTAAATGTAGGTATTTTCTCATAAGTATTTTTTGTTTTATTATTATTATTATTTCATAATAACTGAGAGTGAAAAAACAAATAAATAAATAAAAAATAGATGAAAAAAAGATTGAGACAAAACTATTATTAGAGGAAACTGGGACTAGTTGTCATAGCTTTTATTTTTTCATTCTCTAAATAATCTTTTGTTTGCATCAGGGTTTTGTTTATTTATACTCATAAGTTTAATCTTAAAACCAAATGCCAATTCTGGATAAACTTTTTGGGAATGTCTATGGGACTTTGGGGACCTAATTCTTAAATGACATTTTGTGGCAAGAATAATAAGTACAAATGAAATTTTGGAATGGGTGAATAAACTTAGAATGTATTGGACTCACCTGGTTTTGTTGATTTTCCACTGTCCAAATGAAAAATATTGAGGATAGGAATACTAAATAAAAAGGATCATATTCATTCCTGGCCAAAACAACTAATTTATTTTATATGACAAAAGTCACATAACGAGTAATAATTAAAAAACATCTAGCATTTCTTCTATTCTTGAAAAACACTCCAGTAGAGTGGTCACTCTCTCACGTTTTTACCAGAACCTCTTCCCTTCATATCTCTGCCTCAAGTTCCCAGTCTTCACACTCACGTCAGCGTCTCTTTCCAGCTTTTTCATTGCCCCTTTGTTAACAGATTGTCTATAAATGCACATTTAGCAATTCCCACACAACAAATTTTTCACTGCATAATTAAGTCTAATTCATTGTGTATTTTACCAGCCCTATTCAATTTCTCATAATCCCCTCACTCAATGTTACTTAAGATACAGGTTAATATTTCCCCTGGGTTGGCACCTTTCTATCACCATAAGACTTTGACAGTGATAAAGCAGGCCATCCATTACAATGCAGTAATTGAAGAGAATCTGGTGAATACGGCAAATAGCTTATCTCTTGAACAACAAAGGGCAATTTAGTCGAGTAAACCTTGTAAATTGTAATTTGCATTAAGTGGTGGTTGAAGATTTTCTTTTATGAGATGTAAAATCCAAAGTTTCAATCACAGCTCTCTCTCTCTGCTTTAAGTTATTAATCAATCAACAATATCCTGTCAATAATGGTAACCAACTTTTTGATATCTTTGATTTCAAACAATAGGTGGGATGTTATACATAAGCTTTGCAATCTTCAAGGCATAGAACATTTATGGCAAAGATTTGATTGGTTTTGGTTATCTATAAATTTTATAATTTTCTGAAAGCTGCTTTATACACACTTGGTTAGAAATTATGTATTTAATTATGTGTCTTTGTTGGAATGTTGGAAGAAGATTTTATCAGTGAAGAAGAAATTGTGGATGCTATGGTCTCACTGAAAATAGATAGGATTGCCCCTGATCAAGTATATGAACCAAAAGGGAATAGAAGTATTCCAGCACTTTTTAAACCTCGTGTGGAAAATAAAGAACATTCCAAAAGATTGGAAAGTATCTGTTATAGTACCAATATTTAAGAAAGGGGACAACAGAGAATGTAAAAACCACCGGGGGATATCTCTTCTAAGTGCCCCGAGTAAAATATACTCAAAGATTTTAGAGAGTCGTCTACCAAGAAAAGTGGAATCCTGCCTGAGTGAAGAACAATATGGATTTAGGCCAAATAGAAGTACCCAGGATCTCATATTTACTTTAAGACCAATTTCTGAAAAATTAATAAAAAGGGACAAAGAGATATATGCTTGTTTTGTAGACCTCACTAAGGCATTTGACCGAGTGAAGAAGCAAGACATAGAAAAAGACTTAGAAGACAAAGGCATTGAAACAGGCCTTCGTAAGGCAATTCTAAGTCTCTATAAGACCCAAAAAAATGTTTTGAGAACACACAATAATATATCAGAAGAGTTCACAACTAATCAAGGTATTAGGCAAGGGTGCAGTCTAAGTCCTCTGTTATTTACACTAGTGCTAGACAATGCAATAAAAATAGAAAATCAAAGTATGAGATCATATCAAATGGGATACAGAAATCTACAGCCTGTATTTTTCTCTCTGTTTGCTTATGCAGGTGATTTGGTGGTTTTCGGAAGCAATGGACGAAACCTGCAATTCAACATCCGCATTCTTCAGGAGGAATTAAATAAGATAAATATGCAAATAAATGTGGAAAAAACCAAAACTATGAGGATTGGCAGAAAACAAAGAAGAGGAGACAGAATAGTGCATTTGAGTGAAGTTGTATTGGAACAAGTGAAAAATTTTAAATACCTCGGTGCCCACATCAATAAACATGGATGAATCGACGGAGAAATAAAGGAAAGAGTGAAGTCTGCAGGAATGTGCTTCAACGCCATAAAGAAAGGATTCTTGAACAAGAAAGAAGTGAGCAAGGAGACCAAAACGACCGTGTATAAAAATACTTTCCTCCCGGTAATGACCTACTCCAGCGAGTCATGGACCCTCACCACAAAACACATCAGTCAGATTCAGGCCATGGAGATGCGATTCCTGCTGAGGGTCGAAGGAAAAACAAAGAGAGATCGCATAAGGAACTCCATAATACGGAAAAATCTAAATGTAAGACCAGCCGAAACTTCACGAAACTGTGATGGAGGAAAATCGTTTGAGATGGTTTGGTCATGTCTCTCGAATGCCAGAGAATCGAATGGCCAGGATAACGTTGAAAAGTAAAGTTGAGGGAAGAGGACCTCAGGGAATGCCCAGGAAGACCTGGGAGGTCAGTGTCAAGGAGGCTTTTGACAGAAGAGATATTGACTGGAGGAGGAGGTGGCAGTTGGCTCATGATCAAGAGTTGTGGATTCGGCTCAACAAGAAGGCTGCTCATACCACTCAGCGGTAGAAGAGGAAACGATTAAGAAGAAGGAGAAGAAGATTATGTGTCTTTTATTTATTTTGTTTCTCTGTGTTGTCAATATCTGTAGATATAAACCTTGTTGCTTGCCGTCCTGTATGTGGGATATGTTGTGGTGTTTGTGATATTGAATATTATAATATAGTGACCATTTATTTATTTATTAAGTTTAATTTGATGTGTTATTAACTTCAGGATTAAAATTACCATAATTGTTCTATTTCAGGGAGGAAATGGAAGGATATTTTTTACTAATACACAAAAATATAGTAGAGTTGAAATTATAGATGCTCGTCTTGAAGATGAAGGAAATTATGAATGTTCAGCAACTAATTTTGCTGGCCAAGGTTTTTTTTTTAAATATATATTCTATCCATTAAATAAATTTTAAAATTCTAAATTGAAATTTTAAAAACTTAAAATAAGATTTAGTAATGAAAAGTTACCATTAACTAGTAATTAGATATAATGAGTATTACATAAGTAATTAAATATTATAAAAGTTATTTGCAGTAATGTTAAAAAAATACACGATTAAAATAATTTATCATTTTCTAACTATAAACCGTATAAATTTAATATTGTTAAGATTACAAATTATTTTTCAGATACCCAAGAATTGCAGTTAGTCTACGAAGAAAAACCTAAAGCAATTGCAAATGTGAAGGCATGTGACACGATATACGGAAGTAATTGTACCTTGAAATGCACAATTTCTGGAATACCAGTACCAGATCTGATTTGGAAAAAAGATGGCAAGATAATAAGCTCAATTTCTTCTCCAAACATTCGCGTAATAATCAAAATTAATATTAATGAATAAGCGATTTAGGTCTATGTCCATCCCTATAACTTCAAATTTTAAAAAATGAATACTTTGCTGTTTTCTTTTAATTATCCGCACAATATGATAAAATGTAACTTGACTTACTTTGAATAGATTATAACATGTCATTTTATTAGCTGGTGTTATGACCAAGTTGTTGAGTCAAAGTCTGTTCCATCATAGATCCCCATTCTTCTCGGTTTTTCATTGCTACCTTTCAGTAATAAATAATAATAAGATCATTATTATGCTAAAGTTCATTAATTTTATTAGCATAAGACAAATTATTATTATATAAAATTATCCATAATAATATTTTAAAATATATAGAGTTTTAAGCCTAGTCCCTAATATACTGATAAACAGGTACAAAACTGTTGTCGGAGCACCTTCATTTTATTCTAATGGTTCTACTGTCAAATTTCAAGAATTTTTTTTTTCTCAGAAGGAGCTGTTTAGAAAAAGGAATAGGTTCGTCAAATTAACTCAGCACATAAATTTGTTTAGATAAGATAAAGTTATTGATTGAAAGTGCAGTACAAGAGTTTTAAAGTGCAAAACTGGAAACTTTAATTTTGTTAGGTTTGATAAATATATTAAAGCTATTGATATATCACAATTGTTTTTGTATCTTATTAATTGTTACGTATGGTAAGTTAAAAAGTAACACTCTAACGAAAAAATCTGTCATTCATTTATAGATCTTTAAAAAAATAGATATAAAATATTTATATATATATAGATATATATATATATATATATATATATATATATATATAGATAAAAAAAATTTCACCTTCTGGTAATTTTTAATTCATTTACACGAATAATTTACAAAATTTATCCTTTTTGTTCCTTTTTTAGATATTACATGACAAAAGTTTATTAATATACAATGCTGAGTTATCAGACAAAGGAGTTTACACCTGTGCTGCTCAAAGCAGTATTGGGTACAGTGAAGATTCAATTATTGTATCAGTTATAGGGGTTTATCCTAAGATCATAGAAGCCCCAGTTAGTAAGTAAATGTCTTTTCTGTTTTATTCTTAAATTTTTCTTTATATTTAATTCCATAATTTAAAATAACCTGTTTATCTTAGATATACCAATTGAAATAGGAGAAAATGGTCGACTGAGCTGCGTTGCTCTTGGAACTCCTCAACCAAAAATCGTTTGGAAAAAGAAAAATGAATTATTGAACAAAGATGATGGGAAAGAAAACATTCTTGAAATCAATAGTAATTAAATTTTGAATAATAATAAAAAATAGTATAGTAGTAAACTTCAATTTAATTGTAAGATCCTCTTTACTTAATCTATTCATTGCTGGTATTGTGGCGCATATTTCATATGTTTGGACATATTTCCTTTTTGAATTTTTAAAATTAAATTGTACCACAATCAAAAACAGTGTTGTTAATAGTCATTTTTTAAAAGTAAAGATAAAAAAAAATGTATGGAACAATACTCCCGTACATATATTTTTATTTTATTCTTTTTTATCAGAAGAACTATATTGAAAGAAAATTTGAATTTGATATAGTCGTGGATTCTCATTTTAGAGTTGAGTGGACCCCAAATATACGTTTCAAACTAAAGCTCTCATCTCAACATAGACCTTATTCATTATCAAGAAAAAAATCAAATGTAAATAAGTGATTTAAAATCATAACATAGATTGACTTGCTTTATATATACTTTTTTTTTTTTTTTTTTTTTTTTTTTTTTTTTTTTTTTTGGCTTTAAGCACGTCGACCCCTTTGGGTCCATTGTGCGCCAATATTCGCTAGGTCGTCTTATTCAAAACGTTAGTCCTGTCGCTTCCGCGTATCTCAGTAGGCTGGTTGGGTTAACCGACTCAAATCTACTGGGGAGATCCATCTGTTCCTCCCCAAATAACGCCAGTCTCAGCCTTATAAACTTGTCACATCTGCATATGATGTGAAAAGCTGTTTCATTCTCCTCCTGACAGAATCTGCATATCGGATTCGTCATTACTCGGAGATTGAACATATGATTATTTAACTTACAGTGACCTGTGTATATCGCTGTGAGTTTTTTAAGAGCTGCTCTGTCCATGTTCAGTAGCTGTTCACTCCTTTTTTTACATGGGCCTTTAAGGAACAGCTTCGAGTGTCTCTGTTTCTTGTCGGTCCAGTAATTCCTAAATTTGTTCCCATAGATCTCCCTGATCCTGCCCTTGGCAGTACTAAGGCTGATTCCACAGACAGGCTCGGGAGTTATAGGAATAGTATCTGAGCCCAACCTGGCTTGCTCATCAGCCATTTCGTTGCCCGGTATGCCAGAATGGCCTGGCACCCACTCCACTGCAACTCTGTTGTGCTCAGTTAGCTCGTTAAGTGCTCTATTGCATTCCTTAACGACCTTTGAATAAGCATAATAATTGTCAAGAGCACCTATTGCTGCCTGACTGTCAGTAAAGATGGTGATCCTTTTCTCAGTCACATTGGTTTGCAGTAGGTTTTGTACACAATGGCAGATTGCCAGTATCTCGGATTGAAACACTGAAGCATACCTGCCAAGTGGTATAGAAATTTTTTCTTTTATATCTTTGCGATAGATGCCTGCTCCAGAGCCGAAGGCTGTTAGAGAGCCATCTGTGTAGCAATTTATTCCACTATTTGGTTTATGAATTCTGCTGCTATCTATCTCAACCTTATATTTCCGGTCCTGATGTTCTCGGATTAGAGTGTCAGAGTGCATAGCTAGCACTCTTTCACTTCCAATCCTGTTCAGCAGTGTTGTGTGTCCTCCCTGACAGGGGACTGTTGAGCAGTAAGTTGACTTGCTTATCCTGTACAGTGTAATTGTTGCCCGAGCCTCCACCTCCAGCTGCAGCGGGGGCATGCCAAGCATCACCTCCATAGCAGCCGTCGGTGTCGTGCTCATTGCGCCTGTTATCATTATACAAGCAAGCCTTTGGATCTTTCCTAATAAGGATACATTGGCTACAGTCTTTGCTTTGTGCCACCATAGCAAAGCTGAGTAAAGTATGATAGGTCTGACTGTTGTTGTGTACAGCCAGTATACCATTTTTGGTTTTAGCCCCCAATTCTTTCCTATCGCTCTTTTACAGGCCCATAGGCATTTGAGGGCTTTACTTGTCACGTTTTGAACGTGTTTAGTCCATGTCAGTTTATGGTCCAAAGTGACTCCAAGGTGCTTTACTTCCTTACTCAGTGTCACTTGGATACCATTGATTTCCGGCATTTTAATAGCCACCTTCTTCTTCTTGGTGAAGATACACACATTGATTTTCCTAGGGTTGATGCTTAGTCCTTTAATCCTGCACCAATTCCTAAGAATATTGAACACTGTACTGAGGATATCAGAGAGGACACTCTGATGCCTCCCTCCTATGAGGATGGCAATATCGTCAGCATATCCCTGAGCATAAATGCCTGCAGTGTTTAAGGCTTCCAATAATGAGTCAGCCACAAAACACCACAGTAATGGAGAGAGCACACCTCCCTGAGGACATCCCCCACAGGGTTTAATCCACAGTTCCTTGTGCCCTATTTCTGATTTTAGAACTCTGTCCTCCAGCATTCTCCCAATCCATCTGGAGGTCATAGCGTCTATATCTTTTTTCCTTAGCGCATCATTTATGATGTTATAGGGAGTTCTATCAAAGGCACCCTCGATATCAACGAAGACGCCTATCATGATTTCACTCTGTTCTAAGGATTTCTCAATTCTTGTTACCAAGTTGTGAAGCGCCACCTCACAGGATTTTCCTGGTTGGTAGGCATATTGCTTTGAATGTATTGGACTAGTAGCCAATATGTGTTCCCTAATATGTCTGTCCAGTATCTTTTCCAATGTCTTCATTAAGAAAGATGACAGACATATTGGCCTAAATGCCTTGGGGTCTTCATAAGATTCCTTTCCTGGTTTAGGAATGTATCGCACTTTGGATATCCTCCACTTACATGGTAGATATCCCAGTGCTAGGCTACCACATAGAAGTTCCAGAAGGTATGGCCTTATTTCTGGGAGACCCTTCTGCAGCAGTGCTGGAAAGATCTCATCCATTCCAGCAGTCTTGAAAGGAGAGAACGAATTCACTGCCCATTCAAGTCTACTGTTTGTTATCACTCTTCTTGCCTGACCCCACATACGTGCGCCAGTACCACGATCCTGTGTATTGGGGTCAAGAAGTTCATTTACTGTCGTAAAACAATTTGGGAAATGAGCTTTTGCTACCACACTCAATGTTTCTATCTCATTCGTGGTGTGCTTATCGTCATATTTGAGTGTTCCCATTATACCTGAATTGGTTTGTTTTGACAGTATTTTGTTTACCTTACATACCGCCGGCATGTTGTCCACCTCCAGACAAAACCTTTTCCAGGCTTGTCTTTTGGCTTTCCTGACAGATTTGTGATACTCAGTAAGAGATTTCCTGTATGTATCCCAATTGCCAGATTTTTTAGAAGCATTAAACAATCTCCTCATGAGTGCTCTTTGCTTTGTTAGACTATCATTCCACCAGGACACTTTCCTGTTGGTTGTAGTTTTTTTAGCTTCATTACTGGCCAAATATGCTCTAGTCATAGCATCAGTAATTGAAGTATTTAATATTTCTAATTGCCATGTATTGTGGATAACTTTGGGGCAGCATTTGACAGCCTCCTCCAAGTTAGAACTATAGGACACCCAGTTTGTTCGCTTAGGGTCTCTATATTCCACATCATGTTGTATTCTATCAGATATATCAAATCTGATATATCTGTGATCCGAGCATGTTTCTTCATCAGAGACATGCCAGTAATCTATAAGGTCACTAGTCAATTGAGTCGCTAGTGTTATGTCTATGATCTCAGTCCAAATTCTGTTACAAAAGGTAGGCTTATTCCCCCTGTTCAGAATATCAAGATCATATTTAATAATAGTCTCTAAGAGTTTCTCACCTCTAGAGTTGGTGTTTGTGCTTCCCCAGATCTCGTTGTGTGCATTAGCATCCAGGGTAGCAACAATTTCCTCCTTACTCTTTAGTAGTTCATCCATTCCTTCTTCAGGCTCTGGATGTTCATATGGCAGGTAAACCGCCGCTATGATTAGTGATTTGTTATATCCTTGTTGGGTATATTTGGCTGCTGCAAGATCTCTAGAACAAAATTGCCATAGAGGCAGCAGTTTTAGTTTGTTTTTAAAAAGTAGGCAGGCTCTAGGATATGTGGGTGCAGATATTATTCCATACCCCTGCATATTTAGTCCTTTGATCCTGCCTTCATATAAGTAAGGTTCAAGAATTAATATAATATCAATATCGTTACCTTTTATGTACTGTTGCAACACTCCACATGCCGCAATGCAGTGGTGGATATTGATCTGCAGCAGTTTCATATATTTTGATTGTTTTTTTTATGTTCTGGAAGGTGGTTTTCCAGACGGGGCCGATGGTAGGGTTCTTCCCTCCGACTCAGTTTTCACTTTGTCTTTGGGTTTCTCCCCGCCTCTCGGCCTCGCTTTCAAACCACCACCAGTGTTAGATGGGTGCCGCGAGACAGAGGTCTGGCCACCTGACCGCGACAGTGGCTGGGGTTCGCCTCTGCAACCAGTTTTCACTGGTTCCTTTGGCTTAGCCCCGCCTCCTGCCCCAGCCGACGGCCTCGACCCCGTCCTCGACGCACTCCTTCCCGAAGAGGAAGATTCCTTGCTCTCCATCTCCTTTGATGTACCTGCTTTCGGCGCCTCCTCTTTCATCTCCTCCGGAGCAGGTTTACTTCCTGATGCTAGAAACCTGAAGGTGATAACGTATATCCCACAGCAGGCCTGCATTCCATGTTCCGTTAGGCTCTGGAGGCTAGTCTCCGGTATGTTGAAAACTCCAAAAGATCCTCTTTCCAGAGCCTTGAAGTTAAACACGGTCCAGGTTTTAATCCCAGTAATGGATTGGTTCTGAATCTGGAGCCGAGTTAAATAATAATCAGCAGGTAGTGCCTTTCCTGGAAAGAAGGCTCCAATCCTGATGATTTTTGTGAGATCACCTGCTTCACAAGTTCGTAGGGTTAATCCTTCTTTAATTGTGATGCTCGGTGTTATACTTCTAAACCATTCCACCGTATGGTTGTCTAGGCAGGATACAAGACATCCTCCGAGCTTAAACAGCGCCCCGTCGAACTTAGGATGTATGTCACCGCCTATTGTGAGTTCGTCAATTTTACTTGCGATTGCTTCTTTTAAGTCTTCGCATTGGTCATAAGTTAGCTGGATCTGCGGGTAGTCGACAGGAACTACCGCTACCAACTGTCCTTGCGCAACCTTTGCGTAGTTTTTGGGCCTTACAGCCTCCCTTGGTTTCTTAGCTTCCACAGCTGAGGCTCCTAGGGATTTTCTAGCTCTTTTCACCACAGGCAGTCCTGATCTAGACCTCAACCTTTGAGGCCTCGCACTCTTAGCTGCTGGCCTACGTGGCCTCGCAAACTTAGATGCTGGCCTCTTGGATGCGTCCTTCTCATCCCCTGCCTGTGTTATCGGAGCTTTACCCTCCGGCGCGGCAGCTTCGTTTGCCAGGCCTTTTGGGGCCCTTGCATCCTCCACTGCCTGCCTTTGAGTAGGCTCCAGTTCGCTAGATAGTTGCCCTTGATCTGAGGCCTCCCTTTCACGACTCTCTGCTTTGTCCGCCAGGCCTTTTGGGGCTCTTGCTTCCTCGGCAGAGTTCTCTAAAGGTGGCCTTCTCTCATCTTCTGGGCTTGATAGTTGTAGGGCCTTTGCCCTTCTCCTTAGTCGCCTCTTCGCATTCCTTATCTTCCTCCACGTGGCAGGCCTCGAGTCTTCTGACTCGTGGTCCCCGCACTCCGTGTGGTCGAGTCCAGAATGCGATCGGCTTCTAACCATTTCTGGCTTATTGCTTTCTTCAACGTCCATGTGCTCTTCTTGGGCCTGCACCATTGCGCAAGCCACTTCCATCAGCTCCTTCTCCTTAAGGTCAGTTTGGACGTGAAGTGTTCCTACATCTTCTGTAAGGGTTTTTAGTAATTCCCCTACCAGATTTTCATCAATCTTATCTGAGGTGACCTCAGATAAGTTTAAAAGCTCCTCGGAGGACAAGTCCTCCTCGGATACCGACGATTTATTCTTTTTATTTAAATTTGATTTGAACATTTTGGTTCCCACGAGTATGGGGGTCAATGGAACTGCAGGTACTACCCCCTCTCCCTGCAGCCGGCTACTTGAAATGGGGTGTCGCCCGGTTCCCCAAGTGGGTCGATACAAGACAGTATATTTTTACCCACCCTCTGCCACTCAGCCTCAGCTCGTGCGCCCCGACCTAGCTTGGGTGCCTAACAGGTTCCTCAGTTCCATCTCACATGTATCATCCGCATACACATGGATGGAACCAACGAACCCCGCCTCTGTCGTCCGCGAGTCCCATCGGACTCCCCGGGGGGCACCACATGGAGGTGACAGTAGGCGTTGATAGGGATAAGGAGATCTGGGAACTCACAAGCAGTGGGTAGGGCACTACACTCGATCATTCCGCAAAGAGTTGGGGAGATTCCCGCACCTATCTCCCTCTCTAGACCTCCCGTTACCCTACCCATTATCCCCCCTTATATATACATTTATTTTTGTTTAAATAGTTATGTATATAAACAGAATATAATTTTGTACATAAAACAATATTCTATATCTTTTGTTTCAAAAAAGGATAATATTTATAATAATCAAAGTTACTTGAATATAGATGCTTCCCTTTCTGATGCTGGTTTATATACATGCATCGCAGAGAATATTTTAGGTCAAGCAGAATCAGAAGCATTGGTCAGCATTACAGGTGGTGGTAGGTGATCAGTTTTATTAAGAGCCTTTACTTAATAATGAAATATTATCTCAGTTATTTTCAACTTTATTCTGCCTTATTTTAATTTCAGTTGTTCCGATTTTGAATAAAGATAAAGACCTCGAAGTAAAAAAAGTTTTAATTGGAGATAAAGTTGAACTTCAGTGTCTCACTTTAGGCGGAAAACCTATGCCTATAAAAGAATGGTATAAAGATGGAATTTTGCTGTCTAAACAACCAACAACTGGAATAAAATTGGTAATTATTCAAATCAAGATTTTATGACCATAAAATTATTTTACCAAGCCATATTAACCCACCTTGAAAAACAGACATGATTGAGAATCTACCAAACCATACAAATTTTCTCAGGCATATATGTATTTACAATTGTATTAATGGCATTTACATACTGTTTATGTTGCATAATGATTGTTTGCTATGTAGATATTTGATTGCATTAAAGTAAAGTTTGATGAGTTTTAAAATTTTATAGAAATGGCTTTTGGTTTTTAGGCTAGTTTCAAATTCTTAAGTAATGCATTGATATGGTAGGTATTTCAGACCTAGTTGTACTAATAATGCTACAAGTCCTTTTCCTTAGGTTTTGAAGGGTAAGTGCTCCATTGCTTGTTGTTGTTTTGGTTAGCAGATTAATAGAGAAGCTTACTCTATTTTTTTTTATATATCTCCTTTATTGGTATATTTCAAGCCACTGATGAAAAAATCACAAATACTCATATTTATTATTTTTTGCTAAAATATGTTTACACATTCTCAGTGAATTGAATAACGTTGTGCCACTTTTCTTTTTATAAAATTCTGTGGAAGTTCTGTACTCAGTGGGTTAAGTTAAGACACTAAATCATAGATAGGGAACTTTTGATCATTATAGACCGCAGTAATGGTAGGCAGTGTTAATGGAGGTCACAACCATTCTTTATATTTTACCATTGCTATTTTTATTTATCACTTATTAAACACGCCCACATACATACATGCGACTTAATTCTATTAATTTCCGGAGGATTAAAATAAATTCTAATAAATCCCATCAAATCACCTTTACCCTTCGACGTAAACCTATGACCTCATGTCCCACAGTATCCTTTAATAATACCCCACTTATCCCTTTTGAACAAATCCGATACCTTGGACTTCATTTGGACAAACGTCTAACTTGGAATCCTCATACCAGACTGAAACGACAAGAAACCGCTCGACGTTTCCGACTACTCCAACACTTACTAGACAAACGCTCTAAACTTCCCCTTAATTACAAAAGACTCATATACTTGACTATAATAAGACCTATTGCGACTTACGGAGTTGAGCTATGGGGCTCCACTAAACCATCGAATTCCTCTTGCATCCAATCCTTACAATCCAAAATCCTTCGTAAAATCCTCAATGCTCCTTACTTTGTCACTAATAAAATAATCCATAAAGACCTCAATGTTCCATATGTTTCCGATTTAGTCAAATCCAGATACCTATCCTTCCATAATAAACTTCATAACCATCCGAATCCTCTTGTTTCTAACCTTGCTTCCTCTTCGATTCCTGATAATCGTCCGAGGCGTCTGAAAAGAAGATGGCCTCGTGATCTTCTCATGTAGACAAATTATTAGAGTGCTACCAGTGGGTAGTTTCTCAACAAGCGTGTTTCATGTAATAATATTTCTCTGTACAAATTTACTTGATGTATTCATACTAATACAGTTGTAAATATCATAATAAAAGTTTAAAAAAAAAAAATTCTATTAATTTCCAAATTAATAGAATTTATTAATAGAAAATAGCACTAGCGTGATCAGCAGCAGGAAAAAAACCTACTGGAATAGTTTCAGACAACTCTGTGGATGACAGATTTAAAAAGGCAGACAAAATTTTGGTAGCTTTAAACGAATCTGACAGCTTTAAAAATATTAAAAATTATGTGATCAGCAGCAGGCAAAAAACCAATTGGAATAGTTCCAGACTGCTTTGTAGGTAACAGATTTAATAAAGTCAGACAACATTTTGGAAGCTTTGTACGAATCTGACAACTTTAAAAATCTCAAAATATCCAAAAAATTGCGTCAGGTCAGCAGCTGGAAAATCCAGTTAGAATACTTTCAGAGCACAGTAATTTTATGATTGTTACTTTATAAAATCTGAATTATTTTTTTGGAAGCTTTTCATTAATCTGACATGCACATTTGAAAAATTTACCAAAAAAATATGCGATAAGCATAAGGTAAAAAACAGTTGGAATAAATTTATATCATTTAGTAGGTAACTAATTTGATAAAATCTGAAAACATTCTGAAATGTTTTTCACGAATTTGAGAATCAAATAGTTTCAGTCTACTTTGTAGAAATCTGATTTAAAATAAATAAAATCTAACCAATATTTAGAAACTTTTCGAGATGGTAGCACTTATTACGTGCAGGGCGACATGACAAAAAATTGGAATCCATTGGTCCAAGAGTTTCTCCTGCTACCTATTTCAATCTATCTATTAAGTTTATCAAACAAATTGGTCAATTTGATCAAAAAACTGCAAACAATCCAAAATTTTGTAAACGACACAGAAAAACAATGTTATTATTTAACCATTAACCATCTTAAAGTTGTAAATGAACTAATAAAAGTTAAATGTAAATAATTTGTTTTGGCGGGAATTGTAAATATTCCTTCCGTTTTTTATCGGGGGACTAGGTTATTTACACTCGTGAATATTAAAACAAAACCACGACACTGGATATAGACTTTTTGAGGATGTTTAACTGTTATTGGGAATTCGGGAACCTAATACCTTTGTGACAAGAAACAATAAGAATATATATATATCTGAAATGTGGGACTTAGTAAACACACTTTGAATGAATTGATTCACCTGGTTTGTTATTCTTCAATTGTGAGGCCTATAGGACAACTAAATAAATAAATGACTTTTCACTCCTGTCTAACAAAACAATTTATTTTACAGCTGTAATAACTGAATCTATTAAAGTCTTATAACTGTAGGCTTGATATTCTTGGTCTTCTGGCTCTCTCATCTCAGGTAATGTCATCTCGCCTCCGTGTCCCAACCTCAAGTGCCTCCCCTTCTCTCCAGCGTCCTTCTCCAGCTGTTGCTACCTGCTCCGTCCTTTTCCTTCTTTCTTCTTTATCGATTGTTTATCGATATGAGACTTTTCAATGAATAATTTGTCCACTGCACAACTGAGTACAATTCATCGTGCAACCTCACATTCCTATATATTATATATTCCTTCTCATTCCCTCAAACAATGTCACATACAGGAGTAAATACCAGGGGCTATCTACTACAAAGTGTTAAGACAATGTAATTTTTTTTTATATTTCATAAAATACTAGTTATCTATTTATATATATGATATAGTTATCTACATCGATTCATAAGAAACATCTAAAGCAATGAGTATTCACACGCAATCATGCCTGTAATTTAACATTACATTATGTACTCTATGGTGTATAAAATATTCAATAAAAAAACAACAGAGGTGACGTTTATATTAACAAAAACGACACTAAACATTTCTATCACATTTCCAATTTATTATAAATTCGTTTATAAAAAAAATCGCTACAATCGTACCTAAATAGAAACAAATAATGAACACTGTATATTCAATACAATTTATTACACTAACCTGTTAAATATACGATATAAGTTATATCTTCATGAAAAAAAAAATGCCCTGGCTTTGGCTGGCCATATTCGTGCATTGGATATTTTTGCAACATTTTTGTCCATAAAGAAGGAAGGTATATTTTTCAAGTTCTAAGATATTTTCTTCTGGAATCTTTTTAAATAGGCCGATGTTTGAAAATATTTCTCTATATCTTTAGTTTTTTCATAAACTGTAGTGGTCTTATGCTTTCTGTACAAAAGCTGGCAAGCCTTTGGCTAAGTCGGCACTGTACATGCATTCCCCCTCATTTTCTATGGTTATGCATCCATCTTTTAAAGAATAGCAGTATTCCTCAGAAGGCAACACCAAATGAAAATGATCCTCTCCTAAGGAGCTTCTATAACTAGATGGTTTAAAATTTTGAGGTCCCTTTATAGTATAAATATCTGATGTGGTTTCCCTCACCCTGGTCTCTCACTCTTTTTCAATGTTTTAGGACAATTTTACATATCTATCAAATACTATATTTGATTTGATTGATCTTAACTTTTGAATTATAAAAATTGATAGATCACCTTGAGGGAGAGTATGCAGAAAAACATGTCATCATCAATTGTATATTGAAAGAATGAAACACGAAGGCAAGGAGTAACTACATCAGATATTTTTACTAAAAAGTGATCACAAAATTTTAGACTATCTAATTTTAGAAATTCCTAAGGAAAGGATCATTTCAAAGCCGAGTTTGTGGAATTGATTACTGAAGACCAAACATCTCAAAAACGTCATCAATAAATTGGGTAATCTTCATTTGCTGGTGTCTTATGAGGAACTTGCTATTTTCTAAAAACAGATGCATAACCATTGAAACTGATATTTCTCGTATTTCAACGAGAGATTGGTATCGACTTAGCCAAAGCCTTGCCAGTTTTTCATCTTTAGACAGAGTCTGATTTCACATCTGTCTCTTGGCATAAAGAAAACACAAAGGCAACTATAGTTTCTTTACACCATCAACATACATTTATAAAAAAAATATAAAACTAAAGATTAATAGAAATATTTTCAAAACTCGGCTAATTTGAGAGGATTCTAGAAGAAAATATCTTGGAATTAGAACAATATACCTGCCTACTGTACGGAGAAGGTTGCAAAAATATAAATAAAGCTAGGTTAATTTTTTTCCTGAACATATAACATATCCTATATTTAAACAGTTATTGTATTGAATATATAGTGTTTATCATTTTTTTCTATTTAGTTAGTGGATGGATAATTTGTGAAAGTGGTCACTCTCCACTCTGGTTTGATGGGTTTGTAATGCCAGTGGAATTAAAAACTTCGATGACATAAACACTGGGGATGAAACCGAATATGGTATTGAACAAGAAACATACTATGATTCCGCAGATGACTTAGATTTTTTCACCTTACTTCTAGTAATTTTTATAAACAAACTTATAATATTTTGGTAATGTGATAGAAATGTTAAGGTCATTTTTGATATTATGAACGTCATCTCTGTTGTTTCTTTATTAGTTATATTATACAACCTAGTGAACAGAAACTGGTACATTAGATGCTGCTTATCAGTGGATGATATAGATAACTATATCATATACAATATATAAATAGATAACTAGCATTTTATGAAATATAAACTAAAAAATAAATTTTCTTTATATATATAGCACAGTTAATGGTTAAATAATATCATGGATTTGTGTGTAATTGACCGAAAATTTTTATAAGCCTAATAGAGAGGCTGAAATATGCAACAGGAAAAACTCTTGGACCAACGGATCCCAATTTTGTGTTATACTGCCCCGCCCGTCATAAGTGCTAAATCTCGAAAGGTTTCTAAACATTGGTCAGATTTTATTAAAACAGATTCTTACAAAGTAGTATGAAACTATTTGATTCTCAAATTCGTGAAAAGTTTCCAAAATGTCAGATTTTATCAAATTAGTTACTTATTAAGTAGTTTAAAACTATTTCAACCTTTTTTGCCTGATGTTGATCGCATATCTTTGGTAAATTTTTCAAATTTGCATGTCTCTGAAAGTATTCTAACAGATTTTTTCCTGCTGCTACCACGTAATTCCTGAGGCTTTTTGAGATTTTTAAAGCTGTCAGATTCATATAAAGCTTCCAAAATTTTGTCTGACTTTAATAAATCTGTTACCTACAAAGCGGTCTGAAACTGTTCCAATTGGTTTTTTGCCTGCTGCTGATCACGTAATTTTTGGCACTTTTTGAGATTTTTAAAGCTGTCAGATTCGTATAAAGCTTCCAAAATTTTGTCTGACTTTTTTAAATCTGTCATCTACTGATTTGTCTGAAACTACTCCAGTAGGTTTTTTTCCGGCTGCTGATCACATAATTTTTGGCAGTTTTTGCGATTTTTTTAAATTCTACCACATCCAAATGCATCCAGTTGTCCGTCTGACTCGAGGAGTTTTGGCATTAGGGTTGTCATCTCTACTGTTTTTAATTTTCAAACCTTCTGCCGCTGATCATGTGGTTAAATCTTCCGTAGTTCCCGAACTATTAATGGTATGTCGGCAGTGAATCAACTCCAGGGAACAGTCAACTTCTATAAAGTGAGTATTTGACCCGTTAGTGGGCTGGAGGAAAAACTTCACAGTTGAAGGCAATCCTGATTGGTCCTCTTCCTAACCAGAAGGGCAGTGCTGTTGGTCAGAAAGCAATAATTCTTTTCCAAGCTTTTTTCTTTTTCAGTGGTATAGACTTGTAGCTTTTTAAAACATATATGAAGTAGTGAGGCTTAGAAAAAAGTAGGTCTGGCAGAGAAACTAGAGTTACCCTTTATGACAGGATGATACAGTTACTTGGCTTTGTTAACGATTTGGTCTTAATTGCAAAATCTCTTAAGCTAAAGAAAAAATCAAGTACATGCTAACCTGGGAAAAGATAATACTATAAAAGAACCACTTAAACTCATACATTCACATTTGATTAATTTCATATTTGAGCTCAATAATTATTAAAAAACAACGGCTAAAGTTGTTCATTCAGGTTTCCTTTTTCTTTTTTTTTTTTGTTCTCCCCTTCTTAGCCTTTTAGACTATACAGAGTTTTCCCGGATCAGGAGGTGAGAGAAGGGGATTAGTGCCAGAATGAAAAGACTCCTTCAGCAGTCTTATTATTAATAACATTAGCAGAACTAGATTAGCTTGCCTTTTAACTGTTCAACATTAATTTACTAAACCATTTTTACCAACTTCCAATAAAGGTGTATATTACAATATATAATACACAAAAATAAATATTATTTATTTATTGCTGTCTAGTAATATATCTGTTCTTATTTTCAGGAAAATGGATCATATTTTATGAGTTCTGTTAGTCCTTTGGATACTGGTTTGTATGAATGCCTAGCAAAAAATGAAATAGGTTCTGATTTTAAGAAAATTGACCTTAAATTTTATGGTAAATAGACAAGTTGAATTCTTGCATATAAAAATAAATTCCAAAGATATGATTCTTGATGAGATATTTCTATGATTCCAGTAGATATATATATATATATTTTTGTAAGATATTTATTAATGTTTACACCATTTTTATTTTAGAACCACCATCTATCGATTTGAACAGTTCTTCTAATATATTTGCAACTTTTGGAAAACGTGCCAAAATCCTTTGTAATGTGTACGGAGACCCCCCACCAAATGTTACTTGGAAGAGATCTTTTTTTTCCAATAAGACAATGAGAAGGTATTTATTATTTTTTTGTTTGGTTGACTTTTTTGATGTTAATATGTTTTTTTCTTCTAGCCTTTCTTTATATTGGATTATCTTAAATAAAGGTATGACTTTGATATAATGTAATAGAGTATTACTTTTATGAAGTGATTCTATTTAAAGTAAATTAAATTTATAATATAGACATTTATAATAAATTGATGTATAATAAATAAATGATGTATAATAAAATAAATGATATATAAGAAATTGAATATATTACAGCAAGTTTGAAATAAATTGAATATATTATAATGTGATCAAAATAAATTGAATACATTGTAATGAGATTGAAATAAATCAAATATATTATGAGATTGAAATAAATCCAAATTATTTGTTTTTTATTTCAGCATTCATTCAGACGATATGAATGCTTTAGTTTTTGATACAGTCTCGGAAGAAGACAGTGGAAGATACATTTGTGAAGCTGAAAATATAGCTGGCGTTGCTAGACGAACTTTTAGTCTTTCTATAATGAGTCAGTTTATAATATTGCTTTAATTTGATTTTACTTGTTGCAGTCATATTAAAAAATAAATAAAGGTATGAATTATCTTATGTTTTTTAGTTCCACCCAGTATTATTCCATGGCCTAATGAAACTTTTGTTGAAGCTGGAAATATTGTAACTTTAGAGTGCCGAGTTCGAGCTATTCCACGACCTTCATTTCATTTTTTAAAAAACAATGTTACCATTCCAAGAAGTAAATCTTATGGCCAATTTGTGAGGTAATGTGGGGTTTATTATTGAATATTAGCATAATTTGATTTCTTTCTCAATATTTTGTTTGTAATTTTAGGTTTTTAGCTGAACCGTCTGATTCAGGGACTTATATTTGTATTGCTGAAAATAAAGTGGGTAAGGACAAAGTTGAAACTAACCTCATTGTTTTAGGTAAGTCGACAATTTAAAAACCATATACATATTTTATATTATTTTTAAATATTCTTAAAGCTATAAGTTTTTTTCGGCATGTTTTTTTAGTTCCACCCCAAATTAGAAAGCACACAGTAAACACCATTATCAAAACAATCAGTGGAAATGAAGCAGTTTTACCTTGCGATGTATTTGGAAATCCACAACCATCTGTTACATGGCATTTCAATGGACAACTGATTAAGAAACAAATTGGAAGGTAGTTATGTAAAATTTGCTCCATTATATAAATTAAAACTGAAACTTGTAATTTTTTAGTTTGCTTTATAGAGTCAAATGTGTTTGACATTTTATTACATTTATATAATCTAATAATCTACATATCCATTAATACAGATTAGTACATTTAGACAATTTATATAACTTTTTTATTTTTCTATTCCTACTACTGTTAGTGAACCAGCTACTCTGTATTTGTCAAATGTGACAGAAGCTGATGCTGGAACTTACATCTGTGTTGCCCAAAATAAAGCTGGAGAAAATAAGAAAAAAATGGAACTTGTTGTACTAAGTATGTATTAATAATTTGGTAATGATTTATTCAACTTATGTTAATAATTAAAATGATTTATTTGATCTTATAGCACCACCTAAGATAGTGCCATGGACAGAACCCAAGAAAGTAATCATTGGTGAAATTGTCAATATTACCTGTCAAACTTTTGCCTATCCTGAAGCAAGTGTTTCATGGTTCAAAGACAAAGAACCACTTCCTTTAAATTTCATAAAAGATAAAAAAACTTTAGGGTAAGGAATAACGCTCATTTGATCTTACATCTTGTAGTTGTAAAAACTTTATTCCTTTTTATAATATATTATTTGAAAAACTATTACTTATATGTTATATCTATCCCATATGTACACCAGTGAGATTTTTTTTTCCCCTTGATAAAATTTAAATTTCACTTTCTTCTTCTTCTTCTTTCTCTACCTCCTTTGTGTCTTTCAGCGTGGAGGTGTCTCGATCCATGCATACCAAGCATTTTGGTCCCGAGCTAGAGCCCTCATATCCCCTATCCTCATACCTCTTTTCTGCCCGATCTGGGAGATGTACTCCATCCACGACAATCTGGGTCTTCCTCTTGGGCGCTTTCCTACAGGTCTCGCCTCCATGAATTTTCGTGGGTCACAGTCTTCATTCATTCGGCATATATGCCCGAACCATCTCAGCTGCCTCTTTTCTATAGAATTCTTTAGTGATACAGTGCCTAGGTCGTCTCTTGTTTTTTCATTCCTGATCCGGTCTCTCCTGGTTCTGCCGGCTACCCTTCGAAGATATTTCATTTCACTAGCAGTAACTCTGCTAAGGTGTTTGGTTAATGGGACCCAACTTTCACTCCCATATATAAGGGTTGGTAGATCCCTTTTCCCAATGACTGTATTGCATAAGCTGTAATACAGATCATTGGCTTTTTAAATTCTGTTGGAAATTTCATGGTCAATCCTTCCGTTCTTGTTTATTACTGCTCCTAGATATGTGAAGTTCTCCACCATTTCGAGTATCTCTCCTTTGCAACAAATTTCAACAACCTCCTGACCCCGTCCAATCTGCATTACTTTGCTCTTTCGGACATTAATTGCCATACTCTTTCTTGCTAATTCAGCCTCCCACTCGATCACTGCTTGCTGCAGATTTTCCTTTGAGTCTGATATGAGAACGATGTCATCTGCAAAGACCATTACTTGGTCAATATCGTACTCATGTTCCATTTTCCTACAACTGTTCGCGCTGTTCGTCATTTACAAATGTTTAAAATTTCCATATATATGATGAACAGTAGAGGGCTCAAGCTGTCTCCTTGCTTAACACCTTTACTCATGGCAAAGATATCGGACTCTATTCCATTTATTCTAACTATGCCCTTTGAGTCCTGATACGTGGACCTTATAGCATCTATCAAATCTCTTGGAATATTTTTGTCCATCAGGGCCTTCTATAGTTCTTGTCTAGGGACGGAATCGAATGCAGCCTTTATGTCTAAGAATGTGAGGAATACATTTCTGTTCTGTTCCCAAGCCTTATCGATTATTGTTCATAAAGAATATATGTGGTCTTGGGTTTGACGGTGAGGCCTGAAAGTAGCTTGCTCCTCTTCTAAATGTTCCTCCACCATTGCTCTAAGTTTCTTCTCCAGTATTGAAGTATATATCTTATATACAACCTGTGAAAGACAAATAGGTCTGTAATTTCCACATTCGCTAGTATTTCCTTTCTTATGTACTGGAACAATAACATTATATTTCCAATCCTCTGGAATAACTTTTTTAGTCAGTACTTCTTGAAAGAGACACTTCCTGTAGGGCTTTTATCAGTTCAGGTCCCCCGTATTTAATAAATTCTGGCACAATACCATCCCTACCAGCTGCCTTACCATTCTTTAGTTTTTCTACTGCACTTTCGACCTCTTCCTCCCAGATTATCTCGTCATATTCTTGTAGAGGATTTTCACACATATCCAACTTATTGTCAGCATCATTGCTTGAGAAAATGTCCTCATAGTGGTGTTTCCATCTATCCAGAATTTCTGTATCTCTGGTGATTAATTCGCCTCTTTCATCCTTTATATTTCTTATGGGCTTACTTTTCTTTGTTTTTATTGCTTTAATTTTTTTCCAGAAGATCTTAACATTGTCATGGTAGTTGCTCTGTAGGCTTCTCCCAAATTCCTCCCAACTCTTCTTTTTTGCCACTCTAACAACTAACTTCGCCTCATTTCTTCTGCGTACATAGAGTTCCCAATTTACTGGAGTCTTATCTCTAATGTAGTCTTTCCAAGCAGTTTTCTTTCTTTTGACTGCTGCCTTCACTCTTTTATTCTACCATTCTGATCTTTTTAAATGTCATTTTTCGTTTTTTTATTATTTTTTTTTTGTACCTTAATTCTATTCTATTTTAATTTTTATTTTAGATTTATTGTACAAAGACATAATCAAGGGATTTATACCTGTGAGGCAAGAAATGAAGCTGGAATGGATTCTAAGGATTTTCCATTAGTGATATTAGGTAATTTACTCAATGTTTAAAATGCATTGCATTAATGTTTTAATGGCAAACAGAGGATGTAGCTGCAATAAGGGCACATACTTCAAAAGTTAAAAGTGCTAGTTTTTTTCATAGTTTGTTAGCAACTTTCTATTGATCTTACATTTTTCTATTCCCATTCTACTGTTCATTAAGACTATCAAATAAATAAATAGAAAGTCTTTTTAATTTTCAGTGTTAAAATTCCCTTAAAAAAAAAATTCAAGAAACCTCAGGAGGAAATAAAATATTTTTTTATTATTTTTATTTGTATTTTTCATTGTGTATATGACTACCAACTAACTTCCCAACCACATTCTTCATTTTCTATGTAATATTCTATTTATTTTTGTTGTGATTTTTTTATTTTAAGATCCTCCAAGTTTTGCTAAACACCTTCCATTCTCATTCAATGTTCTGAAAGGAGAGAATATTGAAATTCCTTGCACTGCCTTTGGTGATCCAAAACCTGTCATGGGATGGAAAAGAAATGAAATGATTGTGGCTGATCATAGCAGAAGGTTAGTGAAGTTAAAATATTGACTCATGCAAATATTTATTTTAACGTTTCACACTGATAATACGATAATTATGTAATATGGTAATGATGTTTTTCAGATTTTAGAGCAATCCTTTTGTAATTTAAGACATAATACTTTTTAACAATACAGTGTTATTGAATTTAACTATTTTTTGTACTTTTAGATAAATCATTTAATAACAATAAAGCTTATTCTACTGAATAACACTTCACTGCTTGATTTATATTGGATAAAAACCTCTGATTCATTGCAATTTTCCTTAAAGCTTTTTTTGCCTTCTATTAAAACAAATATTCTGATTCTATGATAGGGTTGAAGAGTCATTTACCTAATATCACGGGTGGATCTATGGGAAAAGGGGAGGGAAGAGAGGGCTTTGGGGCTGAAGCCCTCCCTCTCCAAAATGGTAAAACATAACCATGTTTTATGGAAAAAATATTATAAAATTATGTCTTAAAGTATTATTGTTCAAGTAATTACATTTAAAAGTACTTTAGGAATCACTTAAACACCATTTCATATAGGTAGATAGTTTCTTTCTTTTTTTCCAAAGTAAATATCGTTATTTTTATGAAAAAAAAGCTTTCAGGCTGAAGCCCCCAAAATTAAATCCTGGATCCGCTAGTACCTAATATCCTCTGTTATGTTTTTGGTACATCAGTACCCTCTTGTAGAATTAATTATAACATCAACTTTCTACTGAATGCTTCATTGTTTGTGGTAATTTTTTTCTGCCTGCTTCGCTAGGTAATATTTCATTAAGTAGTATATTAATTTTTGATAATCAATCTTCTAAATCAATTATAACTTTGAACTTATGGTAACTCTTTTATTTTTTTCATTGCATGTTTTTGAGGTTCTAGATGGATATTGGTAGAAAATTATTGTAACTCAATAAAAATCCTCCTGTATATAATTGTTTATTCTTTCTTTCTACCGGCTTCAGTCCTTCATCAAGAGAAATTTTAAAATAAAAAATGTCTCCTGCTGAAGGACTGAAACCAGTTATAAGAAAGAATAAACAATTTTATATAAGAGAACGTCTTTTTACTTACTTTGATTTCATTCCTGTAGCATCACACCTCAATTCAAGGAAATTATGCTTTGACTTAAAAATTAATGCAATTTTCTCAATATTTATCATGTATCAAAAGTGGAAAACCTGATAATATATGTCTTGGGTTGCTATTTTACAGTTAAAGAAATATCATTGATTTTTTCATTCATTAATTTGTTAAATAGAGATATCCTGTAAAAAAAACTATTGTATAGTCATTATATCTTCTATATACAGAAGAGTTTTCATAGCTATATGGAGTTATCGTTATTGTATGTTTAATACATAACTTTGTAAATACTATTTTTCTTCTGCTCATAGTAGCAGTACTAGTGCTCATAAGCAATACTCATGTTTCATGCTAATAAATATTTTGTATATTGCTTGTGGTGTGTTTTATTTTAGTGCCTATATAAGATATAATGGAAATAGGGAGCTCTTGGCGAAAAATGAAAAAATAAAACTATTGAAGGAAGCTAGTTGACTGTTCTACTTATCAAGGGTGATAAATATTCAGGACGAAGTCATCATAAAATTTTTTTATTTGTGCCGACATTTTGTCAAAAAATTATAAAATTTTTTATAATGACTGCGTCCTGAATATTCATCACCCATGAAAAAATGAAACATTTGTTTATTAATCCTCTTTAAAAATCATTTTGTTAATAGACCTCTGTGACCATTGAAAGCCTACTTGTAATTTTCTGTTTTTGTCATAAGTTTATGTGTAATCTTAATTATGTAATTAAATTATTATTGTTTTAATTTTTTTCTAAATTATTTGCAGGACTATTGATACAGAATCAGGCCAACTGACTATTTCAAATGCTGATGCTGAAGACGATGGGTACTATAATTGTACTGCTGAAAATCAGGCAGGCAAGGTTTGGAGAACAGTAGAGGTTAATGTTCTAGGTAAAATGGACTAATTATTCAATTAGTCTTAGTTAAATACCTAGTGAGAGATGATAAAAAATATTACATGTTACAGAACTACCTACTGCCTCACTTACTGTCAGTAGTCGTATGATAAAAGAAGGCGATGAAGTAGAGTTCACTTGTAATGTAACTGGGAAGCCTAGACCAAAGATATACTGGAAGAAAGATGGTAGAATTTTATTCTCTGATAATGATTCCAAACTGAGGTTTTTTATAATGATTTGAATGATTTTTTGTAAGTTTTTTCTATTCATTAATCTCTTCTCATATATTTCAATGCTTAATTTAGACTGAAAGTACAGTACAAGGATCGTGGTAATTATACTTGTATTGTGAAAAATACAGCAGGAGAAAGCTCTGCAAGTATTCCTATTGATGTTTCTGGTAAGAATGAAAAATATTTAATTTACTACAAAGACACTGATGTTTAAAGATACATTGGTTCTGTGGTGGTCTGGGAAAATATGAGGTATTTATTTTTGCGATTTTTTTATTTTTCTGTCAAAAAATAATATTAAAGTAATGGGAAAAATGATATTTCTGATCAGACTCACTTTTTTTAAACAAAACTTTGATCAATATAGTAATCTCATTTTAGGATTTAATCTAAAGAGAGATTAATGAGGTAGGGAAAAATAGAATGTCACAGTATCATAATTTCCTAATTCTTCACATTTTCTCCAAGTCTGAGAAACTTTAAATTTACTCCTCTGTTATATTAAGAAAATTGAACTTATCTTGTTTTGCCAGACCACCATATAATAATATATTTTAATAAATTCTCTTTATAGCATTTATTTCATAATTTAGTTCCACCAAAGATACACAATGACAAACATGAGGATATTACACTCCTGAAAGGTAATAGTATTGCCATTGGTTGCCCTTCTTATGGAATCCCAGAACCTGACATTTTGTGGTTTTTCAATGAGACCCAACTTGGAGAACTAAATTCTCATTTATTGTAAGTAAAGGAAAATTAGTTAATTTATATATTTTTTTCTTATTTAAAGCCAATTTCTATATAATTATAATCTAAAATCCTCTTATACCTTAGAGTTTTTTTGCCAGAGCTCTGACATTAGAGTGCCTGAGATGTGTAAACACATGTCAGAGTTGAGTTTTGAATTTTTTTCACCAACCATGTTACCATTCTAAGACCTCCTCTGCCACTGTATTTTGTACATATTTATTTATCTAGAAACTGAGGTTTAAAGTAAATTCTTTTGCTAAAGTTTGTTTTCAAATTTTTATGTACAAATTTGTTTTTTATTGATTATGTTAAATAAATGTGTTTGAAGTTAAATTTCACTTATTTCATCTTAAATTTATTTTTTTCTTTGAATTTTGTTTTATTTTTCAAATATTTTTTTAATGTGGACGCTTGATGAGAATGAGAAGAGGAAATATTCGATGTATACACATTGGTCTAAAGAGAAGACAAAGTGGTTATTTAACCCATATGATCATAATCAGTCCTATGAGATATAACTAATAGGAGAATGGGGATTACTCGAAATCAATACAAATAATAATAATTTAAAAAACCATTGTATTTATTTATTCGGTTAATTTTTGGCTTTGGTTATTAATCATTTCTTTCTTTTTAAATAATCCAAAAAACCCGTATCACCGTAAAGACAAGAAAGGAGAGAAAAAAAAAAAATAAAAATAAAATAAAACTAGCAATGGGAAATTTAAAAAATCTTATTTTTTAAATTGAATAATCTTTGTAGTAGTATCGTACACTAAAATTACTAACAACCACAAACCGGTTTCTTCCTAACTGGTAATTGTAAGCTGTTATCACCATAAGATCAAACTGAAAGTGAAACAACTGATATTACCCACAATGTTGTATTTCTTAATAACCATAATCTCTTATAACATATACATTTTGATAGAGAGAAAACTAATAAAAAAATATATCAAATTTTAGCAGATGCCAGAGTTTATGATAGATAGATCTGCCAGAGAGAATAGTGGCAGATTCTCTTCTATGTCTAAATGCCTTTGACATAGCTCTAGGAGCTCAGACACCAGAGTTCTGTCACAAAAACCCATACATGACTTGTATGAATAAAATGACACATGTATATTGTTTTAAGTGTGTGATGTCTGTTTAGCTACTTTTCACAGGAAGAAAACAGCTAATTTTGATTTTGAAGTTTTTTTTTCTGTAATACAGATCTATAAGAAGGTTTTAATTAATACTTACTTGCCATGCAGTACTTTAAAACAAAATGGTGAAAGATCAAAAATATAAATTTTCGTCCTTTATTTGAAAATAGTCCTAACAATTTAGACCAAACCTCATATTTTTTTTTATTCAGAACAATTATTGTAAGAAGACTTTTCTGCAACAATGTATTGCTATCCACCAGTTATGGAAAAGATATTATTCTAAAATTTAATTTTATATTTATTTTAAAAATGAGATCAATAGGCTTGATTTCAATTGGAGTCTTTCATGAAATATTTTCAATCTTCCTATGCTTGCTCATAGCCTTGCTACGAAACACATATGCTTTTATACTTTTTTGTGTAAAACCACTTACCCCTGATCCTCTGATGTAAAAAATCTCAAAGCATCAGGATAATTTTCTTAAATTTCTGAATATATTTCCCATATTTTTGAGTTATTCTTGTAAATAGTTTTTATTGAAGTTTTAATAATTTAAATTTATTTCATAAACAAAAATTCTTATAAAATCATACAAATTATTACTGTTAGCAAAGTAAAAGGTGAAATTTTGGAACTGAACAATGTGACTACAGAACATACTGGAACTTACACATGCGTAGCTAAGAATTTTGCTGGTTGGGTTGATAAAAAGTTTACCCTACATGTTCATGGTAAGAATGAATCATTATAGTTATATTGTTTTTTATTTATTTCTTATTATCCCATTATTTTTCTGTTTATTTATTTTTAAGTGAAACCAAAAATAACTAATCGATTTGATCATCGAATAACCATCCGAAAATGGAAAGATTTATCAATACCATGTTATGCAGAAGGTATACCTAAACCTAGGATAAGTTGGAAAAAGGGAGACAAGGATATTGTTTCTAAAAACTATGCCGGTATTTATTTTGTAATTTATTGATATGTATTAATCAAGAAATTATTTTATATTAACTAAACAAATTTTTCACAGATTCATCTGTTGCTGTTAATGATAACATATTGCTTTTATTTAACTCAAACCATAGCTCTGAAGGATTATATACATGTACTGCTACAAATATTGAAGGGCAAGACACTAAAAATTACTATGTTACTGTCAAAGGTAATTAGCTCACACATGACTTTTTGACAAATATATTTTAAAAGAGGTTTTCTTTATTCATTTTGGCTATTGGAGAAACAAAGTGGTTATTTCTCTTCATTTATATCTTTTAGAATTCATTATAAAGACGATGAAGGAATTTTCTATCTCTACATTGTGTAATTATTTTTCTTATGACCAACTGTTATTGCTTCATAAATTTGATTACAGATAATAAACAGAGCATGAAAGAAGGTATTAAAGAATTTGAAATAGTTGAGGGAGCAAGTGGGATTCTGAAGTGTGATGCTAAACCAGGATCAAAAGTCATTTGGCTGAAGGTATGATAGAAAGATGTTATGCTTTGTAGTTTCATTAATAATTATATATATTTTACTATCTGTATCTATTGGTTCCACATGTATTTTCACCTAAGAAGTGCATGAAGAGGTTATATATTTAAGAAGGGATTTTTTATATTTAAGAAGGGAAAAGAATAAGATGAGTGGATAAATTTGTGATGAACAGATGATGAAAGCAGTTAAAATAAAATATTTATTTTAAGACTGTTTGTAATATCGGCGCAGAGGATGGAGAATAATAGTTTTTCAGGGCGTGTTAACAAAAAGGGAAAAAATTGCTTTCAAATTCAGTATTCGTGTAACCTCTTGTTATCTTTTCCTTACATGTACATTATTCAATTGTTTTCAGTTTTGTTTATTTTTTGTTAATTTTGTTATCTTCTGTTCGAATGGATATAATTATACTTTGGGAATTGCTGTCTTGAAAAGAAGAAGCTGTCAAATAATTTCAGAAGTTCAGAATAATTCCAAAGGTGAAAATGTGTGAAGAAGGTCATGAAATGGAATTTGACAGGAAGACCATATGGAGATGTTTTTGAAGGAGTTGCAGGAAAAACTTTCTGTAAGAAAAGGAACATGATTAGAGGGGTCAAGGATTATCTTTTTTAACTGCTTTGAAATTTATTTATGGCTGGTCTCATAATTTAACAACAATCGTGTGGGGCAAAGAGTAGCTCAAACTATCCAACAAATGTGTGGTGGAGTGGAACAGATTTTTAAGAGAGGTTTGTGCCCATAGCATGTTATGCAGGTCAACTAAAAAAATTGGAGGGCCTGGAAAAGTATTTTTGGAAAAGCTGAAATAGACGAAAGTCTTTTTTCTAAAAGAAAAAATATTGTAGGAAGAGTTCTCCCGGAACAAAGAACGTTTGGCAGAGTTTGGTGAGAAACAGACGAGGGTTTCATGGTAAAAATAAAAGACAAAAAAGTATATACGTATATATGTTGTATATATCAAGTGTTATATATGTTGTATTTTGTCTCCCAAAATAAATAAAATCTACAATAAAAGTGTTTTATGTTGTAAAATAAAAGTGTTTTGATATTATTACATTTCCTTATGCCTATTTCAATTTCCATAAATATGAATATGAAGATAGGTATCAACAGTATCAGAATTATCAGTGTTCAGGTTATAAACATTAGCAGATAGCAGCCCGTGGCGACCAGCTAAGTCACAAGTATCAATTTTTTTATTTATTTGTATTGTATTTTTAATGCTATAATTTAACATGTTATCTACATATTGAAGATCTATGCTTGTACCAGTAATCCAATTATTAAATTCTGATTCATTAAATTAACAAATAAAATTGATAGTAAATATTAATATTAAATTATTATTAAATACTTCTGTATATTTTAATAATTATTAACACAAAACACAATACTTTCATTTTATTATTAGTTTACAATTTAAACTATACTGGGCAATATTATGGATAACCATTGATTTTTTTCCTCTTCTGCAGGACAATAAAACACTGAGCAACATGCCCTTAGAACGAGCAGATGATGTACATTTTGTGATTGGAAACAGAGGAAAAACTTTAAAAATTACTGAAGCATTTGCAGAAGATGCAGGATTATACTCTTGTATTGGAATCCATCCTGATGGGAATAGTACAAGTTACTTCTCATTAAATGTGAAATTTGCTCCATATTTTTGGGATGATACCCTAATTTTTGAATATCAAGTGAAAGAAAACAAATCTATTACACTTGAGTGTGCACCCAATGGGAGTCCTCCACCACAGGTTGAATACTTCTCTGTTACAGACATAATTCATAGCAATATTCATTTCTTCATCAGTTCTAATTAACTTTCATTTTGTTATAGGTAAATTGGAGACTTGCAGAAAGTAATTTGCCAATAACAGTCCATACATCACCTCTTATTAAAATTTACGGAGACAATGATAACACTTTGCTTATCAAGTCAGCAAAACTTTTCCATTCTGCCTTGTATTTGTGTTCAGCTAGCAATGATTTGGGAACAGTAAACCGCTACTTTAACATTAAAGTTATAAGTTTGTAATTTTATTTTTATATGATTTACACTAAATAATATTGATGTATTATTGCCATGAACCTTTGTTAGTTCAAGTTTTTTTAATATTTCATAATTTTCTTTGACATTTTGTAACATAATGTACTATTTTTCAAAATGTGTTGAAGGTTCCTTTTGGAATGAAGACTGTTTTTTTTTTAAAGTATTAATTAGTTATTAAAGTTACATTTAGCCTTTTAACTATTTTATGTCGCTATCAGTTTTTTTATATTGATAGGCAAATATTCAATTTTTATCATCCATTATAATTATATCATAATATCATAAATCATAATATAATATATGTTGTAGAAAATTATTTTCTTATTTCTTATTTATTAATTATATGAATGAGATATGTATTTTATTTATGTAAATAATTTGTAAAGTATAATTAAATGTAACAATTAAATGGAAACACTGGTTCATACCGTGGAGTATAGAATAAACTAGAGTAGGCATGGCGGGCAGAGGAACGTCCCCACCCTCTGGGTACCTCTGATAATCCTGCCCATGGGGTTTTCCTCGCTCCTAACCAGCACTAAACATTTAAACTGTCTGATCTATAATATTTATTTGTTTGTAATCAAGTATTGATTCAATTGCATTTTATAAAATGAGTAAGAGCTTAGCATTTGGTTTTACAATCGGAAGAATGAATATTTTCATTGGTAAGTTAATAATAATCAAATGTTGCTCATTGTTAAATTATTCTTTAAAATTGATACTTATGTCTGATCCAGAAATTTTTTTAAAAATAAAGTACATAATCCATTCTTCTTTACAGTTTCCCAAAAGACCCAGTAGCCAAAAAAATATCTGGTATCTGTGAACTATAAGGCTTCAATTCACAACTGATATGAAAATAAAATAATAGTATTGCATTAAAATATTTGTAATCGATAAATGTGTAATGGAATGTTGTGTACCTCGTTATTATTTTATACTAATTATACCTGGTCCTGTCATAAATATTGTTACAAGGAAATATATACAGATTTCAACAGAAAAATTAATTTTTTTAAAAAGTTTATTAAAAAATAAATCTATAGAGAGTAAAACAATATAGAAATTACTAAAATGTCCCTCTTTTGCCTTGACTCAGGCATTTAATCTCTGTGGCCAGTCATCAATAGCAGCATGCAGCACTTCTTGTGGTAAGCACTCAACTGCCTAGACCAGAGATTATCTAGTGGATTGAGATTAGGGCTTCTTGAGGGCCGGTCCGAGGCAGAGATGAATTCTGGAATGTTCTTTTCCAGCCACTGCTGAGTTGACTTGGCCTTGTGAGCTGTAGTGGAATCCTGCTGGAAAACCCAATAACTTCCAGCAAACAGAGTTTCATTTAGAGGCTTGACAACAGGTTTCAAAATATCGTCATGATAGTTTTTTAGTGGCTATTTTAACTTCTTTTTCACAAAAATGGAGCTTTGTGGTGCCATAAAAGCAAACTATCCACCAAACCATCACTGAGGAAAGGTGATGACCTCTTTCCACTCTTCCAATAACTTTCTGGGCTTTTTTAGAGCTGTGTGCGTAAACACAATCATTTTGGTGATTAAATTTTTCTTCAATTGTAAAAATTTTCTCATTTGTAAAAAAAAAAATCTTTCGATGAAGACCATTGGTGTAACGGCCAAGGAGCACTTTGCATCTATCCACTCTAATTTTTAGGGTAGTTGTGGTTAGCCTTTGTTCTGCCCTTCTTCGAAATGCACCCATCGTAAGGTCACTTTTCATTATGCTAGACATTGATGTGACAGAGATTCCCATTTCCCGAGACATGGCTTGTTATTTTCGAATTGTATTTCTTTTGATTCGAGCAGTCACTGCTCTCACTGCATTTGCCATTTTCACACTGAGGGGATGGCCTGGTCGAGATCTGTCACATACAGAGAGAGTCTCATTATATCTATTTATAGTGTGGTACACGAACATATGGCTGATACCACAAGGTTCCAAAGTGTTGAAAATCTCTGATCTACATTTTCTAACTTTGTGTTAAGCGATCTCAGCTATTCAGTTTTCTTTATCACCCCACTTCATGTTAACTGAGCAAAAGAAAAATACAAACTAATGGGGAGTATTATTCTGACATGTAAATGAAATAATCTGCTAGAGGTAAGGATTATCTAAGTAATACCCAAGGATGTAAACTTACAAGTTAAACTTTTGTAACAGTATTTATGGCAGAGTTAGGTATTATATCTTGACCATTTAAACTCTTCTTCTTCTTTTTCTTCTTCCTCCTTGTGCCTTTCAGCGTCGAGGTGACTCAGTCCATGCCAGCCATGCATTCCGATCTCTGGCCAGCTCCTTCATGGCATTCAGCCCGCGTCCTCTTTGCTGTCCCAGCTTAGCTTAGAGATGTGGTCCGTCCACGTTAACCTAGGTCTGCCCCGGTGGACCTCTTCCAGTTGGCCTAGCTTCAAAGTACTTCCTTGGATTCCTATCTTCCTCCATTCGGCAAAGGTGGCCAAACCATTTCAGCTGCTTCCTCTCAACCACCTCTTTTACACCTGAAACTCCCAGGTCCTCTCGTATTCGCCAATTTCTGGCCAGATCTCTTCTGGTTTGGCCAGCCACTCTCCTCAGGTATCTCATTTCTGCAGCTGTTACTCGGCTCCAGTGCTTGTCTAGTGGGACCCAGCTTTCGCTTCCATAGAGAAGAGTAGGTAGGTATATTGCCTTGAAAATGTGCAGCTTCACGTTTTTGTCCACTTCTCTCTTTCCAGCAATTGTGTTGCATAGTTGGTAGTAGACATTATTTGCCTTTTTGATCCGGTTGGAAACTTTCCCATCAATCTTTCCATTCCTGCTGATGACTGTACCTAGGTAGGTATATTCCTCAGTCTTCTCTAAGGTTTCTTTTCTGCATCGGATCTCCACATTTTCTTCATTTCGTCCTATACACATTACCTTGCTCTTACTTTCATTGAGCATCATTCCCTTTCTATCCAGCTCAGCTTCCCACTCTATGATTGCTTGCTGCAGATTTTCTTTTGAATCTGTTATGAGGACAATGTCATCTGCAAAAACCATAGCCTGTGTAAGGATTGTTCTCATATTCCACTTCCCAACAACAGTCCGTGCTGTTCTCCTCTTGCATATTTTTAGAATTTTATTTTTTTATTTTTAGAATGAACATTCATTTCGAAAGGTTTGGAATTTATTCTTATTACACCCTTTGTGTTGCGATATGTGGATTTTATAGATTCTGAAAATTTAAACAAATATTTTAAATAATTTTTAGAACATGTTAATGGATTATGAGTCAAAATTATTGAAACAAATGTTTTGAAGAGTAATTTTTTACTTTTTTGAGTTATTGCTTTGGTCAACAAGGGGTGTCTCCCCTAAAAAAACTAATTTTAATTTTTGGAATGATTTTATATTATATGTTCTCCATTTTTATCCAGGAAAAAAGCTGTTGATTTTTATACAAATAAATAAGTAATTATTTCATATTTTGAAACTCATTTCCTTGAAATGAAACAGTTACTAATTAACAGGTACCATTTCATATTGTTTCTTGTTTGGAGTTCACATGGAGCAGTAGAAATGTGTCTTCAATCATAATACAGTCCTATAAATAGATCATTTATTTTTTTTTTTTTTGTGGCAAAAATGCACCTCGGTCATGGAGGTCTATTGTACGCCACACTACTATCAGAACGCAATTCCTGCTGTCTCAATAAACTGAAGTAGGCTTGTTGGTAGATAAGCTTGCTTGTCTTGGGATTAATAACACTATCAATGCCAAATAAACGGAATCTCAGTTCAGCAAACCTGTCGCACCAGTGACATGATAAGCTGTTTCATCCTCCTGGCCACAGAACCTACAAAGAGACTACTCCATTAACCAGAGATTGAACATGTGATAGTTCAGTTTACAGTGCCCAGTATATACCGCTAATTTTCTTAAGTGAGTTCCTGCTTAAGTTAATTAGTAGGTTGCTTCTTTTTGGACAGTTTCCATCCAGGAACCTGGACTGGAACCATTCCTGAACTGTCTAAGTTAACATTATAATTCTTTGATCTGAGTATCTGAGTGCATTGTAAGCACCTTGTCTTCCTCAATTTTTTTAAATAGTTTCCAATGTCTCTCATGGGTATTTATCTTTGAAAATAAGTTAAGTTTTTGTAGCCTATAAAGAATTTTCATGGCCTGCTTTTCTATCTCCAACTGCAAAGGTAATAGATCTGACATTTCTTCCATGGCTGTAGTTGGAGTGGTTTTTATTGCACCTGTTATCATTAGACAGGCTAATATTTGTAGTTTTTCCAGTTGTATCTGGTTGTGGCCCACTCTTGCCCTATGCTAACATACAACAGTTGAATATAAGAGCAGAGACCTGACTGTTGTGACATACAGCCAGTAAACCATGCGTGGTTTAAATCCCCATGCCTTCCCTACAGCGTTTTTACACAGCATTTTAGTGCTTTATTAGTTGTGTTTTCCACATGACTATTCCAATCATTTTATTGCCCAGCGTAACACCTAAGTGTTTCACCTCCTTACTTGATGTTAGCTGGATACCATTAATTTTAAGTAGTCTTATTGCAACCTTTTTCTTCATTGTGAAGATGCAAACATTTACCTTGGCTGGGTTGACACTCAGCCCACTGGACTCCTGGAACCATCCCTCCAAGACTCCTGTTGCAGTCCTCAACAGATCAGAAAGAACATTCTAATATTTTCTGCCTATAAGAATAGCAATATTATCTGCATATCCCTGTGCATAAAAGACTGCAGTATTTAGTTTGACGAGCAAAGAGTCCACCACCAAACACCACAGTATCGGGGAAAGCACACCTCTCTGTGGACAACCTCCACATATTCTTTGTTTTTGTCCTGTCTAAAGATAATTTCTCTAACAATAATTGTTTAGGCTGTCACTAGGATTACTGTAAAAAGCCTCTTCTTAGTTACAAAGATTGTATCCTGTCGATTAAAAATCAAGGAAGCCTGTATAAGCGATCTACAAATGTTAGCCAAATAAGTATAAAGTAATAAGTTAACAAATTACTCGCACATTGTTTCAAACTGAATTTCTTTCTATATAGACCTCATTTTTCATTTAGTTTGGAGGACAATTACAAACATTGGTTGACAAATTTTTTTCAAAATTAGAATAAAAAGGCATGTAAAACATCAAAATCAACATATTGAACACAAAAAGTGAGATAAAAACTTTTAAAATGTAACAAATTAGTGAATAATTAAATTATATTTTATCTTCAGTTTCTTATATTTAGGCAGTGTATCTTTTTTTATACCCCTTGTGGCGTCCATTAGAATAACATCGAATCTTGGCAGTTTTTATTTTAATACCCCACAATCCCATAACAATGTGGTAGCAGACATCGATTATGTATTTTAGTAAGTTCGTGTAGCGATATTATTCGGGTTTATTAATGGATATGCAAACTTTGTTTTTATTTGACTAACTGCCATTGAAAACAAAGGACAATGGATGCAACAGTGTTCAGCAATGAAAAGTTAGCAGTAGAAAGTTATGAAATATGGTCCATGAAAATAGGTGTATTTAGAAGCAAAAGGTCTGTGAACAAAACAAAGAAATTTTGTCTACAATCATACTGACAGTAAGCAGTGACATACTTCTATCAGTTTGTGGGAAAAGGAGGCAAAAAATGTATGGGAGAAAATGAAAGAAAGATTTGTGTGTATTCCTGAGAAGAGGGCTATCGACCTAATGTTTAGATCTAACAACATTAAAAAGAGCAATCCTGATTCTGTGGATGAGTATTTGATAAGATTTAAATGTTGGGCCCAAAAGATTGCTCAACTAGGGAAGGACTTAAAGACAGGGAATTAATAAGATATATTATAGAAGATTTGCCCCACTTTTACTACCCTGTTGTAAATCCTATCTTAGCCAATAGGAACATTAGATTCAGTGAACTGAGATAAATGTTACAGTTGTTTGAATAGAGAAATGCATCAAATAGAATTGATCAAGCACTTCAAATGTGCCTTAAACGAACAACCTTCAACCCCAAACTACTATGTTCCATATGCAAGAAACCAGGACACTTGAAGGAGAACTGCTGGTTTAACAAAAATAAAAATACTGAATCACTTAGAAAAAGATCTCTGATAAACATTAAATAGCCTATTGCAAAAGGCAAAATAAAGTGGACTTAGGTCAGAAGTTTGCGCTATGTGTGATTTGTCTGTACCAATAATTGATTGAGGAAGGAATCATAGAAACTGTTGACATTTCAGTTCCAAAAGACGGCCGGGTTTTGAACTCTACATTTATAGGGAATACTAGGGTCAAATCTAGTGGCCAAGAGGTTGAGAACAATTTTTATCTACAGGATGTTTTGGTTGTACTCCAGGATAAGCCAGACAGGCTTACCAAATATATGATGCTAAAGAAATGAAAATCCATGAATCAATTGATGCAACTTTTGATGAGGGGAGAAGAGTACAGAACACCAACAGTCAAAAAGAGATTTTACACTGCTGGAAGTACCCAGGCACCGAGAAGATAAGATTATTGCTGAGAGAGTAGGAGAAGAGATCTCTGGAGGTAGTGAAGTTCAAAATACTGTGCCAGAAGTACAATGCTGCCTGTGTTCAATGATCAACAACTTTCCAGCAATGAAGAAGAGTTCATGCCAGAAGAACAAGAAACAGTAGAGGAACAACAGGTGTCATTTTCTGAAGATGGTAATGAGGAAGATGAACAGCAATTCAGAACATAATGAAGGATTATGTTTTGGAAACCCTCGAGGAGGAACAAAAAACTTATGAAGATGTTTTGAATGTACCTAATGTGGAATATTGGCTTGTGGCAATTAAAGATAAAATGAAGAATATCCAAGTTTGGAAAGCAGTTCCTCGGCAACCAGACCTGAAAGTAATCAAGAGCAGGTGGGTCTTTAAAATGAAAAGGGAACTGGATGGATCTAAGGCTTGCAAGACGAGAATTGCGGCAATCGGGTATAAACTTTAAGAAAGTATTGACTATGATGTCTCCTACAACTCTGTAGTTTAGTGGGAGTCATTAAAAACAATTTTGGCATTATCTGTTTGAGGAAAATATTCTCAGAAATTTCTTTACATTAAATTGGTATACCTTAATTCTGAACTAACACTACCAGTTTGCATGGCCACCACCTGGATGTGGGAAGCCAGGAAACGTTTTATGCTTGAAGAAAAGTCTTTACAGTTTGCCACACTCTGGAAGAAATTGGTTTGAGAAGATTTAAAACATACTGCAGTTGCTAGGATTCATAAACCTTGTAAAAAACCCATGTTTATTCAAGAGTAAAAGTCAAAAAGTGTTCATATTTATGTAAATGATTTTGTATTTGTCGAGGAAGATGATGAGACAATTGAAAAGTCATTAGCTCATTGAAGAAGGAGGTAGATATTCAGCCTGTTTAAGGAGGAAAATTTCTGAGTTTAGAAATTGAGGAAGAGGACAGGTGTATATATTTATCCCAGCTGGGGTACTCTGAGGCTATTCTAAGTAAGTTTGGCATGACTGAGTGCCAATTGGTTAACACTCCTAGTACAAAGGGAACTGACTTGTATGAATACAAAGGTTCTCAAACTATATCATAAGATATGTATAGAGAGGCCATTGGGTCGTTTTTACATTTGGCTCGATGTACCCGGTCTGATACTGCTTTGAACTATTCACAATACAATTCAAATTCTAAGGAAATTCATTGATCGGCTGTGAAAAAACTATTAAGGTATCTCGAAGTAACAAAGAACATCAAACTAAAAATAGATGGGAGACTAGAAGTTTGAGTGGGTGTAGGATAGTGCACCACATCTGATGCTATTTCATTCAGCAGGCATGTTGTTACTCCTGGAAGGGAAATCCTGGCTTGGAGAAAAGGAAAGCAAAACTTGGTAGCAATGTACAGGATGGAGGCTGAGATTATGTCTGAATGTGTAATGCTGAATGGTTCATTGAGCTTTTGGAAGAACTCTACGCAACTGAGTTTGTTATTTGTTAGTTTGTTATTTGTTAGTTTGTTATTTGTATTAGACATGTAACTATATATACAGATAGCAAGGCTGTGATAAATTGCATCATGAATGGTGGACATGAAAGATGAACGAGTAACATTTATGTATAAAAAATAATTTAATATATTATTATATTACATAATGCATATGGAAACATTATTATTATTTTTAAAAAATAAGTATATTTAGTGGATTTAGGTATAATGTCATATTCACTATATTTGAATTAATTAATCATGTACTAATTTAACTATTGGTTAATCTAGTATTGGTTATTTTTTTCTTGTTTAAACCATAGTAACATTTTAAAAATTAATCATGGAAATTAGTTTAGGATATATTTTATTTTTATTTAGTTTTGTCTCTATTGTTCCAAGTCCATTCTTATTTTATTTAACTATGAATCATGTAATTATTTTATGCTGTATGATTTTTATTACTTGTTTATGAAATTTTATGGATTCTGCTTTTTTTTAAAAGTATACTTGTCGATTCTTAGGTCCTCCTAAAAGACTCGGACCTGAAGTAACTGAAGTTGAAATTGTATCTGGAAGTAAATTAGAACTTAATTGCTCCATTGACGGATCACCTCATACAAACTTTAAATGGACATATAAATCTGAATTTGGGTTAGTCTGTTTCTTTATATTTATATTACTATTTAATAATGTATTCTTACTAATACTTTTCCTGTTATGAAGATTTTGGGTGGGTTCCATGACCAGACCGTAAAAGAGGTTTCAATATTAATCTTTATCAGAATATTATTATAATTATTTCTAACTATTGGTCACCTCCCCATAGTTAGCTAACCTGCGAGTAGAGAATATCAGAGAGTTCTGAAAGAGCCTTATAAGGACTTATCAAATGTTTTTGTATGTTTGCCTGTACAAATAAAAATAGCAATAGTAAAATATACCGTAGGCGGAGAATCTTTTTGTCATTATAGGCCACAAAAGTTTTGTATATATTACTGTTGCTACTTTTATTCATGAGTAAATACTCACTCATTTACATATATTTAACTAAATTCTGTTAATTTTCAAATTTTTGTAACCTAAATAATTAATGAATACTGTAAAACTAATAGAGCCCCCATGTCGCCTTCAAGGCCGAGACCGCAGCTAGCCACATATGGCCTCAAGGTCGCTGGTTTCCCGCCTGTGGTATATATCAACATTTTGTAAATATATAAATCTGTATTTATGATGAAGACATTAAATTTTTTATGTTACTTTAATTTAAATCTGTTGATAATATTAATGGAACTTTGGGATAATACTTTTCTTGAGAGAAATAAATGTTGAAATTAGACATCATAAAGAGAGAATAGTAAATTTAAGAAATGTATCTTCTTGACAATCTTGATAATCCGAACACGTAGATTTAGCCTGTAGTTGAGGTTGTCAAAGGTTAAATTTAAAATGATGGAAAAAGTGTACAAGCTAACAAAAATATATTATCAGTTAAATATAAACACATTGCAAACAAAAAAAATGTTTTTTTTTTTAAAACAATCAAATAATGTACGTTGAGTTTGATTTTATTGCCAAAGAAAATGCCTAATCTCTCCAATTCATTAAAAGTACCAGGCTGAGGTAGTTGATATTGTATCCATTGCCCCACTCCAAGCAAGTATTAAATGCCTTTATGGCATTTCTACAACTTATCTATAATGAAAAATAAAATGGGTTTAAAGAAATTTTCAAGTGAAATAAAATTAATACAAGAACATATTCCATACCTGCTTTTGAAATTATAAAGCCAACCTTTATTTTATTGGCATTAAAATTTGCTTTGTCGTACTTCTTAAAAAAACTATTAAAAAAAAAAATGAGACTTTTCAGCTAATATAACTCTGGAAATTGTACCCTCATGATATCTGCTCCAAAAACCACATACAAAGAGATTCCCTGTCTTCTGAATGACTGGTATGATTTAATTTTTTCAGTTTAGAAACATCACAATATGATTTTGAAACTACCACACAAAGCTATTCCATTAATATGTACTGAGAAACAGAGCCATTTCCATTCTGTCTCTCGTCAGTCAACTTTGACTTTTTTTTTTCTTGTTTGGATTACTAAGCATTTCAGATTAATGAGAGGTTCAGGTTATTGACATCGTACTGCAATTTATGAAGTAAGTAATGAGTTTTCTTATTATTACTTTTATTTCTAGGAAGAAGGAGACTTTACGATTTGTTACTAGGAATATATATATTGGCTATGCTCAAGTGGAAAATGAAGGGCTGTACACTTGCTTTGCTTACAACTTTGCTGGAAATTCTACAAAATCTTTTAATGTATCTGTTATCGGTTAGTATTATTTAAAGTTATTTTAAATCATTTTGTAGGTTAATTCAATATTTATTGTGTATTGGTTTGTTCTAAATAAGATTTATTTGGTTGAAAGTTACTCATTTTTAGTGGTAAATTCGAAATTATTTGATATTGGTAAAGTGTTAAATTGTATAATTATAAATATTAATTAATACATCTTAATAAAATGTTATAGCCAGTATATTTGATGGTGAATTTACGAATTTCATTCAAAGAACTTCAAAACATTGTTATTCTGCAAACATTTTTATCATGTTTGAAAATACGAGTATGTCATTATGCCAAGTTTCAATCAATATATTTATTTGTATATTCAATCAATATTAATTCTATAGAATAGAACACTTCTCTAGAGCTATGAATCTTTGCACACTGCACCACTGGATTTTTTTTTAAAAAAGGATAATTGCTTCTATTTAAAGTTTTTATTTTCCAGATTATTATTTTTTTGTTTTTTTTCAGATTTTCCCAGAATCAAGCGTGATATCAATAACACAATTGTGTTAGCTGAAGGTGATGATTTAGAACTTTCTTGTAAATCTCAAGGAAGGAAGCATACTTTGGTACAATGGTTCTTCAATGGAGTATATTTAAATGAATCTAGCAACACCATAACTCAGAAAGTTTTAAGAGATTTTAATTCAACCCAATACATCTGTAAACTTGCAAATGTTTCTAAGGAAAATGAAGGATCATACAAATGCTTAATATCAAACTTAGCTGGTACAGATGAATTAAAATATAAAGTAATAATAATTGGTATGATTCAATCAAATTTTTATTATTTATCTTTTACATGATTATCTATACATATTTTAATTTTATTATTTAAATAACAAATTTTTGAAGTTCAAGTTGTAAATGGCCTAATTTGGTATAAATTATAAAAAAAACATTGAGGGCTTTGGTGTAAGAACAAGATTAACCAAAATTTTCAACAATTTTTTGTTGTTGATACATTTTCATCTGTTAACAATATGACAATTTGGATTAGCACAGGACTTGGACACTCCTGCAACATCAGTCCTATCTTGTAGTATAAACAATTTTTTTAACTTTTATTTTACACTTTTAGAAAAACTTTCTCATTTAATAAGCTTTAAGTCCATATTAATTAAGTCGAGGTTAATCAGGACAAACTTTGAGATTCACTTCAAGTTATGTAAAGAAATGATGTGATTTCCTATCCAGTATCCAGTTCACCATAAATTACCCGTGTTTTCTGAAAAAATACTACAATTAACTGTTACAAAGCTCTTGTTTTTCCATCATATGGGATGTATTGCAACAAACACAATTGCCTAAAAACACATTTTTATATGAATATAAAAAATTTAATGATAATAATTTTTTTAATATTTTTCATGTAAAGTAATTATGAAACTGTTTTTTCTCCCAGATACATCAAAGATAAAAAATCAAGAGGATAAATTTATTTTAGGGTGCATCATATAAAATTAATGATGAACTCCAGTTTATAACTCATGGTAAAAGTTTTCAACTAGCCATAATAATAATTATGGCCTGATGTTGTGTTGGCCAAATGTTAGCCGTCGTGGCATTCTCGTCCCTAGCAATGCTGGTTCGAATCTGGCCTGCGAAGAGTTCAGTTTTATTTTGTGGCGTACCTATGGGATAGAACTCGACCTTCCCACTCTGGTTAGAATAGGTTTGATTGTACGTCTGGAACAGCCCCCGTGTATGCCAGAAATTTTGGATAGGGGTTAATCAAATTTAAAAAAATTTAACTTATGGATTGAAGAAAAACATTAGGAGCATATTAATATTATTATTTACCAAGGCTATGAGAAGCCAGCTTTTGTTTAAGGTTCTGATTGATAGTTAAGAAACAACATTGCTGCTGTTTTTTATTTGATTTAAAGAAAAAGAATAACAAAGAATGTTGTTATTCGGGGAGGCCAGAATATGGCAATAGCTATAATACGATCTTGTCTCGATAATATATCAATCTACATCTGATTTGAGATTGATTCATTGTACCACATACTTACATTATCTTCAGCTTTATGATGTATGCTGAATCTGATCACCCAGCAACCTGGCTGATTGCTATAATGGAAATTGCTGCTGTCTTTTACGATGGAATTCAATGGCATTTCTATTCCTGAGTTCAATTCTAACCACAAAATGAATGAAATAGAATCTTTTTATACTTGCATGCTCATATTACACTATTTGAATTATTGTGAAATGGTAGATCTATTTCATAGATCAGTGAGATATTTTATATCATAAAATATAACAAAAACTAATTGTTTTATATCTCTTTGCTAACTTTTATTTAGCTGCTCCAAAGATGTTAAATGATGACTGGAGAAAATTAAGAAAACTTGAATTTTTAAGTGGATCAGATATTGAAATTGAATGTCCAGTAGAATCAGTCAATGAATTTAAAATTCAGTGGAAGAAAAATGGACTTATCATGGATGGTTTTGAAAATAAAACATTATATATTCCTTCTTGTACTTTAGACGATGATGCAGAATATATTTGTATCGCTTCTAACATTGCTGGACAGCTTGCTTCAAAAATTGTAGTTAATGTCCTAGGTAAAAAAAATTATAATTTCTTTTTCTCATTAGTACTTTCTAATTCATTAGTCATAAATATTTTGGGTTTATTTTTAGCAAGCCCAAAATTGCTCAACCATAATACTAATACTACCCGAAAGATTATGTTGGATGAAGAACTTTCTCTTAATTGTTCAGTTATTGGAAATCCCACACCAACTATTTTATGGACTAAAAACATGAAGCAGGTCGACAATATTACTTTTCCTCAGATTGTTTTGTCCGAAAACAATCAAATTTTGGTATTGTAACTTTTATTTATTTTTCAAAATATTTGTTTACTCTGCTTTGATTTGGAAAATTATTTCTTATTAACTGTTTTGTTTTTCTATAGGAAATTAATGAAGTAGATATATCTGACAATGGAAAATATTCATGTTATGCCAGTAATATCATTGGTTTTGTGGAAAATCATTTTAATGTTGAAATCATAGGTAACAGTTTTTCCTACTTTTTTAATGATGAATATATGAGTCAATTAATAGCAGATAAATTATTATAATCTGAAATATTTTTTCCTTTAGTTGCTCATAAAATTCTTAAGCTTAATTTTCAAAGGGTACATATATATAAATTTCTTATTTCGAGGAACACTTGAAAACCCTTTTTAGTTTAAACCACATTATCTCATTTTCACATTTCACACTAATTCGGACCAAATTTGTTCATTTTCAAGTCTTAGAATCATATCTCTAATATTAACAGAAATATTGTTTATTTATAAAAAAACGTATCAGCACATTCACAATAAAGAAAATGTTTAAAAATAACTATTAACGAATTTAAACATCTGTAATATAATTACATAATCCTAAACAAAAATTGTTTATAATAATTTTTATTTTTTTTAAATCTTTACTGATTTGAAAATGGGAACTGAGTTTTTTTCTATCAAACAAATAAAAGGTGGAGTACCTCAGGGCAATGTCCTGGGTCTTACACTTATCAACATTTATTGCTCAGACATCCCATGGCAATCATAAACATTGTTGGCTACATCTCGTGATGACTCGGCAATATTAACATTTAAGATAGAGGCAGCTAAGGCTTCTCAGGTACTTCAAGAACACCTAGGCTCATAGCTCGTTTGGCTAAAAAATGGTGGATAAAAATGAACAACTCTAAGAGCCTATTTGTTTCATTGACACCTCAACATGAGTCTTATTATTAAATATAATATTGTAAATAAAATATTATAAATATAATAGTTATATCCAGATATATTATATTTTTATTGATAGGTTTTTCAGTGTTAATATAAAGTATAAAAATTAAGTATAAATATAAATTCAATAATTCATCATTCTGATTATATTTATTTTCAGAAGAAGTTAGTTACAACGTAGGTCGAAATGTTGGACAATTCAATAAATATACTATTATATAATATAAGAATTTTTGACCGCCCTCCCAACTAACTTCTTCTGAAATTAAAATCTACGGTCAACCATCTCTATATCATTCTGATTATCTTTAGTAATTAATAACAAGTCACTATATTTTGTGCTATTAATATTGTTTTTTCCACCATCTTTAGCTACTTACTCATTAATGATTTAATTGAGATAACAATCCCTGAATACAATTGATAATCTACCCACCATTGCGAGACCATTTATCATTTTAAAATAACTATCATTATATTTAAAATAATTATTTGTGTTGCATAGTTTAATGCTTTCTATATGTACCATTTTATTTTTTATATTTGTGTGTTCTTTTCTTAGATTCCATTTTTCTTCTAGAACCATAATTACTTGAATAGGTATATTTGTGAATAGGTCTTCACAACATCAGAAATATTTATATTAAACCAAATTGTTTGGTCTAATAAACTATTTAACTTATTTTTAACATTTTCTGCATTATTAACATCATAATTTTCTATATTAACATCTAACTCATTCATACAATCTAATGTTGGTTTAAAAAATCGGTGAGCTTGTCCGTTGGTCCATCTATATTATTTTTTGTTGGTCTGAGACCCCTATCAGATTTATGCAACGTTATTAGACTTTAGGATTTATCCTTGTCTGGATTAGGATTGTACATTATAGTACAGAAGAATATGATATAAGGAGTACCACTAATAAAAATATTTTTTGTACTTTTTATAGATGTTTCGAACTGAAGTTGAGCGTTCAACAGTGTTTCTTATAATGGTTTATGCAAAGGTTGAAGTATAAATGAGTCATCTGTGACGAGTATAAATCAATTACTTTCACTCTGACTAGAATAGATTGATTGCATGTGGAATAACCATCCTTCCTCTCCTGATTTGGATTTCATGAAAATTTTAAATCCAAATAAAATAAAAAATAATTTTATCTGAAAAATAAATCGACTTTAGAAATAATCCTATCTACTCTAAGGGATGGTAATCGCATATCTGCTTAAACACATTGGTGGACTTTTAGTGAAGTTGACTTCTATGAATACTATAAATAAATGTAAGGTATACTAACTAGTCCTGTCATGAATATTGTTTTTCATCCACTGCACGGTATCTCTTCTTGCAAATTCATTCTGTCTCATGTATCAATATATTTAACATACAGAAACAATGTAAGTTAATGTAATGTTAGAAGAACGTTAACCTCTCTTGGGTGTGTGAAGGCACTCGACTACTACACCATGTTTCAATATTGATAGATGTTTACTTCTCTAAGAACCCATCAATTTGTTAAAGCAGATGTGTATGTTCATTTCCCTCTAGTGTATAGTATTTTTTTTTGTTCTTTTTGGTGTTACTATTTAGTTCAACAATTGGATTGTGATGAGCCATAGATAAATAATTTCTTTCAGTACCTCCTATGGTTAAAGAAGCTAGTAAATCAATGGAAAAAATAATGAAAACTGATCTTTATAGAAGAGTAGTGCTAAGATGCCCTCTCATTGCTTTACCAGAACCTAAAATAACATGGTACAAGGTGAGGATTTTATTCTAGTTGTGAACATTTGTATTACATGTTATTTAGTTATATTTTGTTTTTTTATTACTGAAGAAAAAGAAGCTATGTACTCTAACAGTGAACAAAATTTTTGTCCTCAGATTCAAAAATTTCCATTTGTGTTTCAATTAACTTGTAGATATGAAGGTACAAAATTTGATTCCATGTTTGTCTGTTGTCAAATCCTTATGAGAGCTATAGACCTACTACTGTTAATCGGATTTTGATAAACTTTTCAGGGATTGAACGAGTTGGACTGAAGTGTTTCAATTAATTTGTAGATATGAAGGTACAAAATTTGATTCCATGTTTGTCTGTTGTCAAATCCTTATGAGAGCTATAGACCTACTACTGTTAATCGGATTTTGATAAACTTTTCAGGGATTGAACGAGTTGGTACTGAATCAGACTCCAAACATTGCTTTTGCCCAGGCATGTGCTAATGGAATTTTCTTAGCACTCCTATATTTTTAATTATTTTTAAAAGTGGCCCAAAGTTATAGAGAATTTAAGGATTAGAACCTTCTCCAAGGCTAGATCTCCAAACTATAGCCTGCAAGAACCTCTAATCTGGCCTGCGAAAGTTTCTTTGATTACATGATACAATTTTAAAAAATATCTAAAAAAATATGAAATTTATTAAATCACTCAAAGATAAGGTTACTACAACTTTTATTGTCTCTTTCTATATTCTCTTAAAAAGTTCATTTGACTGTTGAAGTGTCATTTATAGAACTAACTCTCTTTTTCATTTCAAGCCATGGTATGTGGGACTTAGTGGAGGTACCAATGTGGCTCATGAATTTTATTTGAGATCTTAATGTGACTCAATAAAAGTTGGAAAGCACTGTACTATATAAAATGGTATCCCAGTATCAATTTTAATAAATTTTGTCCACTACTGCAAATATTTTAATCTTCCCACACTTATATTAAAAAAAAAAAACTGATTCGGCTAAATGTTGAAGGAAATTTAGGGACTCACAAAAAAAAAAAACAATTCATTGCCAATTTTATCTCATTTAATCCTCTACTTTTAATTTTGTGTTCAGTGTGAATATTCAAAAAAAGTTTCATTCCATAGATTTTATTCTTGTTAACCAATAGATTTTATTAATTAACCACTGATAATTAATAATGAAATATAGAGAATTATTTATCCTATATGAGTGGTGAGAAAGCTATACTGACCGTACTTGGCAGACATTTTTCGTTTTCTGTTAATCAGTTTAGTTAAAAAAAGGTGGTGTTTGTGTATTCAATAATTTATGATGTTTTCAGTCTTGTAAATAGCTCAGAGTTCTCATAAAAAGAATTAACAGGTATGAATCAGATTTAATTTATTTATTTATTTGTTGAATTTGCCTCTACCCGTTAGGGTCATTGGCAGTCCTTTTTTCATCCACACCTCCATACATTCTGACCGATTCTCAGGCAGCACAAAATTATCTCCTCTCTTCTTGATATTTTTTAATTTGTACATCATTTAGCACTATTTGGTTTTACCCAAACTAGTTTGGAGAGCCTCCTTTTCTAAGTCTTATTCCATTGAGGTATTATCTGGAATTTTGGAACTCGAGGAACAGTATTGATGGATGTTATCTCATTATTATCATCCGTTCAAGCCATTCTGGTTGGGAAAGTCTGCTTGTTCACTTTCCTGTATACCACAGTGAGACGAAGCTCAAATGAAAGCTGTTACAATCCCTGTTCTTTTCCTGTCCTAGATTTAATTATATGACTGTAAAATATCATTTTTAACTGATCTTTAACAACTTTTTGTTAGTTAATAATTATTTATTGTAGTTATTTATGATTCCTATGATATAATAGTTTTTGAATTACTAAAAACAAGTTAATTTACAATTTTATATTTGGCTTTGAATTCAGGAGTCTGAAGAAATAACTAATGAAATTTCTTCTATGTTGATATCACATGATAAAAAAATGTTAATAATCAATCATCCGAAGGAGTCAGATGCTGGAATTTATAAATGTGTTGGTAGTAACGATGTAGGAAATGAAACATTTACTTTCTTCTTACACATATCTAGTAAGTACTTTATTTATAAACATTAAAAGAAAATTAATAATTTTATTGAATTTCTTTATGTATTAATTCTCAACATTTCGTTAACACCAAAGATTGTGCCATAATTTTGAAGATTACCTTCTCTGCTAATGCCGAAAAATAAGCACATCATCCAGAAAAAGGAATAAAGTTATCAAAAGAAAAGGAAACTTTATAACTAAAACATTGTAAAATTTATGTTTGGCTGTATACATGATAATTTGAATGGTAATCACTGAAGAGAAGATTGGTTGGGGTGTTCATTCAAAAAAATGTAAAAATAAATAAATTGTATTTATTTTTATTTTTGCTGACATTTCCACCTAAAGTTCAGACCTTCATCAGGGCTTGTCAAACATGAGATTCCTGCAAGACTAAAACGGTAATTACAATTCCTACAGATAAAAAAGTCACCAAGCTATTATTAGCTAACAAACATAAAAAAAATAAAGCTTTTAGACTTCGTACTTATGTTCTGGTTTACTATTTTCAATAATGAAGCTTTGTGTTTAACCAAGAAAAAATTATGACCTCCCACTCAAAATTTGAGTTTTTAAATTGCAAAATAGTTAGAACTCAAAAATCTTTCCATCCACCATCCGCTTTTCCACAGCTGACCTGAGATCACCTCAGAAACCCGACATTAACGAATGTTTTTCCTATAGACTGACTTCTAAAACATCTCTAATAATTTAGTATAACCTTCAGAAAAAATAAGAGATATGTTTGGTCTGTCCACTCATATAATCTTTTTAACGCTTTGGGTGAACGCTTAAGGTTTTGTTTATTTTGTGCTAATTTTGATTGATTGTATACAAAATAATAATATTCTTCTAAGAAATTATTGAAATCAGACCATTTTAAAATACAGCCATTAGACTTGGTTCTCATGTTTTAGTTTATTATTTTCAATATTGAACCTTTGCAATCATGGTGCGTGATAACTCAGTGAGTATGGCACTGTGCTTTTATGCTATCTCTTTTTTTATTTAAATCTTTGTAATCAACTGAATAGAAAGAAAAAGATGCTCCCCCTTGATATGTTGAGAAAGTAAAATATGTTTATTGCACTTACTTAATTCCATATTACATTTGAATTGGCCAGTTACTGATTATGTGAATTATTCTTGCAAGCTAACTAGTTCTTTATTAGATTACTTAAGAATTTTTTTAGTTGCCATGGAGTGGGGGCAGTGGAGTGACTGGTCTGAATGTAGTTCCTCTTGTGGAGGTGGTGTTCATATTAGAACTAGAAAATGCTTAGGCGAAGATAATGGAATAATGAGTGCATACATCCACTTTAAGAACAGCAGCTGTTCTGGCCCAGATTCTGAGAATAGACCTTGCAATCTTCACACTTGTCCGGTATGTCTATTTAATAATTTGTTTCATTTATGTTGAATGACTATTGAATAATTTTCACATATTTTATTATCAAATTAAATTAAAAATAATTTCAATGTGTTATTTTGTGATTACTGTATTTATATTATGTTTTCTTAGATCAATGGATACTGGAGTGATTGGAGTAGATGGAGTGATTGTTCCAGTACATGTGGTGAGGGGTGGCAGCGACGTACTCGACGTTGTAATAACCCACCTCCTTCTATTGGTGGTGATGATTGTGTTGGCCAAACCTATGAGGACAAAAAATGTGAAATTGTTCCCTGTCCAATAAATGGAAATTGGTAAATTTTATAAATTAATTTTATATGTATTACTGAATTGATTACTCGACAATTTCCTGAATTTTAATTATATTTCTTATTAGTGAAATTGAAGATTTGTGTTCATTTATTTTGTGTAATATATTTATTACATTAATAACAATAATGAATATATTACTTTAATAACAATATGTAATATATTTATTACATTAATAACAATAACACAAAATTATATTTTGTCTTTATACCACACTATTTCTGGGAAACTGTATCTTTCTATGCGGTACATTAGAACATACTTATTTGGCTAAATGACTTACCCAGCACAATAAGTTTTATGAATAAAAAATGATTTTATCTTTATAATAATTTTTGATTATGATTGTTCCTTATCTCAAAGATTTCTCTTTTTATCGGACCATAATTTAAAAAATAAAAAATAAATGATTATTTTCATCTCCTTAAGAAAATTTCCTGGTTTGAAAGGTCAGATTATGGTTGGTAAGAACTATTGATATCATAACTATTTTGTTATTATTTTTTTTTTTTTTAGAAAACTACTTTTAATATGATGAAAAAGACAATTCTGTTTGAATTAAATTTTCTTTAATGCTAGAAACCATACTTTTGGCATATTTTCGTTGTAACTTTTTAAAATTACATTTTGGGTTATAATTAATTATTAACTGTAAAATTATTAAATGGGTGAAACATAAATCACAAAAACACAAATAAATTAACTGTAATAATATGGATCCTTGATGGAGCAAGGATCAGGGGTTGGCGCCTGGAGAAAAGATAAACCTTATGAGGGAATATTCATATCTCTAGGTAGACATACGTCCGCCTTTCAGGCCGAGATTCTAGCTATCAATTTCTGTACTTAATCACTAGTCATTATGAATAGATTGATTACAATACATATACGGATAGTCAAGTGGCAATTAGGGTCCTGAATAGTTATGCAACCCGCTCCAAGTTGGTTGGCGAGTGTAAAGGCAACCTGAAATTTCTCTGTTATACCCACTAGATGAGGATTGAATGGGTGCCTGGGTACTCAGGTATTCCAGGTAATGAGAAAGCGAAAACCTTTATTTTTGAATTTTTAAGAAAATCTCCTTTAGATTTTTATTAAAAAATTATGTTATTTTAACATATGGTAGCTAAAGGTGTGCCAAATTTCAAAGTGGAGAAAAAAAATGGTTGACAAGAAAAAAAAATTTTAGCTACAATAAGTGCACTAAAAACGCGGTCAAGGTCCACCAATATTAAAATATTGACATTTTTTAATTTAAATTTATGCATATATATACTTTTTTACTTAAATGTTACTTACTTGTAAATTTACTAAAAAAAGTACGAAAACTTGAATACAATAATACAAATCACTGTTCAAGTGTCTGTTATTTTGTATATATGTTTTATTTTAATTAGAACAACCAGCTTATGTTTTGAAGGTCCTCATCTATACAACCGAAATTCACCCGGTTCTGTTGTAGGATACACCATTGACCGAGCATGTCAGCAAAACAACTGGAAAGAGGTTCCAATAACTTCAGAATGGAATAATAATAAAAATAGGTAGAGGAACCTCAAAGGAATGATTAAAAACATTTGATATCCTGTAAATTCTAAAATTACCTTCAGCTAGAGAATTCTTGAATAAGTATAAGAAACTCACAAAAATACATACACCTTATAATCATTTTAGCAGTAAAAGGGTTATAAAGCATACAGAAAATTTACTTGAACTCAAGAAAAATATAAAAGAGAGTATGTGAGAAAAAAATAATTTTAATTTTTCTGTTTTAATTATTCTGTTAAAATGTCTTGTGAATTTTAAATGCTTGTCGAAGTGTACTTATAAGATATGCCTCCATGAAACCAAGATAAGCCAAATTTGCTGATGATTTTCTGCTTTTAATGTTAATTCTAAATTCTCATGGAATTTTCTTTTTCTATTGAAAATTTTGTCCCAAGGAATCTGACTGGGAGGACATATACACTTCCCATTGAAGAAATAAATTAATCAACCACCATTTTACAAAATAAAAAAAAATCTATACAACATAAGAGACACTTGAACAGGGATTTGTAAATATTGTATTCAAGTCATATGTATACGTAAGTAACATTTAAATAAAAATATACATGCATAAATTTAAATTTAAAAGTTCTATAATTTAAATATTGGCGGACCTTGATGGCGTTTTTAGGTCAATATTTTTTATCTTGTGAAACCATTGTTTCCCTATTTTAAAATTTGGCACATATTTAGCTACCATATTGTAATATATACCTTTATTGGAAGTGAGTAAAAAGGTTTTAATAAATCAATGTTGAACAATAAAAAGGCAAGCTTATCTAGTTCTACTAATGCAGGGAAAATAAAATGGCTTCTCTGTAGTTTCCAAAGAAGGAAAATCCTAAAGAGGAGAGGGACAAAGTTTTTGTTTTGGCAAGCAGTTGTTGTGTGACTGCAGTGAAGAGAGGTTAAGAGAAGATATCCTGTCTTGGCTCCAGTGGGTAAAACCCAGTAATAGTTTTACCATCTTAGAAGATCTTGTTTGGCAGGGAGAATAGTTGTTTGGAATTGCAAGAGAGAGGATTTCCCAGAGAGCTTGAGTTGAGTGGAAGAATAGTGTTGCCATTTTGGGATATGTGTTTGGCAGAACATAAGACAAATGTGAAGACAAATGAGTTCAGTGCCACAAAGGAAGAAACATTGTACGTAGAAAAAAGGCTAGCTTGTCAATTCATACTTGACTTTATTTTAAAATCAATGTTTAATTTTAATATAAATAGTGTAAATAATAATAGTTTTTCTGAGTTGAGCTGATTGTCAGTAACCCACACCTGAGATAAATAAATATATTAATACTCTTATAATTTTGTTTTTTTATTTAAAAAACCTCTTATTTCATTCGGAAGTATCCTAAGGGTATAAAGTGATCTTCTGAGGTTTTATTATTATTATTATTTTTAAAATATAAGAGAAAAGATGTTAGAATAACATATAATTTTTTAATAAAAATCAAAAAGGGGATTTTTTTTCAAAATTAAAAAATAAAGATTTTGGTTTTCTTGGATTCTATATTATATTTATAGAATATAATCATGTCGCATATCAAAAGAAAGAGCACAAACAACTAAAAAATATGACAAATGAAGAATAGTTGGGGTGATCAGTCAAATAAGAAGGCAAAAATAAATGATAATATTTATTTTGACATTTGCCGACGTTTCCACCTGAAGTTCAGGCCATCATCAGGGCTAAGAAAAGAACCAGATAACAAAGTATGAGAAACATAAGTAGTGTATCTACAAAAAAATTAAAGTAAAATGCAGTTGTTAGAATGATAACAATAGTAAGAACTAAGAGATAAATGATAATAAGCGGTACGTGTGGAATGATGAAGTAAACATAATCAAAAGGTGACATAAGTATTATTAATGGGAATCTTAGAATAAAATGTAAAACAAAAAAATATGAAGTTATATAGGAAATGGAAATAAACAGTAAAATTAAGATATTGTGAATAGAATAGTTAGATAGATGTTGTAAAGTCTATTAAGATGTACAGACAACATATAATATAATAAAGAGTTAAAACAGAGAAAATGGATGAAAGGAAGGAGGAAAGAAACTGAGAAGTCTGAAATACGATAGAGAATAAGAAAGAAAAAGAAAAACACACCTAACTGCAAAGAATTAAATCGAAGCAATGAGCATGTTAGTACAGGGAGGGAGTGGAGAGAAGGGATGTATAGTGGCGTCATCTCCAACGGTTATCTGATGAAGTTTGAACTAAAGTACCGGAAGCGTAAATAAGGGCGAGAGATATATTACTCATAAATATTATGGATAATTGAATGAAAGTTAAAACAACTTTTTTTGTTTTTTATTTTTAAAAAAATTTATAACTCAAAAACCATAGGTCCAAAAAATCTAAAAAATTTTCTTTTTCTTTATATCAACTAACTCTCCGGTACTACAGGCCATGAATTATTCTTCTCCACTTCAATCTATCCTGTGCTTCTCTCTTCCAATTGCGAAATCTTAACTTCTTCACGTCTCTCTCAACGTCATTCTTCCATTTGCTTCTCGGCCTTCTTCTTTTCCTCTTCCTATTGTAGTGAGCTTCCAATATTTTCTTCTGTACTCATTCATTCTCCATTCTGACCACATGTCCTTCCCATCTCAGACTACTTGCCTTGATATAGCTAGTAATGTTTCGATTCTCTAAAATAGCCTCGATTTCATTGTTACTTTTGATTTTCCACTCACCATTAACACTTGTAACCTTGCAACACTGTGAATCCTTCTTATTTTTTTCCTTTCAAATACTTTTAGTTTACGGCAATCCTCTTGTGATAAACACCAGATTTCCGCTCCATAGGTGATTACTGGTCTAATAAGCATTCTATACAGCTTTATATTCACCAAATAACCAAAAAATTATCAAAATCCAAGACCCTCTCGGTTAGACCCTGGTTGATTTGACATGGAATGACCCTATACTGAAATATTTTATTATAAACATTTTTTTAGGGGCAAGTGGTCTGATTGGAGTGAGTGCACTAAAACTTGCGGTTACAGCATAAAAATTAGAAGAAGGCGCTGTAACAATCCTGTACCATCCTTTGGTGGTCTTCCATGTTCAGGAAACAGCAGAGATATAACTCTGTGCCAAAAACCCAAGTGTAGAGGTAATATATTATGCTAGTGAGTGACGTATTAAAGAAATCAGCTCGTCTAGAATTAAACATTATTACTGCTGTATAATTAGTAGTTGTTAATAATAAAATATTGAAGCACTGACAACTAATTTAATTTCAATATTATTTACATTTTATTTTGGATGTTTGTTTATGGTTTAAGTAACACTTCATTAGTCAATTGAATTTAATATTCAAATTCCTGAGTGTCATTTGTTATTTCAGATGTTGGTTGGTCACCGTGGTCAGAATGGAGTCCTTGTTCTGTCACTTGTGGTACCGGTCGCCAAATAAGAAAAAGATTCTGCCTTGGTGGAGTTTTCAGTGTGGATTGCAAGGGAGAATCCCGACAGGTAGGCTTTATTGATAAGATAATAGATGTTTGCTTTCAGACTGAATTTTATTGGTTTATACCACATAATCATATATAGTGCTAAGTATGATATTTATTTTTCAATTAAAATATATGTTAAATATAGTTTATTCAAAAATAAACTTTAGATTCATTTAATGTTACTTAATTATAAATGTTTTCATAATTATGGAAGGCATTGATACCATGTTTTGAATAAGACATTTTACTAATCTGTCTTCACATTTTTTCATATCAAGAATAAATGGTGCCAAAGATTGCCATGCCACAGAAGAAGATTTCTGAGAAGTGCACAACTGAATATTTATGGCGAATTGAATGGTTTACCTGTTGAAGAAACAATTCTAGCTGAAATAGAAGAGAATAGTAATGAAACTAAAATAACAGCTGTACCTCTGAACATCACTGATAATACAATTACTAATTCATCACTTGATGAGGTAATATTCCAATATGATTTTCTTGTCACTGATTTAAATTAAATACAACTTTATTCTTCCACATAATGAAATGTAGAATTACTATTGACCTATGAAAGTTTAATTATTATTTTATATTAAATTTGTTCAGTTATCAATGTTTCTTACCATCTTTCAACATGTTAATAAATTATTCTAGAGATTATACTTTGTTTCAGGCTTTGTGTTATTAGCATCTGCAGATTATTATGATTTTCAATATTATTATCTTTATTATGCCAACCCTGAAAGTAAATGCAGAATATTGTTTATTTATTTGTTGATAATATCATTACGTAATCCAACCAGGTCAAGGAGGCTAGGTAACCACTCTACACTAGCCAAAGTAAAAAGGTCAAGACATATTCCGTGGATCCTCTGCTAAATAAATTTCAACCCATTCAGGCCTGATTCAAATGGGGGCTGCTTTTGACAAGCAATGTTTTTGCATGCTTGCCCTCCATGTTTTTGAATGTATATTAGAATATGAATATGGAGGTGTTATATGGAAGTGTAAATGGACACGCTTGTCCTCCGCTTGTGTTATATGAATTTTTAGCCGACTCATTCCCCTCTCTCCTCCCCCTTATCCTTGGATTGAGATTAATTATTAATTACTTAAGAATAATGTGATTGGGCTTCATGTAATGCGAGAATAAAACTCAAATCTGGCCTGCAATTCAGCACAAAATGGTTGTAAATTTCACCAGATCTGGCAGTTAATAATTCTTAATTTTGTTCTTAAAAAAAAAAAGTTTAAAGTGGGAGAAACTTATAAATTGATTTATTCAAAGTATGCACCATTGCTAGTTATGGTGCATCTATGTTATGCATGTATGTTATACATTTTCCCCATCTCTTTGACAATTTGTAGATGTCCTCTCAGAAAAACTGTCTTTTGTCTACATCTTTTGAGATGGTCTTATCAACCCATTTTTGCTAAAATGTTTTATGGAGAATACATGAATTCAAATGAAATTCAGAAGGGACCAAGTGTAGTGAATATGGCGAATGTAACACAAATTCTCAGCCATGTGTAGAAATGGGATCATTGATGGCTCCCTCTGTTTGTAATGATGCTTGTAATTGCACAAAAATGTTTTTCAGAGTCTTGCAGCCTATTATAGTCAATTTTGCAATAAATGCACAGTTCAAATTGATCATTTGTTGATGGTAGAAAAGAACATCAAATGATTCACTTGGTTGCAGAAGCCCATGGTACACGATACCCTTCTGATCTCAGCAAATGCACAGCATTGTTTTCTTTCCATGATTGAATGATGATTTTAATGATTCGGCAATCAACTCTGAATCTCTCTGCCTTGTTGTTGAGTTTGTATATTGTCTTCATCCAACAATTGTAATTCAGCATCTTGGAATTTTTTCAGTTGACCTGCGCGTTTTTTTGTCTTTCTAGTCAAAATCTTCACCTTTTAATTATTTGAACTAACGCACACGAGCATCTTGCATTAGGATATTGGCACCTTAAGTTTCCACAAGTATACAATTGCTTGCACTCACAATTTTTTTGTATTAAACAAGAAAACTAACAGATGTGACAAATACTCTTTATTTGACTTGAAACTAGACACTTTTATCAACTAAAAAAAAAGAGGCTAACCCAAAATCGTTTAAACATCACCGATATTTCGAAAGGTACTGTCATAACAACAAAAGAACATAAGAGATTAGACTGTGGACCAATTCTTGTTTCTAGTGGTATCTATAAAATCTTTGATATTGCTGTTAATTTTCTATGTTTCAAAACATTTGAGGGCTGATTGAATAAACTTTAACTTCGACAACTGCTAAAATGAACTTCTGGAACCTGGAACATTTTCTCCAGTGGTGAAGAAGGGTACTGAAGAAGCCATCATGAAGCAGTAATGGAGTCTTGGATCTGCTTGAGCCCTTTTGTTTAGTCTAACTGAGTTTATGACTTTTCTATTGTGTCCTCCCCTTCCTCGTCTTATGGGCGGGCGGGGATTAATACCCCTCCCCTCCCCATCCCAGCACCGGGATGCGAACTCACAATTATTTTATCAGATTATCTTCTGTCTGGTTGCCAAAACTTCCGTAGTTGTGGCAAATATTTACCTCTGCATTCTTTTAACAAGACCAAACCACCATAACTGATTTTCTTCAATTGTATGTATGACCGGTTTTATTTCCAAATTACTTCTTGTTGTCTTTCTGACCCTATCCCTTCTCGTTTTTCCTTCTATCCTCTTCAGGTACCTCATCTTCATTGCTTGTATTTGGCTCTTATGTCTTGATGTCAGAGTCAAAGACTCACTGGTGTAGGTCAGTAGGGGTATAAATGTCCTCTTATATACTCCTTTTTTTAATCTTTCTTTCCTAGGAAACCAGACTTGTATTAATGGAAGCATTTTCCAGCCAATTTTATTCTCCCTCTGATTTTCCTGTCAATAGAAGAGTTTCTGATTTCCATGGACGTCTTCCTCCAACTTGTTTCCAAAATTCTGTCACACTTTCCTTTTCAATTACATGACTTTTACCTTTTCCAATATCCTGCTTTCTTTGTATTTTGTATAGTCCAGGGGGATTTTTATTGACAGGTAACATTTCCAAACTTCCTCTTTTTGTTTTATTTCCAGTTTTACATCCTCATTCCAACAGAATTTTTCTTGTACTGTGATGTTAAGTATTTTTTTCTAATTCTTTTGATTTAAGCTTGTAGATGTTTATCTTAAATATTTTAGTGGGGTCTGATCTCTTTTCTTTTTATAGATGAGTTATCCAGAACCATTTTCCATTTCCAGTATCTGTCAGTCAGGTCAGGTCTGGCTCTAGATTGGCTGCTCTTTTGACTCAAACGTCCTCTGTTCTCTATAAATGTTCATATACAACTAAATTGTATGTATCAAGACCTGTCTTGGTGTCTTGATATTGGGATGTAATGAGGATGATCTGTGTTTTCCCAATATGGGAGAGCACATAGGGAGAGTAAAAACCTTTCCTGTTGGGGCTTCGCTACCTAATTATAAATGTTAGTGGAATATAGTTTTGTAGTTTCAATCACTAATAATCAACAAAATTTTATTTGTTCTGATGGAAAATTATCTATTTATTAGGTTTGTTATTTAGAAGAATTTTATCACAGAAATTGAAGTATTAAGAATCATGTATTAATTTTGAAGATTTAAAAACTCTTATGGCTCGTAAATAATGCTGAATTTATAAATTTGTTAAATCTCTATTATTTTCACACTAATTTATTCTGATATGAATATTTCCTTTTAGAAATATAATATGACCAATATTCCTTTCATCATCAGCCCTGTTTCTTGGCTAGCTGCACATGAAATAGGTGGAAAAAATGGTTTTTCACTACTAAATGGAAGTTTTCATGAAAATACAACTTACAACTTTTCTACAGGTACTAAATATTCTTTATTTTGTCAAATATATTTATCTTATGGCTAGTTATTTTATTTGTATTTGTAAAAATAATAATTATTACTATGAATAAGGATGATAAGAAATTGATTTGATCTGTTGGAAGGAAAAGTGGTATAAGTAATTTTTGTTATAAATGATTAATTTCTGAGTGTATTAGTTTCATACTTTTAAATATTTGGGTATACTTGAGACTATTTTTAATAGAGATAAGTAAGCTGTCATTTTTTACCAAGAGATACTTATAATTATTCTATATTTATCTTTATGAAATTTCATCTAAATTCTTAAATATCTCAAAGTATTTTTCGTACTAGGTCCTGGAAAAAGGTGAACTACACTAACTTTTTCTAAAGTCATTATTTATCGAACTAATAAACTACCTTCAAATTTGAGTAAATCCAAATAAGTGGGAAACAAAAAATGATAAATAACAATGTTAAAAATCTTAATAAAAAAAAAATTAAATTGAGCTTTCTTTGCTCTATACTGCTAATGTAATTCATAGAAATAAACATGAATAGTTTTTCATAAAAAAAAGGAGGATACTTTAAATTAATTTAATATTTTTTGGAAAAAGTGTTATTAAATAAGATTAGTATAGTATAAAATATGACAAATCTATAAATTGTACCCTTCTTTATATCTTTTTCATTAATTTCTATTTAAGATTTAATCATCCTAATTCAAATTTTTATATAAGAATAAATCAATAAATTATTTCAAGTGAAGCTTATATAAATCATTTTTCTCAAATCAGAATCTAATTTATTTTTTAAATTTTGATGTGTGTATATATATTGATGTATATATATGATAAAGACCGGAGACTGGCGATATCAGCCTTAATACCATCCTGTAATGTAAATAAACATGACAACTGTATATAAGGCAGATTATTGAACGAATAAAGCAGTGTTTATTCAGAAGCCGTGAGTGTTGTTTCTCGATCCTTTTTCCTTCTTTTTTTTTATTTTTGAAGTCCGCCGACGCTTAACTGGTGCCGAAACCCGGGACAACGTCAGGAGAACACAGAAGTAAAATTTTTTTTTTCATTTTTTTTTCTTTCTCTCCTAGTCATAAGGAAAAGGCGAGATGCCGACAGAGGGCTTGATTCGACCAGGAGTGTTAAGCGCACCTGAAATTCCGCAACCTCAGGAAATGCCTCAGATAGCGCAGATCCCTCAGATCACGCAGGCCCCTCAGGTTCCTCAGATACCTCAGATCCCTCAGGTACCGCAGATACCTCAGATACAGGAGATCCCTCCCTTACCTAGGGACACATTGGCAGAGGCGCACGCCAATGCATTGGAATGGATGAAGATAAGGGCAGCGACCACGCAGGATCTACGGAGAGCAATCGCAGACCTGGAACGATTCGGGGGCGAGGTAGGAGAGCTTAATCACTTCTTGAAAGGTGGAGACCGCCTCATGTCAAGAATCGAAGTAAAGGTGGCGGAGGACCTTGTGAACCTGGGAGACGCGGAAGCACTGAAAGCAGCTCTCGTGTGCCGAGTGAGGAGGAACATTCTGAACCAAATCCAAGCGGACGAGGAGACACCATGGCCAGTGATCAAGGAGCGTTTGAAGAAGGCTTTTGGAGGGGGCAGATGGACGCCGGAAGAAGATATCTTCCAAATGTTCAGAGAGCGTCGGTCCCAACGCCAGACAAGAGGACAGTATGCGGGGGTACTAGTGGCGAAGTACAACCGCATAACTGAGAAAATGCGCGAAACCATGAGTGTGGGAGAGGTCGAAGCCAGGATGGAGTTCCTTTCGACAATACTCAAGGTTCAGCTGGCTAAGGAGACTGGGAGGAGGGACGGACTGCCTAGAGAGCGATCGTTCCTCGAGTGTGCCCAAGGAATGATAGATCTGAGTGCAAGAGAGGAAGAGACTCGGATGGAAGTAGAGGAACCAGGGTGGATCCGAGTGAATGACAGACGACCCCGGACAGCCCAGATAGGGTGGAAGAAGAGGGAAATGAAACACCCGAACGGAGAAAAAGCCACGACGGGCGAGAGAAGATCCGGACAGTCCAGGCCTAGGAATGAACCCCGGAGGGAAGATAGGAAATGTCATGGGTGCGGAAAGCCAGGACATTTGGTGGCACAATGTCCGCGCACTAGATGTTTCGAGTGCGGGACCGAAAGGCATATTGCTAGACAGTTTATCTCAATAAACCTATCTCCATTTCCCCTTCTACTCCACACGGGCCACCCAGGGTGATTAGCTTACAATTACATACCTTGACTTGGAGTGTCCTCTCTCCATCGTACAGCTTCTCCAACACTCCACGCGTCATGATGGTATTAGAACTCCCGTGTCTACCAGGCATCGCACTCCTCCCACCTCTATTATAGGTAACCAGCAGCTTTTACCTCTGATGTTATAACTTACTAGCGTGCGGTCACCCCTCGCCTGACACTCTCCTCAGATCCTCTCCACGGTTTGCCGGCGCCCACTTCTTCCGCTGCTTCTTCCTCTGCTCCTCTCGTTCTCCCGGCCTACTGGGTCCTCTATCTCCTCTTCTGTCTCCGTGGCCATGGATTCCTCCGACGAGTCTCTTGATGACTCACTCCTCCTTGCGTGTATCTTTCTTCTCCTCAACTCTTGGGCATTTACCTCCATCGGCTCAACTCTTTGTGAGCCTCTTCTGGAATATATGTACGGACATTGCCTCGCGATGTGTCCCTCAGTCCCGCACTCAAAACATTTTGTGCGGGGACACTGTGCCACCAGGTGTCCGCTCTTTCCACAACCGTGGCATTTCCTGTCCTCTCTCCGTTGGCCACCCCTTGCTCTACCTTGTCCTGGTCTTCGTTCCGCTCCGGTGGTCTTTTCTCTCCTGTTGTATACGGGCTCTCTCCTTCTCCAGGTCGTTGGTGCACTTCTAGGTCTCCTATAGACCACTCTGTTCCATCCTGGTTCCTCCACCTCTAGCCGGGCTTCTTCATCTCGAGCACTGGAATCTACCATATCTTGGGCGCATTCAATAAACGAACATTCCCGAGGTAAGCCATCTTTCTTCCCAGTTTCTTTCGCCAGTTGCACCTTCAGTATGGTGGACAAGAAGGCCATCTTCAATTCTATCTCCGGAGCGCCAGCTGTCTCCCGCATCTTCTCGGTGATCCAGTTGTAGTGAGCTACGAGTGTTGCCGCATACTGTCCGTTGGACTGCCGTGAAGACTTCACCTCGCGGAACATCTGATAGATGTCTTCTTCTGTAGTCCATCTGCCACCGCCGTAGGCTTTCTTCAGTCCCTCCTTGACCGTTTCCCACGGCGTCTCTTCATTTGCCTGGATGTGGTTCAGGATACTCCGTTTTACCCTGCACACAAGAGCCGCCTTAAGGGCCTCCGCATCCCCAGTGTTGACGAGGTTCTCATCGATCTTTGCGTTTATTCTTGCCACGAGTCGATCTCCACCCTTTAAAAAATGATTTAGCTCACCTATTTCTGCGCCGCGGCAAAGGTTCCCTGCGGTAACGGATCTCTGGCACATTCATGGGAGCCGGCTGCCTCAAGTCAAATTCAGGCATCCTCGTAACGGTTCTCCTCTGGTAAAAAAAAAACGTACCTCTGCACTTTCACCGTCCCGGGTTTCGGCACCAGTTAAACGTAGCGGACTTAAAACACTAAAAAAAAAGTAAAGGTTCAACAAATAAAACGCATGAAGTCGAAATCAAGACTGCTTTATTGTTCCTTATAATCCTCTATATATATATTCTGAGTTGTTTACATAAATGCTTTTGGTATTAACGCTAATACTGTCCCGCTCCGTACCTTAACTTCTTTATATATATATATATATATATATATATATATGTATGCATGTATGTATACATTATGTAGTTTGCAAATTTTATTTACAATAATAAATAAATAATTAAATATAATTTTTTTTTCTTTAAAGGAGAAGAGATGGAAATGCAAAGTGATGCAGAAATTGATGACTCTTCAGATCCATTGAAACTCTATATAGAAGTTAAAGGACAAGCGCCTATTGACAACAAAGCTACAATAATTATTGATCCATATGATGGTATGTTTAAATAATTTCTGAAAATGTACAAAAAGGATGACTGATTAATCACATAAGTGAAAAAGTTTTTGTGGAATGGGATTCATAAAGAGCCAAAGAGAAGGACATAATGTCTAGTGATGGACAATATTTCAATGGAATTTTTTAAAACATTTTTATGAAATAAATGTGTATTTTCTGTATAAAAATTCCGGTTTGATATTTACTCACCTGGCATATCCACTTATTTACTAATGACTACTTCAAGAAAATTTATGAATAACAAAGATTATTGTTTCTCTACTTAATTTTGTCTGCATAATGTGGATCATGAAACAATTTTATTCTTTTTTATAAGTTATTAATTTCCCTAAATGGCATATCAATACTCTTCAACATGGGTTTTTATTTTAAGTTTTTATACTCAGTTTACTCCAAATTAATAATATTTATTTTTAGAAGATATTGTCCAGACTAATAGAAAAACTATGAAGAGTTCATCGCATACTACTCTTCAAACAAATGGAAAGACAATTCCTGTTTCTTGGAGGAAAAATATAGAATTATCTGAAAATAGACATAGTAGAGTGTAAGTAATTTATTTTATTTATTTGTCATTTTAAAATTTTTTAAAACATAAGTCAAATGTCTTTCTAAAATAAAGATCTTTTTTATTTTCTTGTCTTTCTAATCAATTTCCTAATAAATTTGGTAATTGGATAAATGGTGGTAAGGATATTTTTTATTTTTTAACTTGATTTGGTATCGAACTTACTGGATTGGGAAAATATCATCTAATTTTCTCCTCTCTAAAACTCCATTTCTGGTGTAAGTAGTCTTTGTATATGAATTTCTTATAATTGTTCATGTTACAGTACTGCTGGCTTTTTCCGAAAATATTTTAAGTATAATTTTTTGTTTTTGGAAAATTGTTTTCAAAAGTACTGATTTCGGATAGTTATACAGGGTATCATGAGTTTCTAAACCTAAATACAATTTTTAAAAAAAGTTTTAAAGTTTTATTTAAAGAAAAAAAAATATATATATTGTATTGTACACCTTCATCGGAAGTGAATAAAAAGGATCTAATAAATTAATGTTAAACAATTAAAAGGCTAGTAAATCTAGTTCAGGGAAAAGAAAATGGCTGCTCTGTGGTTCTTCAGGAAGGAAAATCTGTAAAGGGGAGAGGGAACAAGGGATTTTGTTTTGGCAAGCAGTTGGTGTTTGGCTGGGGTGAAGAGAGGATGGGAGAAGAGATCCTGGCTCCAGTGGGTAAAACCCAGTAATAGTATTACCACCTTGGAAGTTGTTGTTTGGCAGAGAGACTAGTTGTTTGGAATTACAAGAGAGAGGATCTCCCAGGAAGTTTGAGTTGAGTAGATGAAAGTGTTACCATTTTGGATGGAAGTTGTTTTTGGCAGAACATAGGAAAATGTTAAAAGAAAAATGAATTCAGTGAAACAAAAGAAGAAACAGTATATATAGAAAAAAGGTTAGCTTGCCAATTCATACTTGACTTTATTTTAAAATCAGTGTTTAATTTTAGTATAAATAGTGTAAATAATCATAGTTTGTCTGAGTGTTTTGATCTGATTGTCAGTAACTCATACCTGAGGTAAAATAATTATAAATTTCAATTTAATATATTAATATTCTTATAATTTTGTTTATTATTTAACAACCTATTTTTTTCTTTTGGAAGTATCCCAATACTATTCAAGTGATCTTCCGAGGTTATATTATTATTATTTGTAAAATATAAGAGAGGTGTTACAATATATATAAAAATATTTAAAGAAAACATTTTTATAGATTTCCAGTTGAGCGATTGAAATCAAACAGACAGCACTCCAAATATAATAAAAATAAGGGAAGAATCGAATATCAGACTGGTGCTGTTGTAACTTCAAGTTTTGAAAATGGTTCATGCCCTAAGGGATTCAAATACAATGATGAAAACGGAGAATGTCAAGGTGAGTGAAGCATTGGGTAGTAAAATGCATGAGATATTATATTTGTTGAAAGAAAAACAATAGTTTCTCTATGGCACCAAAGATATGTATTTATGGGAGTGAAAAAATTTTATTTGTTTTAATTCTTACCTATAAATTCTATTTTTTTTTCTAAAATTTTTGTTTTATTGTTCAAATCTTTTGATTTTTATTATTGTCCTTTTGTTGAAGATATAAATGAATGCATCCGGAAATGGCAAAATAATTGCTATCCAGGTGAAGTTTGCATCAATACCATTGGCTCATTCATTTGTGAATGTCGGCAAGGATATCGGGAGAGACCCAATAAAGGAGGCTGCAAAGGTTTTTCATTACATAAATGCTCAAATTTTATATTTTTTAATTAAAAAGAAATAATAATATTTTGGTTACAGACATAAATGAGTGTTTGGAAGGTTCACATCTGTGCTCGCATACATGTCAAAACACTAAAGGAAGTTATCAGTGCCTCTGCCCATATAACATGATTTTATCTGATGATTTTTTTAACTGTGTTGAAGGTAAGATTTAAAAAACTAATTTCTACTAACATAAATATCTGCCAATTTTGCTTTAAAACTTAAATAATCTATCTGTTATTTCTAAACTGAAGGTATTTCACAATAAAGGATATCATACTTTTTTTTTATTTATTTTTTTTTAGTCTCAAAAGAAGAATATGAAGATTACTCATTAGGTTTAAATGATTTAGATTACTTTGAATCTTCTTCTACTATAATTCCTATATCAAAGAAAAGTAACAGAAAAGGATTAAGAAATCTTGGTTTTAGCCGAAAAGAAAATTATGACAGCAATCATGTTGTTAATTCTGATCAAAACAAAGATAACGTAACTTGTAAATCTGGGTTTAATGCTGAAAAAAATGAATGTGAAGGTAATGCTTCTGGAATTAAGCAAATAGTTGTTTTATTTTTCTAGCAAATTTCATTAAATTAATTTATGCGTTTGATTATTTTAATAGGTTAAAAATTAAATTAAATTTAGTAATAAATTAGTCAAAATCAGAACTCTGTATAATTTTATAATTAAATGATTTACAGATATAAATGAATGCATAGAGGATGAATATGCCTGTTCTAAACAGGAGCTATGTATGAACACTCCAGGTTCCTATGTGTGTATCGATGCTCCTTGTCCGGATAAATTCATATTTTCACCAGAAACTAGGTAATATAAGAAATATATTATATTGATTATAATTTATTTGAGTGTCTTTTAAAATACAACAGTAATTCATGTAATTTTCCGTCCTAAGCTTTTGAGGTGTACCTCAAATGTCTTCAAATATTTATGATCGGTAGTGACAGCGGATAATAATATGAAACAGGAGGTGAAGCAAAGAATTTGCCTCAAAAAGATGTTATTATGATCTCCTGAAGTATATGAAAAGCCATTCACTACTACGATCAACTAAACTTCTCCTGTACAAAGTTCTTATACGACCAGTTTTGACAAATTGATGTGAAACATAGACATTGATGAAGGCCAGTAAGAGTACAATATTAGTTTTTTAAAGGAAGGTCTTATGGAAGATATTTGGCCCAGTTAAGGAGAATGATGGAAAATTAGACACAACCAAGAACTATCCAACAAGAAGCCGGTGGTGAAATATAGCAGGATAGCAAGGTTGAGATAGATGAGCCATGTTGTACGAATGGATGAAACCTCAACCCCAAAGAAGCTGCTCAGCATGGAGCCAGGTGGAAAAATAAAAGTGGGCAGACCGAAACTAAGATGAAAAGATGGATTAAGTGCTGATGCCGGAATCCTTGGCATCAGGAACTGGCGGACATCTGCTAAGGATAGGGAACATGGAGGAAAACTCTTGAGGCAGCCAAGATCCAGTAATGGATTTTCAAACTCGGGATGATGATGATGATGATCTCAAATATCTTTAATAGTTATAGTAAGCTGAGATATCACCGAATTTCCACAGAATTTTAAGTTTTTCAAGAGACAACATTTTCTGCTTTAAAATAATATAAAACCTCCTTGTTTAGTAATAAAGTCAAGTAGCTAGCTGAATAATATTACTAAACAAAAAAAGCATAAAAAAAAGAGAATTTTATCAACTATTTCTTCACCTATATATTAATATTACATATATTTTTTTTTTTTTTTGTCGATTTTTTCAAGTAAATAGAATGGACTAGAATAGTTTTGTTCTGAAAATAAAATTTAGTGTATTAAATTGATTGTAATATAAAATCCTGTGTGGTATGAATCAAGTACTGTGCAGATGTAACTAATTACAATTTCTAATTTTAAGTTAACAATAGTGTAGAGTTGTGTTTCTCAATTAAACTAACTATTATCCAGAGCCATTACACAAAAAATAGATCAATCCACCCTCTTGGTGATGTGGCATAAATGGGACATTAAAAGTAACAAGAAAAACAGTAATTGTCCATGAACAATTTCTTTTAAAAGATTTGTATTTAAGTTTAGAAAAACATTTTTTCTATAAAAGCTGTATCCGATTGTGTGTGCTTCAATATTTAATTTTAAAATTTGACCTACATTACCGATAAAAACAAAGAATTAGTTAAAAACGAAAAATGATCCATGTTTTTTGCAAATTTTCAAAACTACTCATTTTGAAAGCTTGATAATTCGCTTCCTGTTTAGTTTAGAAAAAAAATTGTTCGATAATTTTAAGCTGTTTAATATATTCATTTTTTATCTACCTTGCTTTAAAAAGGAGATATTTAGCATTAACCAAAAAAAGTTCGAAATTGTTTTTTTGGAGCACTGCAGTGAACCCACAAGGCTTTCAAGGATGGAAACTTGGATTTTTTATATTCTCTACATACCTAACAATATAAAAATGAAATTTGAATTACCCGACCTTTTGCAAGCTAGACTCCTTTTTTGTGTGGTAATTTGACTGAGCTGTAAGTAAGAATGAAGTTTCTTCATTAAAAAAAATATATATATGTTTTGATTATAACTTTTCCTTTCATTTTATTTACATTAAATTACAATATGTCTGTAGGATGCTTGTTTAAAGAACGTGTTGTTACACCTGCATAGGTTATTTCTGATTACGTTGTGAGTACATGTATGAATGTTGTATTGTTTAAATATGTCTATAGTAATTATATTTTTTCAGAAATCGTTATTAAACAATTAAAAAACAGAAATGTCAGAAATCCTTTTATTTTATAAATTAGTGTGTTTATGTGTAAATTTAAAAAAAATTAAACAGAAAAAAAATACAACGCTGAAAACCAAGAAAATAAAAAATTTAAGTTTTACTATTTGAATAATACAATTTTTAATTCATTAAAAAATAAACAATATTTACACTATTTCAACTGTCTAATTATTAAGCATAAAGTTAGATTTCTGCTCAGCTTTTAGCTTTCATTAATGTTCCTTGTTTTTATTTTTAAGGGACTTGTTACTGGATTGAAGATAATTTTTATTTCATAATCTCGGAAATGCTGTTACTAATCAAATTTTTAATTTCCTTATTTAATTTATACTGAAAATCTTTTTTCTAGATCCTGTTTACTCCTCTGCCTTGATAATGAAGTTGATTGTACAGATGGTGCTTTGATCTCTGAGAGCCTTCAAATTATAATTGTTCCAGTGTATAGAGCAAATTATACTTTCGATCCATTTACAGAAATACTTGTTTTGTTTTCTTATGATGACAATAACCTCCCAATAGATGAAAGTATATATGAAATAGTACAAAATGAATCAGGTATATTAATAAGGATTTTACAAGGCTGTTGGGTGAAGTTAGTTTTATTACATCAGTCCAATATTCTCAATACCAAGAATTTCCTATTTTTTCTTTTCATAATTATAATATATGCATACATGTTACTAAAAACGGCAATATTAAATAGTTGAGATATGTAAGTCACAAAAGTGATTAGTAATTAATAATTTTATTCAAGATTATTTTTCAATTTTCTTTAGGTATTTTGGTATTTTCAAATGTTGTTGAGTAATTTTTAGTAAATAGTCCGAACATCACCATGCTCTGTAAGTAATAAACTGAGATGAACATGAATTTCTTGGGTATGACTTAGATCTTAGACTGGAAAAAAAAAAAAACAGCTTCACCACTCACAATTTGTTTTTTTGTTTTGTTATTTTTTTATGTTTTCTATAGGCCTATTTCATTTTTTGTTTGTTTTAATGTGACCATTAATGAACGTTTTTTTTAGGATTCTGGGGATCTGAAATGCTTAAATTCATTGAAAACTACTCATTAAAATTTTGGTCAAATTTAACCCAAATTGAAAGAAAGTTACTGATAATAATGTCGAGTTCCAAAGATCACCCTCAAGTGACCAGTGACTTTGGAACCAAAGCTAAAAAAAAAAATAAATAAATAAAATTGGTCCTGTAGTCTTAAGAAAAGCGGTATTGGGGAGAATCTTTTTTATTTTACTTTCTTGAAAAAGCCTGAAACTTTGATAGATATGGGGAAGATCAATTTCTTAGTCATAAACATAGTTTCATTATTGAAAATAATAAATCAAAAAATATTTGACTATGTATTTTACTGTTTAATGTTTAAATAAACCCATTATTTCTAGTTTTTTAAATATCTTATAAATGTTTAATACGTTTCAGGTTTGCCAGTGAAAATCAGGAGTGAAGAGAGATTAGGAGTGTTATATGCTTCAAATTACTTTGAAGTAGAAAATAAAGAAAGGTATGTTTTCTGCAAGAAATTTCCACTCTCTAAAAATGTTTTCATGATGTCTACCAATTTTAGTTATTGAAATACCTGACTAATCCCAAACTTTCACAAATGGCTGATATATGGATGTATAAAACCACTAATCGGCCACTACCTCAAAATGAAATGGGTGGACCTGGGACTTAGAATTGAAAATTAAAAAAAATCGGCTCAGTGAAAAGCTGTGGATTGTATATTTTTTAATTATAAATTGTGAAGAGTCTAAAAGACGTTGAAGGGGAGGGAAAAAAAGAAGTTCTATATATCTTGTAGTGTATAAAGACTTAAATTTTGAGAGAGGAATCGTTTTTTTCTTGGCCAATTAAAAAAGTTCACTACTGAAAAAATAAAATTAAAATCAATGCATGATTGATAAAATTTATATTGAATAAAATTTGTATATAAAAACTAATTGCCAGCAAGGATGTCAATGTTGATAAACTGATGAAAACTTTTATTTCCTAACTAGTAGACCCACTTTTGTTGCTTAAAGAACATAAAGTGTGCAAGTTATGATACATGTAATATCAGCAGTAGAATAACTCTCTAAAAACAAATAAAATAAAATGAACAGTATGCAACATTTGAATTCAAACAAATATAGTAGTAAAAAAAGTAAAAATATTATATTCTTTTTAATTATTATTATTTTTTTAGTGTTTTAATATTTTATTTTATTGTTTCAGTTTGATATTAATGAGCTCCACTTATGACTCAAATGGTGATAAACTACACTCCACAATGTTTTTAATTTTAATTTATAATACCAAGTCAGTTACTTTATGATATCAAATTTTCAGGAAAAATTATTTATTTTATATTAATTTGTTTAAAAAAAAAAAAAGAAGGAAAAATTAGAAAAGTGTATATTAGCTACAATAAAAACTTATTTATTCATAAAAATTGAAATGTTGTTGCTATTATTGGTATAATAATTTGGAGTGATCAATATAATAATTAACTTGGGTCAGATATGAATTACTTTTGCTAACAAATATAACCACTATGCAAAATAAAATATTAAAAAATAAATCAATGTCTATAGAAAAAAAATTCTAATCTTCAACATTGTGTCAAGATTCAAACCCAAAAGTTCATGTAATTAAATGCTAAAGTTTGATTTTTATATGATGTTTATTATGTGTAAAGCCCTTTAAAAAATGCAGAATAATCACACTAACCTACAAGGCTACCAACCTATTCTAGCCTCAATGTGAAGGTCCAGATTATTCATGTGCACTAACTGATCGAGGATTTAATTTTGGGGGGCTTTAGCCCAAAAGTTTTTTTTGTATGTATATATTAGGATAATTACTTCGGAAGAAAGAAAGAAACTAACTACGTATATGAAATGGTGTTTAAGTGATTCTTTCATTCCTATTAAATGTAATTAGATGAACAATAATACTTTTAGAGATAATTTTTTTCTTTAAACATGGTTATATTTTACCATTTTGGGAGGAGGGAGAATTCTGAAAGCCTCCCTTCCCCTCCGTAGATCCGCCTGTGTTCATGTAGCTGAGTCCACAGCAAAATAAAAGTCTACCTACATAGCTCAGATCCGAACTACTTCCAGCGCTGTGTGAGAGCTGAACCAACAAATTTGACCACCTTGACTTATGTTAAACCTTAAATAGACACTTTAAATTTCTTTTTTGAAAACAATTAAATGAAATGTTTAATTAAAAAAAATTATTTCCAACAGTATAAAATTTCTTTTAGAATTTTTTAAACGAAAATGATTTCAATTAATTTAAATTTTGAGTAAGATTATTACAACAAACTATTTATAGATTTGATTGGTGAATTAATAATATTTTAGCAAATTAGAAGCAAAATGTCTTTTAAAATTTAAAAAAAAAAAATGGACTTTGGATCAATCAAATCGCAAATATTGATATAAAAAATATTTATAAATTTTGGAAGACTGTGTTAATTGCAAACAACCGAATAACTATCTATTTATTAACATAGGTTTAGAAGGTTAAGTTTCTTAACCGTTATTATTATCGTATTTACTTATCGTCTTTAACTTGAATGTTCATTATCGTAAGTTTAACGTTCATTATCATATTAACTTGAAGATCATTATCGTATTTACCTTTGTTGAGTTAACACCATGTGTGCGCTGTGATCTTTTTGATAATTCATTGCTCGCAGGGAGTACACATTACTCTATTTTTATTTATTTTTTGATTTTGATTTTTTAATTTAGAGGAACAGTTAGGTTTTTGTTTTCTATTCTTAATTTGTTTACAACATTTTTCTCAGTTTGAGATATTTATCGTGGAAATGGCTGATGTGCTAGATCCTAAACCACCTGTCATTCAAGAAACTTTTTTCAAAACCAAATTAAAATGGTCGAAAAAATGTTTTAATGAAGACAGGAGAAAACTCTGCAAGTAAAACGTTCGAAGATATCAGTCCTTTTAGAGTGTGCAGATGTATTAAAAGCCAATGTCCCCAAGTCAATGTAAAGTTTCTTAAAATTGGCACTGTTTTATTAGCAGTTAATAATGAAAAAGATTTTATTAACTTGGAAAATATAAATACATTTTAAATTTTGTGATAATGTTCGAGTACAAATCTCTAAATTTTTCATTGTGTATTTCTCTGAATTATTGAAATATTCAGATGACGAATAGTTACTGAACTTGAATTTCACTGTTAGATAAGGTTAAAAGAATTCATAAAAAAAAAATAATGAGAATAAGCCATAATTAATAACCATTATTAATCCTGATTTTATTATAAGAATAACTATTATTAATCCTGACATTTGAAAATAGTGAACTCCTGGATAGACTGGTCTTAGATTTCATTTCCATAAGAATCAGACCGTATGAACCCAAACCTCTACTTTACTTTTCATGATATAATTATAGACATATGGGTAAGTAGTGTAAAATCATCAATTGCAGTAAATATGTAGAAAATACACACAAAGCCGAAAACTGTACCAACATTTACATAGTGGTTTAAAAGACTACCTTGAGGATTGCTGCCGTATACTTACCAGAGTGGGAACGTCAAGATTCATTTCCCGGGGCCACTGAGAAATGAAAATTAACTGACCGAGAGATGGGAATTGAACCCACAATGTTCAGAATCAGGCACTCTGGAACTCATACCGCAATTTTCTGGGCCATCCCATCCTCTAATATTATTATAAGATATCTATTGGAATGCCTAGCTATCAGAAAAGTGGAATGTGGTATGCAGTGACCTAAAATCGGGATACCTCAACCATTAAAAAAATATTTCAATAAAATAAAAAAACAAGAATTTCAGTCTGATGTGTATATACTTTTTTCAATATTACCAATGGTTTTTAAAACATTTTTTATTGAGAGCTTATATTCTTCTTAATTACATGGAGTTATTATTTTGTTGAATTTTCATTTAAACCTCAATAGCTGAATTCTGGTGGCTTTTATTTTTATAAATAAGATAATGAAAATTTGAAACAAAGGAATTAAAAAGTTTAATATTCACATTTATTTAAAAATATGAAATATTTATAGTTGAAAATATATTCTGCATTTATTAAAGACATAAAAACTGCAGGTTAGGAATTATTGATATTACATTTATTTCAATATAATTTGATTAATTTTCAATTTTCTCATCTTCCACATGTTTACATAAGTTTATGGAAATATATTGGTAAATGATATTTAATTAAAACATAAAAAGAAAATCAATAGTTAAACAAATATTTTGAGTATTTGATATAACTTTTTGCCATGATTCTTAATTATACAAAAATATTATAATATTAAAAATAAAAAACAATTGTATGCAGTCTTGTTGTAATCATAAAAGAAAGTACTACATTAACTTATTTACACTGGCTGAAATAAAAATTTAGTATACATGCACTTCAGTTTTCATCCACCATTAAACATACATATTCAATAATTACTGTACAAGGTATCCAACATTTTTAATACAATCATTGTATGGATACAATATCTTACTTCAATAAATTTGTAGACATAATTTGTAGTTTTTTTGTTTTTTTCTTATCGCTAAATAAATTATAATTTTAATTAAGTCAAACTAGATACTACCTTAATTGTACTAAAAATCACAATTAGTTTACAAACAATTAGTGGCTTTTAAAAACCTTTTAACCCTAAATTGGTATATACACATAAGGAAACATTATGCACCCACTCGAAAGCATCCAAATCACAAATCATATTTGGTTTCTCATGGAACTTAAAAAGAAATTCAACTTATAAAATAGTGGATGGTACGGAAAAACAAAAAAAAAATGATAATCTTCAATGTTTTCACTTGGATTTTCTCTTAGTTGGTGAAACTATCCTTAAAAGTGATACCAAAGGAGCCTCAAAAAGAATGGAAATTATAAATGAAATGATGTATGACAGGATGAGATGTCCTGTGTACATAACAATCTGAAACAGATCAAGTTCTGAAATTTAATTTCTAACTTTAATTTAGAGGTATTACAGATTTATTAGATCTAATATCTCATAATATTAAACAAATTTATTATAATAATATAAATATCAATTTCTCAATTTTAAATAAAATTTATTGGTACTATTATAATTACAAATAATGAATGACTATTCTACTTACCACCATCTCAGGGCTAAGATGCAGTGGAGAATCCAGCCGCATAGTCATCGATCTAATGACAACTGGATGAACGAGATAAGCGCAGTAGGTAACTCTACTAAATGGGTAGAGGATGCTTGAAGATAAAATATCAGATATGTAACCTGTAAATCATAAAATAATTTCATATTTACAGATTATATTCAACTTATCAGTTTTATTTAACGATTTTCTTTAAAAAAATAAAGAGAAAACAAAAATATAACATAGTTGATGAAAGTCCAGATTATAATCACAGATTCATTTTCAGTCAACAAATTGCTACAAATCAACAAAATAATGTTACATTCTGTAATTCACTTCTTGGTCAATTATTTTTCATTATAATTATCGCTATGGTTTCACCTGTGTTGTAGATCTTCATCAAGGTTAACCAGTATTGTCTGGTGATGGAGAAGAGTGGCCCTTTTTAAAATAAAAATTGATAATGCTGCTTTTCTCATTTTACTTATAACAAGTTTTAACTACTTGATTTTTTAGTTTTAGTTGTTTTTTTTTTATCAAATTATGTTTTTAGTTATTTAGTTTCATTTTAAAAAAAATTGAAATAATTCCTTTTCTCTAATTTATTTTTTATTGTATAGTTTTTTCGTGTAGGCACATCAGTACATTTCAATATTTTTGATGTCAATGCATATTTGGGAATTTTTTTTCTCCATATTTCATGTGTCTTTTTACTTCATATTTTGAGGTTTCTTATTGTATATTATATGACATATTAGGGTTTTTACTGCATAAAAATCCAGACTCTATTGATAACATATTCAGTGATAGAATCAGTTTAACAATATAAAGTTTAAAAGGTATAATTCCTCTTACTGTACAAATTGTGTTGATTAAATCATAATAGCAAAAGAAAAAAGAAATAAATAAGCATAATTTGAGTTGTAATTAAAAAAGAAAAAAGGAGATTATGATGAATGATAGGATAGTTCTTACAGTAATGGGTAGCTACCCAAATGGGCATTAGAATAGTGAGCAAAATTATGATAGTCTTATTATTTCTTAAATACCTATATTTTGTATCAACTTCAATTAACTTTTAATGAAAGTCAACAAGCATATATATTATACAATTTAATCTTGTTTATATTTTATTTAGGCATTTAAATTGTTCTTTTAATATTCGTAATTAAATTAAGATTTATCTTAAGCAAAAAATACTTCTTTTTTTTCTCATCACCAAAACGTTTATTTAATAAATTACATATATAAGTATAACAAAAGGGCGATCCCCCCCCCTCGTAGTCTGCGTCTATCTTTGCAAGCTTTAATAAACTACATACCTCCATAACCTGTTGAACATGCTATAACGATCCAAGAAAGACCTAATGCCCAGAGTGTGTGAGAAAGAGAAGAAAATGCTGCAGCAGTAATAGGATGGAGTTTAGTTCCAGAGAGACCATATATCAGGAACAGAAGCAAGCTCAGTGTCAATGTCCAACCTGTGATCACCATAACCTGTAAAAAATATATATATTGATTTATAAAGATTGGTTCTTAATTTAAGAGAAAAAAAAAATTGGTTTTACCAAATGGCAGAGCAGAGCAATGATAAAGTCAGGTTTAAATTTCTTCAAACTTATGAGAATTAACATTGTTAATTTTTCTTTTCTTTAAAAATTTGTGTTTTTGAAAGGTAATAATATGTATTTTATGAGTGACTATAACTAATTTTTTTTTTAATTTATGACATTAATATTCAAAAGTATATTTATTAAGAATATTCTTTTTAAGGTTGAAGGCTATCAATTATAAATTAGTTATTCTTTGAATAAAATTGAATATGAATATAGTTTAATAAAATATCAAAAAATAATAGATTATAAAATAGTACACATATAAGAGTTGTGAATACCCATAAACCTAATCATAAAAATTATAATATAACAGAATTAAGTGGAGTATAAATTTAATCTATAGAAAATAAGACAAATTTTTATTTTTACTGAATTTTTTCATTTACCTTATTCATTTTTATTTTGCAATTAGTTTTAAACAGTAGCCATCCAACGGACATTCCAACAATGTAAGGTCCAAGTCTGGTCCATGGTTTGTCATATATCTTATCAAAAAGAGCCAAAGGATCATCCTCACTGAAAGTAGTATTTTTAACTGTATTTTATATAATAAGTATTTTAAAATAAATATACATAAAATTGATAAAACATATGCTGGTTTTTGTTTAAATTTTTTACATATTATTAATATTATTACTTACTTTGGTATATGGTTATTGGAGTAAGCAATAAAACCTGTCGTGAACCAAGAGCTTATCAAAAAGAAAGTCATAAGAGCAGCAGCTGCTTTAAAGTATCTGTAAAACGACCAACATTATTTGGAAATCAAAACTGAAATAAGATGTAAAGTTTCATTCAATTTGATTATAGGATAGAGCAAGTTCCTAAACTCAGCACTGAGTTCAGGGACTTGCCCACATAAATATAATCAAATAAGGGTCTATTTCTACCATTATTGAACAATTGATCATATTTACTAGCCAAGGAATTATTTTCTAAGAATTAATTTTTTTTAAATTTAATGGATATAATTGATTGTATCTAATTAAAACCAATGAGGTTCGGAATAGCAAAAATTTTGATTTCCTAATGGGAAAAAAAAAAGGTCACTTCATAAATAACAAATCAATTTAAACATAAAAATGATAGATGTACTCATAAAAATATTTTTACAATAATTATTCATTGTTCAGAAATTTATTTCTTAACTATTATCTTGTAAAATAATCTGGAATTTGTTATTTTTAACTAGATTATTTAAAACCTCAGCACGATAATAACGTTTTATTGAATGTATGTATGTTTATTGAATATATTGTTGGTTTATTGCAAAAATTCACTAAGTACATTTTTTATACAGGTTAACTTTCAAATTTGTTTTTGAGAATTTCGATCTTATTTATCGATATAAAAACTACTTTGGTACATGAAAATGAAACACACTCTTTTATTTATCATATATATTTACACTAAATGCACAATTTTCTAATTTCAAAAAGCAGAAAATCGTTAATATTCTTAATTATTTGAGCTTATGAAATGGTACTTAATGACTTTTTGCAATAAACAGACGATATATACATATATAAAATAAAATCTTCAATTTTTTTTTAAGGAATAGTTCGGATTATTGAATGGTTTAGATTAGCAAGATACCACTGAACTCCCAAGAGAGAAATATAAAAATAAAATAAAAAAATTAATTCAATTTAAAAATTTTGGTGTATATATAAAAAAATGGCCAAATTATAACAGGTAAAGCATAACAATATTAATTTTATAATGTGATTTAATAATACTTGCTAAAAATTTTATTATTTTACTGTTATCATGGGATCAACAAGGATCCCAATTTTAATCTAAAATGTATAAATTATCAAAAAAATTATATATTAAATTTTATTAAGACTGAATGGGAGTCTAAAAATGTTTTTACATACTTCACAGCTAAAATTAGGAGTATTACTCCTAATACATAAAACTGAGTGTCATCAGCCAGATACCAGCTCCATAGCATACACTGAAAAAACATGGTTATTATTAATTATGTGTTGAAAGAAGGAAGCAACTAATTTAATTTTTTTTTTGTTTAATTCTCTGTCAACAATATGAAATAAATAAAAAAAGAAAAGTGAATTCAATTATAGTTATGTATAAAATTCTCTAATGTTTACTAATACACATTGAAGAGGGTATAAAATATAAAATAACTGATAAAAAATCAAGAAAAAAGAAAAATCAACAAAATCAGTGTATCTTTAAAAAAAAAATCTAATTCAAGAGATAATTTTCATGATAAATAATATGGTGAATTTGATCAGGCCCTGTATGTCTATTCCTTAAACAAGCAGTGTGATATTACAGTTCAGAAGTTATTATCTGGACTGAAACAAATTGAACATAAATAAATTACCATTTCTTGAACTGGAAAAAGAGTATTGATATAAAGTAGGTTTCTCCACCAGTATTGTGGGCAGTTTACATAATCAAGAGTAGGTGGCTCAAAAACAGAATTGTGGTAAAACCACTTCATTGACACTTGAACACAGCCAAGAACAAAGAAATACGGCGCAGTCAATCTGTAACATATCAGAATTATAGAATCATTTATTTCAGTTAATTATTATTATTGTGTTTTATTCTTTAACTAAATAAATATTTTAATACATCTACTAGTGATTAACTTATAACAAAATGCATTACATATTTTAGATTATAAAAGATTACTTCGAGATTATGTATAACTTATATGTATTATGTATAAATGATATAAATGGCATAGTCAAAAGCAAAAGCAATACCAAGGTATTGCAATATTAAATTTGTCTTTAAAAATTTGTTAGATATGAAGATTTTCTATCAATTTATTCTTAGAATTTATAATAATATCATTATCATACAATTCTCGATATTCGTCCTCTCAGTATCCCCATCCATTTTTTATATCTCATCATGTCCTTCTTTATTATTTTTTTTTTATGGTGATTTATTACATTAATTGACACCTTTCTAATTTTCTTATATTTTTAATTTTTTTTTTAATCTCATACACTTTTTTGATATAACAAATAAGATATTAGTTTAAAACTTATAAGAGAACCTATTATCAAAATTGAATTTTGTCACAGTAAAAATGATTGTATATTACCTACATAAAAAACAAAAAAGTTAACTGTGCAAGTTCTTGACTTTTCTAATTCTTTCGGTTTGGACTATCCTATCCTTTTTTCAAAATTAAAATCACTATCCATCTCCAGCACCTCTCTTCTCTGCTTTCACTCTTTCATCCCTAACCAAAACCCTATTATCTTTCCTTACTCCCTCTCCTATGAAGTTAGATTTATTTATTTAATTTATTTAGTATTTATTTCTCATTCAATACCACAATATATACCTACTTAATACCAGCTATAATCAGATTAAACAAGTCTGCGTATACTCGTTAAGGCATATAATATTTATTCTTATTAAAATTTAAAAAATACATGGACAGATTAAAATTGACATATTTTCTTTTGCAAATATGACAAAAAAAAAAAAAAAAAAAAAAAAAAAGGAAGACTTACCTTGCAAATCTATAGCCAATTAAGCTTATAAATTCTAAGAAAGCAGAAGTGAAGCCAGTAGTTTTGGTGTACTTGGTTATATCATGCTTAGATGTTGTTCGAAAATATAAATATGACACCAATAGGCCACTAAAAATTAAATAACAATATTGATTATAATAGCATAAGTAATGAACTATGAAATAGTGTCCAATAAAATATATACTATAGTTTATTATGGTTATAACTGCAATGTTGTGTTGAATAAGAATCGATTTAAGTATTAGATATACTTTTATTTTTTTCTTTCCACATTTGTTTATTTATCTATTGATAATTACAAAATCAACAATAAGCTATTGGACTGCTATAATTATTTTACTAAGAAAGATGTAGGAGGAAGTCTATAGATATGTAATGAGGCGGTGATTGCCAAGCTTGTTGAGGCATTCCTCGCTTTAACATGCTCGAGTCTTGCAATACCAATTTGAATGGTCAGGGCGGGTTGATATATTTCGTGTGAACCCAAGGAATGAATCTGAACTTTCCCATTCTGGTTAGAACAGATTTGTTTTTACCTCTAGAACAATCCCTCTCTTCCCATATGTCATAAATGGCAAAATAGAAGGTAATCGAATAAATAAAAATTAATACGTAATATCTTTACATTATATTTTTATTTCATACATTACACAGGGCATGGTTGGGTTTTAATGGTGATTTTAATTTTTCCGCTACCTCGGCTACTGTTGAATGTATCTTCCTCCATTGCTCATTTATATCATTCTCTTCATAGTTGGATATGGAGAGCACCTGATCCATTGCGTTCATGAATCTCATTCTTTCTATGGGATCAAACAGCTTATCCCGATTATAACTTTTTCTTATTAGGGTTCTAGGTCTTGAGGTGTTGATTCTTTCTATAATATGAGCAATGTTCAGGTAGTGGTCGGAGAATACATTTGTACTACGATGTACTCGGACATCTGTGAGAGAACTAATATACTTTTTATCTATCATGATGTAGTCAATTTGGATCATGGTAACTCCATTGCGGGAGGTCCAAGTTCCATTATGAATGCGTTTGTGAAGGAAAATTGTTGTTCCAATAATGAGATCTTTGGAGGCAGCAAAGTTGATCAGCTTCAGCCCCTTATCATTACTACTTTTGTGGAGGCTGTGCCTACCAACAGTCAGGATGTACACTTCTTCTTGGCCTACTTTGGCGTTGAGATTGACTGCAATAATTTTCACTCTCCCCTCTATTACAAAATTAAAACCTTAAATGGTGTTGTTCAAATCTCATTTGATACCCAATTTTATCATTTTTTTTTTCACGAAACCCTATTAACCTTAGTTTGGATTCTATGTAAAACAGTAGTAATTTAAAAATCAAATCAAATATAGAGCCTTTTAAATAGTTTTTTATTATTCCTTTATTTTTTACAGCCCTCAAAGACAATTGCTGGATTTCTGGATCCGCTGTTGATTATATTTCAGTTACAATTTCAGAACAGAAAGATAAAAATTAAGTTTTTACGTAGTTTTAAATAGGGAAGAGGTGGTCAAGAAGAGAATATAAAAAAAATAAATATTGAAAGTCAACTTGTCAACTATTTACAATTCTTATTGAACAATAATAGGACCATCTCTTCCCTTGGTATTTATACAGTCAAGTAATGAATATCCTGTAATATCAAATAATATTATAAAATTACCTAATAAAGAAAAATGTATCAACTGAGTATGCTCCTTTGTTAATAGTTTGAAATATCAACTGTTTTTCAACAATTGATCTGTAAGCTGGATTATCTGAAAAAAACACATTTACATTATGTAACTGATATGCATTAAATACAGAGCTGATAATGACAAAAAAGTAGTATTCTTACCAGAGTATCTTAAAGCAATTAAGCATGTATGTCCAAGTATCACCCAAGCCATGCTCATTGACCTTAAGCCATGGATAGTGGGAATGGTGTCGTCTCCAACTGATTTTTCACAAATTTGTTTAAAATTCTTTTTTAAAGAGAATGAAAGTAAAACTTCTTTCCAAATTCTTGCTGTAAGGAAGACAAAATAATAAATTCAGTAATACATACATATATATTTATTTAATAAACCAAGGCTACTGAAACAGTTGATTTCTAACATGATCCTCCAACAATAGATATTAATATAGATTTAATGTGTATGTATCTCTTGGCATTTACAGTATTATGCTTTGTTGGGTCCATTTCTTACTTTAGATTTTTTTACTGCCCATAAAATTATATTCAAACTAAAATAAACTTAAAAACATATCTAACTTACTGAATTTTCCAACTACTTCTTCACTATTTACGGAATTTCTTTCTGAAGACTCTCCTTCACTATCTAAATTAACAAATAAATAAATGTGTAAAAATACATATATAACTAAAGTGAATATACCCATTATTTACCACAATAAAATAATTGTGGAATCAGTAAAAATATTAGAGAATGCAAATAAATTAATAAATTACTGTCATTATTGTTGGCACCAGCAGGTATTTTCAGTTCATTTACTGATGTTGGTAGTTCTGGAGACTTAGCAATTTCATATGTATAATTGTCATAAACATATTTTGATATTTTTCTCTTTTCTATTTTATAGTCTTCGTAAATCTCAAAGCCTGTTCCAATTAAAGCCAGAACAAATATAACAAGAGTGAAGGAGCTGTAAAACAAAATAGTATTAAACTGTAGACAAAAAAAAGTAAATTCGATCAAGAAAGAAAAAAAAAAACTGAAAAGCTTACAATAATATCCAAAACACGGGATCACTTGTTATTTCATAAACAGAGTTGGGATCTTTTACAGGAGATAACTCTACAGTTCTGTAACTATTCAAACCAGCTGAATTAATGCTGAAGTTAAGAATTTCTTCAGCTTCTTCATTAGAGCAGGATGTAGGTAAGCACACTCCAACTAAAACGCCTTGGGCCTAAAAGGACAAAGCAAGAAATTTACCTTTAAATACATGACTTATCTAAAATATATAAGTTTCAATTAATATCAATCTGAATTTCATGTAATACCCAATTTAAATATGAAAAAATAAAAAATATTTTCTAATGAAACATTCATAAATTAAAAACTTACAGCTGTTCTGTTAGCGTTAACAATAGCCATTGTTTCACTTAGGTATATTCTAGCTCTGAAAACGTAGAACCCAAGTTTGAATGGAGGCTCAGGTTCCACATTCTTGCAGTGGATTGCTGATCCAAGCCAATAATTGTTCCCCCAGAGGAAGCCCCCATTGTATCTACCGCTAGCATCTGCAGCTATAAACATAAACAATAAATTAATTCAGGGCTTCAAGTTTGTTATAATTTAAATTAATAATTTAAGATTAAGTTATAATTATGATTTTGATAATTCATGATTTTTGATAATTTATTATTTTTCTTTAAAAACTAGTTTATCTTTGTATATAAATTACATTTTTAATATACATAGGTTTCCTTTTTATCCTCATCTACAAGGATACATTTTTTTTTGTTGTATTTTTCTACAATGGTTATTTATGTATACTTCCCATCTGTGGAGCACATGATGTCAGTGGACAGAGGGTAGGAGAGATGATATCTCAGAATTTCCTCCTGAAGAGGAGAGCATTCTCTAGGAAGTTTCTTAGAATTCTTACATTAATGAAATTCTTCCATTAATGGAACTAAAAACATCAATTTCCTATGTCCAGTTATGGGAAAACCACTAAGTACATCATAGTAGTGAACATTACCTACATAGGTACTGAAAGATATGTTTCAAAAAGAGATAATGACCATAGAGAACCACATAAACTTCAAGGACTTTGAGTGAGGGTGGAAGAAAGTTGCAGATCCAACTAATTTTTCCTTAGGAAGAACCATCTGTTGAACAGGATTAACTGTTCTAGGGAGCCTACGCTACAGAGGAATCACATTGAGGAACGCCGTTAACCTGGAAACCATCTAGTATAAGATTACAATAAATAGGACTGTTAAGAAGAAGCAGGGATGGCCATTCCCCAAGGTCGATGGCGCATGAATCTTTCTTCACTCTTTCCAAGATATTTTATTGTTCTGCTCTTCTTAAAACCAGTGCAAAAAAAAGTAGAATTTAAAAGTTCGTAGATTATATACAATTACATAAAGTCTGTTCTATGCTTCCACTTGTCTTTTGATTTAAAACTTTTCATATCGAAAAGTCACTACTCCATCAAAATTTGCTCCTTCGAAAATTTAAAACCCCGTCAAAATGTGCCTCACTCAAATATTTTGATGGCGCAACTTGCGCCATGAAACCCTCTTCTGGGCACCCCTAGGAAGATGTATTATTTATTATTATGGTATTTTATTTGAAGCCTGTCATTAACCAATACCCTTTTTCTGAGCTTCTATTGCCAAAAATGTAGGGTAAATTGAAAATTAAAATAAGATAAGGGCACTTGTCATGATAAAATTTGTGTTCTCGAAATTACCATTTTATAAACTTTAAAAAATTGAACTTTGAAATATAACAATTGGTAATATTTTTCGATGAATACAAATTTCATTCCTCGATTTTTGAACAATTCTTTTCGCCTGAGAGAACTCTTACGGTTTAATTACTTCCCTCCTTCAGGAACCACTAGCGGCTTCGTAGCGCTCGCAATGACCCAGTCAATGGCGGCCTTGGAAGGCTGCACCACCCTTGTGCTCAGTTACCTAACACCCTCATCCTGTACTATCGCCAAGAATCGCCTCTCCTCCCTTTCATTGTCCATCTTTACGGTCACGGACGCACGTACCAGGTAAGCTTTCCACAGCCGGTTCCCTTATTATACAATACGACGAAACACATTACATACAACTCGGAGTCTCGGAATTTTTTAAACTCTTATCATTATATTTTTTCAATGGAAAATGGTCGGAGTTTTCTAGCTCTTTAAGTCGTTCTTACTGAGTCACGTGCTCCTTTTGTGATACACATCTTTAAAATGAGGTACAACTCTTAGGTAACAGTTCTGATATTTCGATACAAAGTTATTTCCGAATGGAAAGTAAGCCAATGGTCTTTGACAATTGACAATCCTAAAATCTTTTAATTAAGTGATTTATCAGTAAGAGAGTTGAAGAGATAGACTCCGGAAGTCTCCTAATTTTACAGATCTCTGTTGTTGTAACAATACTATTAGAGCATGCTGTTTTTCTTTTATAGAACTGATTTCATCATTGTCTTTCTGCCTCTTATCTATTGATACAATCGCTCTGATATTCCGCTTTCTAATAATGCATTTTCAAATTATACAGTTCTTCTACTTCCCATTCCCGTGTTTTAAAGTTCCAATTTTCACGCTGTATTATTCTTATATTGAAAAACTTTTTTAAACCTGATGTAGTTAGTTTAATTACCACTAGTCCCTTTCGATGAATCAGAATTATTTATCATTATGCTGTTCTATGTTCAAAAGCCGTTAGCGAGAATGGCTATTATCAGACTCATAACTTACTTGTCAAACTAACTCAATCAACTAAAACTAATATAAATTTTAAAATCATTATCAACTACTGTAAATATTAATAAATTATGAATATTTATATTTACAAGAGATCACCGGCGGTTGTGAGAAAACTATATGCAGCTTTATATACTTTACGCCTGAGAGCGCCTCATGCTTTGTTAATTGTTTATTTTACAATTACTTAGTGAGGGACTAAAAAACCTCCAGGCTTGTAGAATCTCTTATAAAGAGGAACAAAGGGATTCATAGAGAACTCTACTCAAATCAATAAGCTTTCATTCATAGTTTTTAAAGTACAGAGTGTTGAAACAAGTTACGTAAGTATACTAGCAAATAGACGTGAATAAGCAAAAGGAGTGCGGAATATGGAATTCAATCACGCTTATTTCTATAGCGAAAGTTTGCCATGGTAATTACTTATATCTATATTATTAATATTTATTTCGTATATATAAATGTTTTAATGTATAGGAACGGGTGAGTAAGCTACTGAACATCAACTCCTGGATTCAGCGTCTACCCTGGTCATTCGAGTTCGAAATGCATTGTCTTTTCTATCAGCTTTTGGGGCGATCCTGTGATGGGCCTCCTCCGGCACACCAAGTCTAAATATAGAATGAGGGTTAAACGACCGCCTTGTATAGCCGTTGACCAACAGCACTAGCGGATACAGGATTTAATTTTGGGGAGGGGGCTTCAGCACGGAAGATCTTTTTTCATATATACAACGATAATTACCTTGGAAAAACAAAGATACTAACTACCTATATGAAATGGTGTTTAAGTGATACTTGAAGTCGTATTAAAGGTAATTAAACGAGCAATAATAATTTAAGACATAATTTTTTACAATAATAGTCATATTTTACCATTTGGGGGGAGGGGGGCGTTCAGCCCCCCCCCCGTAGATCAGCCTGTGACCCACAGTACTTCAGCACATAATATATTTTTCTCTTTCCCTATAGTAGAGGTATATACTGGATTTTGTGGGACTTAATTTAGATAAGGCAATACATATACAGTAGTAATAGTTGTAGTTGAGGAGAAAATATATATTTTTTAAATATTTTTTTAAACTTTTATTATGATATTTACAACTGTATGAGTATGAATACATCAAGTAAATGTGTACATAGGAATATTATCACATGAAACACGCTTGTTGTGAAGCTACCCATTAGTAGCACTCTAAATTTTTTTAATATAAAGTCGTCAACCACTCGGGTCATTATCGCCTTACATCAATGGTTAAACTTTAAATTTTGGAGTATATCTCTGTCTGCCAGTCATCTGTACATTGTTCAGTAAAGCGGAATAAATATTTTGAGGGATACCAAAGAGTGATCTTTCGTTTTCATTTAATCTGCATTCTGTTAGAAGGTGTTTCACAGTTAGAGAACATCTGCAGGTCTGGCATTCAGTTGGTTATTCGCGAGCCATCAGGTAACCGTGAGTCAGGCATGTGTGGCCTCTACGCAACCTCGGCAGAACTACCTCCTCTCTTCGCCTATTTCGGAATGAAGATTTCTAAGGAGAGTCATCACTTTTAATCTTCCTCAGATTATTTCCGGATAAAGCTAACCATCTTTCTTCCCAGTTCAATTTTATTTTTTGTCGAATGAGGGAGGATAAAGTCTTCGGCAGGTAAGCACCTAAATAGAATGCCGTCAGTTATTGCATCTTTGGCCGCCCGATCAGCCAGTTCATTTCCGGTAATTCGAATCCAATATGTTTATAACTTTATTTTTATGGACTGTGATAACGTAATTCATTTTAGTTATTCTGATCCATTGACCTTTATTGTCACGGGTTTGCTAGAGGTTCATAAGGATCGTAAACTGATTTTATCAAATCCTACGATCATTTCCTAATATCAGTGTGTTGATATAACCAATCTCAAACGAACAATTCAACGAATGAAAGAAGAACGTAGAATTTGATAGCATTGGCTTTGATCATACTTTTTTTTACTAATCTCCAACTCTCTTCCAGTTCTGAGCTAACTCAAGATCGGTTATTAAAACATTAGCGTGAAGAAAAATACATTTGCGCATGCGTAATGAAAAGGAAGTGGATGGAATTTGATGTGGAACGATTTAGGTACTAACCCGCATAATCTTTAAAAAAAATCATCAAATTTAACTTTTTAACTAACTGCATAAATAATTACATTCCCACATTTGGTAGAGAGGAATCAAAAGAAAATCAATATTACAGTTGAAATTAAATAAATACAACCATGTCTTATATTGCTTTATATGCCTGATGTTTAAACTAAGCGTAATAAAATGTCATGAAAACATAATGTAGTGGGTGCACCACCCAAAGTACCGTTACACAATATTCCATTCATAACTTATACAAAAAATATGAATATTAGCATTACATGGAATTAAAAATACTTGTAGCTAGTAAAGGGCGAAGTTGATGGTTTCATCATTGAAATCACTTAGGTAAAATTTTCTTTTCACTAAGTTCATTTAATAAACTAATATTAGTTGTTATTATATTACTTTTTTTAAAAAACAGTTTTTCTTAATGCCCCAAAAATAATTAGAGTGTTGCAACGAAAGCTGCTAAAGAATTCGATAGGCGGGATCAACTCCGACCTAATCGATGTCACGTATCAACTTTCGCCACTTATCAATGAGACTGGTTGCAAAACACTTTCAGTTTCATATCGTCATCATCAGGTAGCCAGAAAGTTTTTGTTGGGTCATCAATATTACTTTGTAATGCGTGAGATTATAATTTTATGGATATTTATTATGTAATTCGTTCTCTATTATTGGCTTTATT